AGCGAGACACCGCGAAACACACACACACCCGCAGCCTGGCTGGGAGTTTGTGTGTGTGCCCAGGCTGAGTTCCGCGGTGTCTCACTGTTTCGCCGACCCAACACCAGTGAGCCAGCTCACAGTGTCCCACTGCTAGCAGCAGCGAGCCCCGCTGAGTGTGTGTGAGGAGGAAATCCGCGGATTGGTCCAAACGTAACGGCTCCGCGGACGTAACATATGGACCAATCTGCGGAGCCGTTATGTTACGTCACTATATCCGAAATACGTCACTTTACCCAAGAAGTAAACAATGGAAAAAGAGAAATCTCCAACGAGGCGTTCTGGGGCAGCATAGACAGGTATTTTCTGTGTTAGAGTTTTACTGGCTACAGGGTGTACTTTGAGGGTTTGTGACTCTGCAGACCGTTTACATGCAGAAAAAGCTACATAACACACAAGGGGACGGGTAAGAACCGGAGAAGCATGACATGGGCCCTTTAATATAAGGTAGAAAGTCTGAGATAGGATCGGGACTACCACCCTAACCCTAACCCTAACCCTAGTTTAAACTATGTTCTGTTATAAGAAGATTCGATGTTTTCTATCCTTAATAAAAAGTTAAGATGGGAAAAAGCAATAATGAGACCCTAGATTTAAGAGTGTTTTATCAGAAAATATAAGCCACTATATTGAGACACTGCATTGTTTGTGCACCAACATCAATCAATAAGGACCGAAAGTTAAAGGTCTTTATATACCACACCCTGAAGCCAATTAAGCAGGTCTCATTAACTTCAACATTGATCAGAATGATTGCTTTTACTTTAAGACACCAGTCAGGTTAATGAGAATTGATCTAGAAAGAAGATTGTTGTCGTAAACATTAAGTTAAGAAATGAAAGTCTTGTCGTGACACGCAGGTTTAAGTGCATGGCTTCCCTCTGAGTTTATGAGCAAACACTCTCTCTGCCACATTAAATATTAAAACAGCTGTAATCAATATGTGTATTTGTAGTTTATGTGGTATTGTAATTGTGAGGGAAACTTCTGAAGCAATTGGAAACAGGACTCAGAGAGACACGAGGAGAGCTGGAGCTTTGATGGCAAACACTGACGGTTTATTTGGAGTTTCGGCCGGAGAATTCACACGACATGTCACGGGCCACGGTTTGACCACACGGTTGAGATGCCACAAGAAATTCTGAAGAACTCTACCCCAGACCCGTGTATTTAGCTAGTTCAGAGAGAATAATCAACATTGTGCATAACAAGATAGAACCATAACACTATCAGCTGACGCCATCAGGCAGGAACAGGGAGACAAAACATTGAGAGCAGCAGCCGAGGTTGCCCATAAATAATGATTACATTATCACATGTTACTTGTAAGTCGCTTTTATCCAAAGCGACTTACATACTCAATACTGTGGGCAATCCCCACAGGAGCAATTTGGGGTGAAGTGTCTTGCCCAGGGACACAACGACATGCTGACTGTAGTGGGGTTTGAACCTGTGACCCCCTGTTCCGAACACCAACGCACAGCCCACTGCGCCACACGCCGCCATTACCCAAGTCTGAAGTTCCCATTAGTTCTGCAGAGCTTATTTAGCATCTTTTAACCCATTTTTGTTCCTTACCGTACCGCAGATGCACAGTTTAAAAATACATTTGCACGTGTTTGTATGATAAGAGTGTCCATATGTAACACAAAATCATGTCAATATTTGAGCACAGGGGCGCCGCCAGGGATTTTGGGCCCCATGAAAATATATCACATTGGGCCCCAGCACCAGGCCCAGGCCACGCCAACCAAGCACATTGCTGCAACCACACCTCCAGAACCCAACCGACTCATTTATGCTTTAAATAACTCTACCTGCACAGGCTTGCATCTATCTTGTAGTCCAATACTAACTGCACAATATTTACTGAGCGGTGAAAATATAACACTGTGCAGACGTGCAACATTCTGCTGCAGTAGAATTCACTATTTGATATAACACTAACATTCCTGACAATAGACCTCAATAGTCATCTTGTGCTGTACATGCCTTTTTAATAACATATTTGAATGGAACATTCATAAATCAAAAATAAATATAACTTAAATATACATGACCTCTTAAATTAAAATAAAGTGAACATTAACACCAATATTATCATTTATAAAATGCTATAAAAAAAATAACATAAGCAGCAGATTTTTTAATTAAATATACATACCAACTACAAAATAAGCGGGTATTAAAGTGTAAATGGACAACAAAACGGAAATGGAAATGAAAAGGCCTGATGGTGGTGCTAAATCAGAGCAAAACTGGGTGACATACTGTCGCCCTTTAGTCCCTCTCTCTTGTCTTTCTCTCCTTTCTTTTTTGAAAGCCTGACTTTGTGAGTCATTGAGACATCGTACACATGTAAGTACTTGCATCCCTGCCTCACATGCTCTCACTCACAGCGTTTGGAGACAGGACCAAACCATTACATGTAAATAGAGGGGGGTGTACAGAGGCTTTGGATAATGAACTTTTCGAACAAAAATAAGTTAAATGAATCGTAAGTTTAGTGAGTTATCAATATAATGTTATATTAATGTTAATTATTGATGATTGATGAAAGGTTACTTACATTTTTTTTCTTAATGTTCTACAATTTCCCTGTCAGTCAAGGGCCCTTAATCGTCCTAACTTTTCACCCCCTTATGGCACCCCTGTTTGAGCAGTGTGGACAGAAAATGAGGAAAATAGAGGGATAAAAATATTTTAAGCGTTATTCTCGTTTTAATGCCATTGAACACGACTTTTGATCAGAATAACAGCTAAGGTGAGACGGTCTCCCGTGTTTGCTCCGTAATGCTACGTGTTGTGATGTCTGTGTTTGCTTCCCCTGTCGCGAGTTCTGATCGCTCAGTGATGATACTAATACCTATAGAATCTGTGGAACCTCAGCTTTAATCAGATATCTTGTATGTGTAGTTACGATAAGTAATAAGGGTATTTTTAACTTGAGTTCTGTGCCAAGTACGTTAGCATTTGTTCGCTCAGGGGTAATTTAGACGCTTCTTATGAGACTTGTGTTTTGTTTTGGTAAAAATTGTTCGTATTGTCAGTTAGCTGAGTTTCTTCCCGTTAATCTGGTATGATTGCTGCTGGTTTATAAAGCTTTGAATGCTTTAGGCCCAAAATATATTTCTGACCTCCTGCTGAATTATGAACCATCCAGATCTCTGAGGTCTTCAGGGACTGGTCAGCTTTCTGTCCCCAGAGTCAGAACTAAACATGGAGAAGCAGCGTTCAGTTATTATGCTCCAAATATCTGGAACAAACTCCCTGAAAACTGCAGGTCCGCTGCAACTGCGACTACTTTTAAATCCAGACTAAAGACTTTTCTTTTTGCCGCTGCTTTTAATTGAACTATTCACATCTTAAACTGCACTGTAACTTTTATCCATGTACTTTTTCTTTTAATGTTTATTTTATTATCTTTTCTTTTTAATGACTGATTTTAAGTGCCATTTTCTTAATGTCTTTCGTTTTTTGTAAAGCACTTTGAATTGCCTTGTGTTGAAAGGTGCTATATAAATTAACTTGCCTTGCCTATGACACATTAATAGGTTTTTAAATATTAAGAAGCCCTGAGACAGTTTCGTGAAAAAAAACCCCGCAGCCCCCTCTACCAGGTTAAACATTATGATGGGGATTTTACCTTATTTATAGCCAGACACTTCCAACAGATTCTTTACATTTATTGGTTGTAGTTAGTTTGGGTTCAGTGGCGGCGCTAGGGGGTGGCTACTTGGGCTCAAGCCCCGGATGTTTTCTGAAAAGCCCCGGATGTTTCACTTAAAAAAAATAAAAAATAAGGCCCATTCCCAAACCGCCCCCTACAGTCAACATGTGTCTCACAAACAGGCCTCCAAGAAATGGGAGAACCTAAAACAGAAATACAAGGTGTATTGTTATTGTAAAACATGTTTGTTTTTGAAAAAGCTGAACAAAGATTTCTAACATGCATTTGTTTGCAATAGGAACTTAAAAGGCCAAGGACTGGAACAGGGACTGATCAGGGGGAAGAAACCCCTGCAACATGGCCCTTCTTCATGGCCATGGATGAGGCCATAGGTGCAAGGCCTTCAATTAGTCCTCCTGTCCTTGTTGCCTCAGCCTTGGCAAACCCCACAATCCTCTTTGATCCGGAGGCTGCTTCCTGCTCCTCTTCCTTCCCCCCCCCCAAATGTGGCTGATGATCCAGACCCCTCACCACCCTCATCACTGTCTGAGGCTGGAACCACCCAGCAGCCCCCCCCCAAAAAAAGAAAAGGTGCTATGGGAGTGCTGGAGTGCCTAGAACGCGAGGCAGAAAAAGAGGACGAATGCCACAGAGAAATAATGCAGCACTCAGATACATTTATAACCCTGTTCGAAAAAATGGTCGACAAAATGTGATTTATTTTTTCCCCCCCACCATTGGCCATTTCTATGTTGATTATTGATGTTACTTAAAAGACTTGTTTTTGTTCGCTTGTATTATTTATTTGGAAGACAATAAACCTAATTTAACGTACTGTCCTTCATGTCTTCAATATTGTATGGGACATAGTAAATACAGGTAGACGGGTGATGAAGGTGACATTGCCTTTGCTTGATTGTTAGATGGCTACATTGTTCTGTGTGGGTTTCATAATGTAGAAGGAAAAGTTTTGCACAAAGTAATGTTGTGCACGGAACTAAAGTGTTTTTTTCAAAGTCTGAAGATTAACCCTGAATATCAGCATTTTAAATAAAGATATGTCTGTGCGCTTCATAGGTATAAGGCATTAAAATATACATGCCATTTACGGTCTTAATTGCTCATGTCAAACCATTTGCAGAGTTTCACTCAAAAACAAAAGTGATTGTATTAGAAGACCTGTGTTCATTTTCTGAACCTTTGCTCTGTGCTCGTGATTGAATGATCCAAGAGGTAAGGACATTTGTCTCCAATTTGGGATTATGCAGAAAGACAATTCAGGAAAACCAAGTTTGAAATCAACGGTGCACAGGTTTATTTTATTTCACCTCTTTTCTCTAAAGTGAGAAGTGGAGCTCACTAAAACAAACAAAATTAAATCAGGTATGTGTGCACATCATTTCAAAAACACAAGTTAACAGACAACCACGTTTTGCCAAAAGAAAACACAAAAAAACAATAATAACAGTAATCGTGCTCTCTCAGGTGTGGTGCCATTTGGACAGGAGCAGAGAGTTGTGCAGCAATCCTGTTCCTTAGGTGGTGTCCAGGACTTTCCTGTCCACATGCTGCGGCAGGGGGAGGACTCTGGTCCCCATCTTCAGGTGGGAAGGCTTCAGCATCCTCAAGGACATCGTTCATGTCTATGCACAGATTGTGCAGAAATGCACAACATGCAATGATGTCAGGGGCAAAGCTTGGACTGACCTCCAGCGCTTTGAAAAGGGTGGCCCTCCAGCGAGCCTTCATCCTTCCAAATGCTCTTTCCACCACAGACCGAGCCCTGGCATGATGCCTGTTGAATCTGGCCTGCACCTGGCCGCGAGGGACCTTGTAGTGTAGTGTAATCCCACTGGTTTTTCCAGGCAGGGATAACCACCGTCCCCAAGGAGGAACCAACCAGCTGGGGGAAACAGTGCCTGGCAGAAGATGGGGCTGTTTCGCAGTACTCTGGCATCATGAACGGAGCCTGGATAGCCGATGAAGACATCCAGGAATCTCCCAGTTGAGTCACAGATGGCCTGCATCTGGATGGAAGGAAACAGCTTGTAATTGATGTACTCCTTGTGCTACTCGTTTCCTGGAGGTTTGATGCGAATATGGCATCCATCAATCGCACCAGCAGCACGGTGAAATGCAGGACTCTTTGCAAGCTGACAGAAGCCATCTGCAATCTCTGGCAGCTCATCTGCGGTTGGCAGGGAAATGAGGGTCTTCAGGTTGGCCTTTATCTTCCCGGTGACGTGTTTGATGATCCTGTGGACCGTCGATTTGGGAATCCCGAATGCTGAACCCACCACAGAGAGCGATAGTCCATGGGCCAAGCTGTAGAGGAGAACAAGCACCTCGATGTCTTGTCCCCATCCGTGGTCCTTTGGGGAGGAAAGCATCTGTACTAAATACACCACACTAGATCGCTTAACTCTAAAGTCCTTCTTTAGACAGGCTTCAGGGTTGGCATACACGGCGAGAATTGGGGCAGTAGCATTGAGCTGCATGTAAAGACCTTTGCCCCCCTGTAAAAGACAAACACAGGACACAGTATTGTTCAATAACTATACTCCAACACAAACACACACACACACACACACAGCTCTGTAAACAATTCTGAGACCAAGTCAAATTAACCTTTCCTTTTTTATTCTATAAACTACTGACAACATTTCTCTGTGTTGGAATTCTACAGACACTATACAGATATACACGTATAGCTTGTAAGGAAAGAATAAATGAATGTATATCACAATATATCTAAATATCTATTTGTATTACACATACAAAGTTCATAGGCTACTATATAAGAAATAAAGTGAAGATAATTGTTGTATTAGCAATATTGAAATGTTTACCTGCCACTGGCACATCGCTAAAATGCGCCTCAACCTTCTGCGCCTTCTGTTGGATCTTGCCATTGCACCCGCTAACAGGCGACGGATAGCAACGCAGGTCAATGCAGCCGACAGATGTGGGTTGGACACCATGACGTCCGTTTCCGTTTCCTGCGGAGAGAGGGGAGGCCGTCCCAAAGCTTGCTGCTGTATTTATACCCTTAACCCTTAATGGAGGGAACTTCATTCAGCTGTGAGTGTGCCTACAGACGGAGTTCACTCCGTCATGGAGGGGGAGGGTCGAGGGAGTGGTTTGGGATTGGGCCTGACATTTTTTTTTTTTTTAAAAACGTCTCGGGAGTAATGTGGAGTACCGGAGTCCACCAGAGAGGCATCCACTGTGGGACATTAGCCTGCGTACTGCGTAGCCTGCCCTGAAGAAGAAGTGATCCTTCCTAGTGCCTGATAGTGATGGGAATTCCGGTGTTATGCCGTAGGTTGAAGCCCTGCCGTGGATTGAAGCCCTGTTCGCGGGGACGCGCAAAGGTGACGTAATCGCCTGTATTGAGCTTTTGCCGTTTTTTCACCCTTTTCAAAGCTTTTTTCTCTCTTTTGAATGATATATCAGATTAAACAGCAAACGGCTGAATAAATAATGTGCATACAATTGCGAGGAGGCTCGTTTTAAGGACACGTTTCTCAGATCTGTCACAATCTTCGTATTGGAATACACTTACGTTTTTGAGTGTATAGTCCCACTCTGTTATATTCCTCCTTCCTACAGAACAGACAATGACGGGATAATATGTGATTTGTCAATAGTCCTATTTCTTAAAAACGTCTCTGTTGTTTAAGTGTCTGATAACCACGAATAGTAAGCAATGATATAACAGTAATTATATCACATGATCATATCAGACAGACACTGTGTTATTTTCAATCAAGCCTACAAGATAATGTGTTCAAACTGGCTTCACTCACTTGAATTGCTCCTTTGAATATCATTTTTATATATTCCTACTCAACACATGTTTGCATTGTAATGCCACTCCTATTTTTTTTAAATTGTATTTTAAGGTGACATTGAATGCTTTGAAAGGTGCCCTAAAATAAAGTGTATTATTGATCTTATATCTGTGCCTCTATTACATTACAGTTCATTTTCTATCACACTATTAATGTTCCTTATTTTAAACTAGGTTAATCCTGGTGTCAATAGGGAAGATCTGCACTGTTCTCTACATAACATGTTCAGAGCAGGTATTTCTCCTGCCGGATTTGGAACCCCCCCTATATCTTTCTCCAGGATAGTCACAGACTCACCAAAATCACACTGGTGTTTGCTGTTCCCCTCTAGTTTGTGCTCACAAAAGCATTTCACTCTGGGCCCAGCAGGTACAAAAATAAAGAGGGGCTTCAAAATCCGGCAGAGCAGGTGTTGGTGCTGCCGGATTTGGAACCCCCCCCATATCTTTCTCCAGGATAGTCACAACTTCACCAAAATCATACTGTTGTTTGCTGTTCCCCTCTAGTTTGTGCTCACAAAAGCATTTTACTCTGGGCCCTGCAGGTGAAAAACTAAAGAGGGGCTTCAAAATCCGGCAATGCAGTTGTAAGAGCTGCCGGATTTTGAAGCGCCCCCTGTATTTTTGGCCAGGATAGTCACAGACTCACCAAAATCACACTGGTGTTGCCTGTTCCCCTCTAGTTTGTGCTCACAAAAGCATTTCACTCTGGGCCCAGCAGGTCAAAAACTAAAGAGGGGCTTCCATATCCGGCAGTGCAGTTGCTAGAGCTGCCGGATTTTGAAGCGCCCCCTGTCATTTTGGCCAGGACAGTCACAGACTCACCAAAATCACACTGGTGTTGCCTGTTCCCCTCTAGTTTGTGCTCACAAAAGCATTTCACTCTGGGCCCAGCAGGTACAAAAATAAAGAGGGGCTTCAAAATCCGGCAGATCAGGTGTTGGTGCTGCCGGATTTGGAACCCCCCCTATATCTTTCTCCAGGATAGTCACAGACTCACCAAAATCACACTGGTGCTTGCTGTTCCCCTCTAGTTTGTGCTCACAAAAGCATTTCACTCTGGGCCCTGCAGGTGAAAAACTGAAGAGGGGCTTCAAAATCCGGCAGTGCAGTTGTTAGAGCTGCCGGATTTTGAAGCGCCCCCTGTAATTTTGGCCAGGATAGTCACAGACTCACCAAAACCACACTGGTGTTGCCTGTTCCCCTCTAGTTTGTGCTCACAAAAGCATTCCACTCTGGGCCCAGCAGGTACAAAAATAAAGAGGGGCTTCAAAATCCGGCAGCTCTAACAACTGCACTGCCGGATTTTGAAGCCCCTCTTTAGTTTTTCAAACACAATACACACAAACGCAAAATTACACAAACACACACACGTATACACACACACACACACACTCGTGAGCTTCCCCCAGACCAGTAATCCAAACGAAAATATCTTCCCTCCATACTATTTTGACCATTTGCTCCGCTAATCAATCAGATCGATGGATTCCAGAGATTTTTCTCAACAATGATGACTCCGAAACAGTCAGTGGGCACCACTTAACAGCCAATCAGAATGAGAATATGTTTCACATGTGACTTATTCAAATTGCGAGTGATTGAGTGACAGATGAAGGTTGTTTAGGAGAAAATGTCGGAGAAGAAAAAGTTTGAGAGTGGCGCTCGGAAAAGGAAATGGTTGAGGGAAAAGGAGTTTCGAGACAAGCAGCTATTACAAAACATGCCGAAGCTTACAGGTTATTTTAAACCTGTAGGCCAGGATGAGGAGGAAGGACAGATGAGTTCTGTACCGAGCGGCAGCGGTGCCGGCCGCGGGGCCTCGGAGCCAAGTAGGCCGTCTGGTTCTGATAGCGATGGAGTAGCGGGAGAGGAAGAACAGACAGATGGGACATTATCTGTTGGAGGAGATGGGAGGATGACGAGGACTTGCTACGTGGAGGGGAGCTAACGGCAACCGGACAGATACATGAGGGAGGCAGGATATGTCACTCATCTGGAGGAGAGGACCATGCAGGCGCGCGTAGAGCAGAGTGGAAAGGTGCGATCACAGAGCCTGCCGATCGAGGCTATATATGACTTTGATATGTTGTTTAAATAGGAGGCCTACAAAAACTATCAGCCCCAGGGCCTGATGGCAGGTTAAGGCGGGCTTCAGCGTGACGTATGCGGTGCTTTTGCTCTGGCCGGACAATTTTTTGGTGCTTGAAATGAACCGGATTCCGGAGCTAAGAGGCTGCTCCGCTGCGGTGTGAACAGGAAAACCCGGTGCTTTTCAAGCTCCAGCTCCGAACCGGCCCTGAAACACCGTTGGTGTGAATGAGGTACAATGGTGAGCCGGATCATTTGGCTCGGCTCACCAAGAAGAGCCGGCTCTTTCGGCTCCCAAACGGCTCTTCAGTTTACCACATATTATACCTTTTAATTAAATGGTAAATGGACTGTACTTATATAGCGCTTTATCCAGTCTTTACGACCCCTCAAAGTGCTTTACATACTACATGTCATTCACCCATTCACACCCATTCATACTGAGCAGTACCACTTGCTCTAGGACCTAACATTCACACACATTCACACACCGTTGGCCATGCCATCGGGAGCAACTCAGGGTTAAGTATCTTGCCCAAGGATACATCGACATGTTGGCTGCACGGGCTGGGATCGAACCCACAACCTTCTGGTTGAAAGACGACCGCACTCCCTCGCAGCCACAGTCGCCAGTAGTAAATCAAATGTAGCCCTGTTTTGACTAATGATTTATATGTGTACACACATATATCACTTAAATTATTCAATACATCCTTTGTACTGAAGTATTCAAAAGTAAAAATGACATGTTTAATATAAATGATTTGCTGTGGCCAAATGTTTTCATTGCATTTACAGACCCGTGTAACTCTCTGATACCACCCAATGAATGCACTGACTTGCTTGTCGAACCACGCTACACAAAACAGATAGCAACACCTATAAAAACTATTTTAAAAAAGGGGCTACTGTATCGACATTTTAAAATTATATTTAAAGAAAAGGCCCTGACAAAACAGCAGGACTCTATTTCAGTAACTATTAGCTATAGAAAAAAAGACAGCAACAGCTGACATCAAATCTTTGCTGAGCCTAAGGATAATCATAAATAAATAACATAGTGAAAATAAATATATTGCAATGCTCAAAACAGCAGCATCCAACCGTCTCTAATCCTTGGATATTACATGTCACCTGCATGCATGCACGGAGCAGCTGTAGCGCGGAGATCATCATCATCATTCTGTCTTGTATTACTTAAAGTGGACCTATCATGCTATATTTGAACAATATATTGTAGGGCCATATCTATATAAAGTATATATATGATTCTGTGAGCTGCAGCTGACCACGCCCCCCTGCAGGAGAGGGCAGCGTGCTCTGAGATCAGCTGCTGGGCTGTCAGAAGAGGGGGAGAAAAAGAGATCTCCCTCCTCCGTGTTTTATTCTTATTGAAGTAAGAAGAGAAGTAATGGGGCAGAAACCCTCCTTTTTACGCAGCGGTCCAGACATAGACATCAAACGGCGACACATATTCAGTTGCCAGTTACTTTGGCATTAGGGCAGGGATATCTAGATACTTTCCAAAGTTTGACATAATGAATTGTGCTACTTTTAAAGCAAGCAATGAAAGCAAATCTGTAATCAAAAAGCTCCTCAAAAACACTCTCGTAGCAGTTCCTGCCGTTGCTACGTTAGTTCAAACAGTAACAACGGACTATTTTTCTTAGCGGATGCATGTCAATTTAAATACATACAACTCAATAAATCAATAAAATCATTTTCTAAATCCATAAAAGCATTTCAATTAATATTGGGAGTCATGGCTCTTTGAGCCGGCTCGTTCGCGACCGACACATCACTAGTGCCTCAGCAGCTGACAACAATGTCATCACCAGCAGTCAAGAAATGGATGATGTTTCAGGTTTGTTAATCTAATGGTGATATCTGCACTCTGGCTGACTGAGTAAGAAGTGAAAAAGAGTGATGTAACGTTAATGTTATAGCTAGTAAACATGGAGTAACCACACTAAGTATACCCTTATATGTTAGTATGTATACAGAACATGACTACAAATTATCCTAAAATGTAACGTTAACCCTTCATACCTCAGTCTACTTTTAAGACACTAAAATAACGTATTCCAATTTTTATTTTGTTTTCGCGCGTGGAATTATACCGGCTCTCGTTTCAGTACACATAACAACAGAACTGACAGGCAACCCTCTGAATCAGACTCCGATTGGCTGTGACTGCATCCACTCAGAGTGTCCGATTCAGAAACGTGACTCTTACACTCTTTACGTCACAAACAAAGATGGTGGATGAGAATAGATCTATAAAACAATAAGAAATGCACCAGAATCAAGGTGAGACTATCCACATCCTTTAAAACTCTACGCACATTCGTTTCACCTTAATAAGTAAACGAATATATGAGTGAGTTAAGGCATTAGTTTGCTTCATTAAAGGGTGTTAATGAGTGTTCTCCAGTGCCTTTTGTCCGCTTTAAGGTGTTATTAAGGTAGGGTTAATGTTGCTCTCAAAGTGCACCAGATTAATGCTTTCAACTTCAATATTTAAAACAAATATTCCCGGGGGAGCATGCCCCCGGACCCCCCGAGAGGAGGCGACGACCCCCCTAAAGGATGTTCGGTCCACTCCCCACTTGTAAAAAATAGCACTGTACCCCTGCACGCCCCCCCCCCCCCCCCCCCCCCCCCCCTCCACCCCCAACACCCCCAACAACCCCTGGGCTAAGCCCCGGATCTCCTACAATCCTAAATCCGCCACTGGTTTCATATGAAAAAGCTTGTAAAAGTAAATGAGCACTTAAGTCAATCTCTGTTTTCAGCATCCAGACTGGAGTTCAAAGTCTTTAATGAAGTCATGTTGTGTTGTTTTGTTCTGAATGACTTTCCTCCATTAACTGTACTGTTTAGTTTTATGTGTATGACATTTGGTTAAGCCAAAGACTATTTAGACATTGTGTTCTAATTAAATTCCCAACTAACTTCTGTTTTTCTCATTTTATAGGGGTGTGAATTCATGTCAGATCTGCTTGGAGTCAAACATTCAACCAACCATTATCATTAAACTAATAGTGTACTGCCCCCTAGTGGCGGAAACCCATTACAAACCAGAGTTTTAACAGAACATTTAACACCCAAGTGGCCCAGAAGGTAAAGATGGGAGATGAAAATTGACAATAAAAGGCGATGGAGTCAGTGTGTGTAATTGAAATCACATTTATTGTTTGTTCTGGAGTTTAACTTAAAACGTAACCCTTTGTTTACAGTATGCTTCTATCCTTTACTGCTTCTTTCTCTGCTTAATCTTTAAAGTCATCTCACCGTGTTTTTTTACACTCATACACACACACACACACACACACTTAACAGCCGTTACACCAGCGGAGGCTTGTTCAGGTAACGTTAAAGGGAACTCTCCACAGAATTTAGCCACAAACCTGCAGCGTCCATTACTGTGAGCGCAGAATAGGATCAAATCTCTACAAGTGTTCCCCCTTAAGGCCTGCGTATTAGAGTCCTGGTCGTACCAGGACAGGACAATCACATTCAAATGTCTTCCTCACGTTCAGTCATTCGCCAACCTGACCTGCAACATTCTCACCAGCACCTTGGAGAGACTACAAAATAAAAAATACTCTAAAGATTCACCTTTGCAGGACTGCAAATACAGAAATGCACAGCGCAATAAAAAATACAAAGGTTGAAATCAAATCACGATAGAGGAATTAAGATCACTTCTTTTTTTTTTCTTTTAACTACCTCGCTAATAGAACTGCTGAGAGCTCTACTAGCATCAACAGCTTCTTAAAGTACATGTAGTTATATAGTTTCTATACTTCGTAAAAGGTTTGGATCGAACAGTCATGTTTCAAACTTTAGTGTTTGCTTCAGTCGTGGGTAGATATAAACGCACTCTGAAGCAGGGAAAGAAGAACTGGTTTCTGCTTTTGGATCGAAGGCGAGCAGTTCTCCAGAGCCCCGATCGAAATCAAGTTTGGTTTGTCTTCCATGTTTCATTGGAATAATCTAACCCTAAAAGGCCAAGTCTCCTGCTCTTTCTGTGCATGTAGTGGATGCAGATCGTCTGTCCATTTGTCAGTGGGAACTCGATAGCTGTGCAGAGTCTCCTCCACCATCAGGTCCAATGTAAACAGCTTTTTTCAGAGGCAAGACCAGGAAGTAAACGGACTCTTTGGCACACCTTAACATGACGCCGGATGCATTTAAGTCCCGATCAGACTACAAACAGACCCTCATGTAGTCTGCTTCCCATCAGTAGGTTTACTTCCGTCCTCCTCTCTCGATTGGGAAACCAATGCACATTAGCTATGTATGTACAAAAGCATACAAACTACCACACATACACACACACGTTGCCCTTGTGTAAAGGTGCACCGCTGACCTATTTTCAAACATTCCAAAGTTCTACTTTAGCTTTAAAATGACCTAGCTTACCACATTCAGATGCATACAAATAAATAAATAAAAACTTGGGTAGAGCTGGGGAAAAATGGCAGGAAGAAAATGGCAACACTGTAAATGGAAAGAACTTGAAAAGAGTAACCTTGACATTTTGATGGCCCTGCTTCTCCGATTTAGAACGGGAGCTTTATAATAACAGCAGCTCTGGAGTCGAAACGTCATAAAAAAAACAATATATCAATTGTATCGCAACATGGGGCCGTATGTTTGATTGTGTACAAATGTGTGCATATAAGGTATTAATAGGTGCTTTAAGCTACATTCAAGCAACATCATGTATACTTTTGGGGGAATTAGTTACAATATCAAGTTACAAGGGGGTGGATTTCCCCTTTTTGGGTGTGCTTCCACTACTGGCTCCTTCAACCAATTGGAATTAGTCATATTTCGGACATTTAAATTGGACGTATCAATAAGTGCTAAGTGACAATGTTTTAAACATTAAAAGTGCCTGTTTTAAAAATGTTGACGTCTCAACCGCAAGACTAGCTTAATTATAAATGTCTAATCTCAGTCAGGACCTTTGGGTGAGAGGCTAATAGAAATGGTCAAGGTCTCACCATTCTTAGAAACCCACTGTTCATAAAGGGAGAGGAATGGAGGGGCTTCATTAACCCGGAAATCTCCCGTTTGACAGAGTGGTGCATCGACCCCGAAGCTAGCATTGTCCCATGACAAAAAGTCAATGGTATTTTAGAATTGGATTTTCAAATATATCAGAAAATAGAATCTGTGGCAAACTCAAATGTATGATACTTACATGTTTTGTCTAGCAGGATAAACTCCACATATTAACACCTTTTTAAGTAGTAAAATGCTAATGTTAGGTTATAAAATAACTACATCACGGTCTTCACATCACAACCGCTAAGCTAAAAGCGGCTAATGTTCGGCGTAATGACGATCAGTAGTCCCATTTAACCACTTGCGTGAAAGCTTTAGACATTTACAAGTGGGGTATAAACTGACCTTTTTTTTGCAGCAGAATAAAATGTGAATATATCTTCAGCTTGTGTTAACCACAGACCTTATTTCAGGCATCCAACCATTCAAATAACGATTGACTTCGAGTCAACAGGAAGTGCCAAAATGCAAACTTATTCCCGGGTTCGAGGACTCATTCCTGCACCACTCTATGGGGAATACAGCAACGGTCCACGTCAACACCTGGACATTCAATATAAACAAGGCAAACACAAAACATCACTTCCTCTCTCCTCGTGACTTCCCCTGTGCGCAGATAGTCGAGTAGAGCTTTGTTCCCATGCTAACGGGACTTAGTAACAGTCTAGAAAAGCTGCTTCAAAAAAGGTGCTTAGGGCTCTTTGGAGGGGGAGCACTCCTCCGCAACAACACTTTGTGAAGGCCAACGGAAAGATGGACGAAAAGATAATATAAAAAAGGCAGGAAAAACAAGGGGGTGGTTTTACACGGTCTGTGTAGGTAAGGGGAGACGAGCTGGAGAAAGGGTGGGCTGCTCCTCTGAGACCTTTAAGGTTTCTGTGGCCAGAGGAGTTTGGGATCGGACGTTTGGAGCCGTGGTGCGAGTTGGGGTGGGGGGGGTACTGGAGGTACTGGAGGTAGAGGTGGAGGCCTGGGGGTCATTTACTGGGGTAGGGGGTTCAGAGGAGGGGGTTTTGGGCACAGCAGGCTTGGTGTAGTTCATCTTGAGGATGTGCTGCTGCAGGTGACGGATCCAGTCCTCCTGCACCGACAGCGGGCCGTGAAACTCCACCTCGCAGAACCTGAGGCAGACAGACAAACATGTTTTAAAGATCTCCTATCAGACAACATAACCACCACAGCCCCTTGTAGACCCCCCCCCCCCCCACACACACACACACAATATTTCTGTGCTTAGTCTGCCCAGTTTATTTGTAAAATATTCATAAATAAGGCAGCAGTATAAGTGTATTGTTTGCATGCTTTATTTATTTGAATGACTATTGCAAGTTGTCTAATGCAGGGGTTCCCAACCCCCGGTCCGCGGAGGTGTTACTGCCGGGCCGCGGAATAGCTGTGAGTTTATCGTAATATTTGCAGAATTATAAATATATAAAAATATTATGTTTAATTTTCTCACCTATACCAGTCATATTACTTCATCCAGTCGCCTCTAATGCAGTGTTTCTCACACTTTGTCATACCAAGGACCACTTACCCAATAAAAAAAACACTCACGGACCACCTAACTCCACAAATATCCAAAAACACATCGTTTTTCTAGAACAAATGACAAATCGCCTGAAAATGGTACAAACAAGTGGCAACATGTGTGAGGTAGGTGTTGCGCTGGGCTATATCATGCAATCGAAAGTGAAACTTAAGCTCGCTCCATTGCAGAGATATTCCCGGGAGAGTGCGGAAGACTTATATTTATTTATTTATTTAAAATGTGAAATGTTACCAATATACTCACGGACCGCCAGTGGTCCGCGGACCACACTTTGAGAAGCACTGCTCTAATGCATCTTTCTTTTCTTCAAAGGTTTTTCACCTAAAAAGACCCATTCAGCAAATAAATGGAAGTTTGTTTCAAGTAAACTGCTGAAATAAAAGACTGAAACAGTAACAGTTGCCGTGTCATTGGAGTCCAGTAGATGTTTCAAGTCAAGTGGGGAAACTGCACCAAAAAATCATTCTTCTTTTCTGCTGTAACAATGTACATTTCCCCTCTGTGGGACTAATAAAGGTATTCTGATTCTGATACTATTTTTAGGCATATATTATATGTCTCAGATATATAAAAAACATGTCTATGATGTGTTTTGTTCAAAATACCAAACAGATCATGCATTTTAGACATCCCAACCTGAAAACATGTTCAAGTTCAAGCCAACCTATCAAATTCTAGAAGAAAGCTGTGTTTTTTTAACATGCCTTTAAAGAAGAATCCAAAAATTGAGAAAATTCTGGAGTAATTGAATTTAATGAGGGCCGAATTTAACAGCAAATATAAAAACATCTGTGTACGACTCGTAAAATATAAAACAAGTCTTCCTTCCAAACACATGCATTTTCCTTACTGTTTGAAACATATTGGACATGTAGGGCTAAAATGCAAGGTTATAGAAAGTCAAGTTTAATTAAACATAGATAAGAAGTAGTGAGCGTACGACTGGATAAAGGAGACTAAAGGAACTCTTTGTTAAATATTGTTTTTATATATATATATATATATGCTGTTGTTGGTTTTAGGATGCTTTGTTCAAAGCGTCAAAAGAAAACCAATAAGAGCCAAGGACTCTGAAATCAGTGTAAATCACTGCTTCTGAAATCCAATCAAACTGTCAAACTAGGTGGCTTTGATCGAATAGGAATCAAGATTATGCTACTGCACTGTCTTTTTTTCGTCTTGAATGTTTTACCATATTTTAGTGTACAAAAGAGAGCTAACCAAGCAGTGCCAAGAGGAGGTTTTCTCATTTTACAGCTGAACATTACACTAAAATAGCTTTCTGAAAACATTTGAGGCGAGAAATATGGAATGCAGGAGCAGAAACTTGATTTCAAACGTAATATATGCTGCCAAATGTGACAGTTTGACTGATTGGTTGCTCTCCTCCCTAGGATGATAGGGAGAGGAATTACAGAATATGTGTTCATCCAGCACTGTCAGGATAGAGTGACAATTTGTGCAAACATGATAAAAACAATCATTGTTATGAAAGCTACCAAATGCAGCTATAGGGCTGGAATTATGCAAAAATAATGCTCCAAATCTCCATATTCTGTGGCTGCAGCAAAGCTTTCACACAAAGACATTAAACGCAAACACTGGCTGTGTCTCACACTCAGTGTCTCCCTCAGGAGCAGCCGATTCTGTTTGACTTCTGTACTGCAGTCGTGTCAGAACTTAAGCACTTATTCGTGTTGCCTGAAAAATCCACAATGATTCAGTATCCTCAATCATTAGGCACTAAAAGTGGAGTACTGCTCAGCAGGGGGTGGAGGTGCTGTTCAGGGATTAAAGGAATATTTCAAACTTAGCCAGACAGTTGTGTTCATGCTGTGGTCTCAAAATGTTCTGATATCTCAGATGGAATACACTCCTGTCTGATAGCGCTGATGGAGTGCAGCCAGCAGCGAACACCCTGTGTGTGTGTGTGTGTGTGTGTGTGTGTGTGTGTGTGTGTGTGTGTGTGTGTGTGGGTGTGTGTGTGTGTGTTGTTGTGTCTGCTGTCTGGAGATGGGAGATTTGGTTGAGCTTCAAGGGGAAATGTGTTGCACAAAACCCCAAAACACCCGATTGCATAAAAACATGTTGGTCAAGGAAGAGGTGTGTGTGTGTGTGTGTGTGTGTGTGTGTGTGTGTGTGTGTGTGTGTGTGTGTGTGTGTGTGTGTGGGAGGGTTGGGTTTTTTTATTTCGTTTTTATTTTATTTCTGTTTGTATTATTGTTATTATTTTTAGCTTACATATGTATTCTGTATTTTGAATATTTTGTAAGTAATTGCTGTTGTCTAATTTTTATTTTTATTATGTAAGAGAACATTTTTTTTTGTGCTTTCGGTTGAACATGTTGTGTATTAATCTCAATAGAAATGTGATCACAAAAAAATGTATCTGATATCTCACCGGCACTTCAGGGTGTAGAACTTCCCCACCAGTTTGACCAGTGGGTAGGACGGGGGTTTGGGCACCAGGGCGGGGACGGTGCCTGTGCGGGGGGGTTTAGGAGGGCTCTCCGTTCCCTCAGGGCACGACGGGTGCTTTAAGGGTCGACGCTCGAAACCTTAGCAAGAGAGAGAGGAAACATTGGAGACATATACCCTTAATGCGCAAATAAGATAATAAAGATTGTAATGTGATGTGGAATAAACAGATGTACAAATAAAGAGTGTATTGTCAACATACAGTATGAACGTGGTAACACTTCATACACATATGAGTCTTATTGCCTTTATCATTTAATTTAAAACAACCAATGTTATTTTGTACATTTCAATTTGTACAAGCATTGTTCAAGACCTCTGATGTAAAAATGTTGCTGTTGTTTTAATCCAAGTCTTTGAAAGCATACCACTACCTGAGTATGAATACATTCAGTTGACAAATAATAATAATACATTTAATATCTAAGTGCTTTTTCCGTTGCTCAAAGACACTTTAAAGTGGTGATAAGAAGGAAATACACAACATTATACACACTTAAAAAGCCCGTCTGAAGAGGTGTGTTTTGTTTTGGTGTATCCTGACGTACCTCTGGGCAGGCGGACGTTAAGCTCACTTCGTGCCACCTGAGCTTGAAGAGGGAAGTCAGCGAGCCGCGACGGGCTGCCACGATCGGGTCTGAACGGAGAGTTTAGGTCGAGACCAGATTCCCCTTCAGCGGTCTTTGAAGAACCCTGGCTGACGTCTCTGGTCAGAGGCCTCACCAGGCTCACAGCGAAAGAAGAAGACCACTGAGAGGATGAGGAGGAGGAGGAAGAGGAGGTCTTCTGTGATGAGATGGGGAGGATATGATCAGAATCCGTTGTGAGAGGAGAGCTGCTCTTCTGGAAGAGGGACAGAGATGAGTTTCCTAATCAGCATTACATTACATATCAACAACTGATACTTAAAACCGCAGTGTGCTGGTAATCATATCATATCAAAGATAACTTGTGGTGCTAGTAATGTCATTATAAGGCCAAATGCTCACAATAGCTGTCTCTCTTAGCTTACAGCGGCAATCGCTATTTGTGTCAAATTCACAACAGCAGTCTACGGTTAAAAATGACACTACCACGTTGAATTACACACACTACGCAAGAAAGTAAATAGTGATGAGTTTCCTAATCAGCATAAAACCAACTAAACTTGAACTGTGGTATCCTTGTGTTATAAATCACAGTACATTAAATATAACTTGTGGCACTACTTTTGTCTTTATAATCAGGGGTGCACATCACTTCTTTGCCCTGGTTCTCAAAGGAGCACCTGGAGATGTTATTTGGTGCTCATCCTTAAAATAAACCGTAACTTTTGAGGGTCTTGACTTTATTTGCCAGACACACGGCACTGAACACACAGAGGTGAACACTGAACACACATGCAGAGGTGAACACTGAACACACATGCAGAGGTGAACACAGAACACACATGCAGAGGTGAACACTGAACACACATGCAGAGGTGAACACAGAACACACATGCAGAGGTGAACACTGAACACACGTGCAGAGGTGAACACAGAACACACATGCAGAGGTGAACACAGAACACACATGCAGAGGTGAACACTGAACACACATGCAGAGGTGAACACAGAACACACATGCAGAGGTGAACACTGAACACACATGCAGAGGTGAACACAGAACACACACTGAGGTGCACACTGAACACACATGCAGAGGTGAACACTGAACACACATGCAGAGGTGAACACAGAACACACATGCAGAGGTGAACACAGAACACACATGCAGAGGTGAACACAGAACACACATGCAGAGGTGAACACAGAACACACATGCAGAGGTGAACACAACACAACATTAGCACGACCAGTAATCCTACAAGCTGTCATCACTACCCTCCTGACTGCTCTCCTCACTGTCTTCCTCTCTGTCAGACATGGTAGCTGATGATGTAGGCCTACTACTTTCTCTCTGGTTGAGTCTGATTAGCTGCTTGCATCCACAAGTCAACAGCTGGGTTTGGGTCGAAAGTCTCTGTTGTCATCTTAGACAAGTGGATGTAATCAAATAAGTATGTGAACATAACCAATAACCTACCATAGCCAATAACAAATGAATGTAACTTATTTTATTTGTGTTGTTCATTCATATCTTATTTTACCTTAACATTTATTTATTTATTCTCTCTCTCTCTCCTCTCTCTCTTTTCTCTTCTCCCTTCTCTCTCCCCTTCTCAATGTTGGTACGCAAATGCGCTTTGTTTCAAATGACCCGGTGCTCTTACCTGCGCACCAGTTATGTGCAGCACTGATTATAAGGCCAAATAATGCTCACATTCGCAGTCTCTTGTGATCGGTACAGCAAAGGATAACACAAAGACTAGCGGGCTAGCTAGTTAGCTTACAGCGGTAATCGTTATTTGTGTAAAGTTCACAACAGGCATGTGAGATTAAAAATGACACTACCATGTTGAAATACACACACTACGCAAGAAAGTAAATAGTGTACACAGTGTACTACATGAAAGTGTGCTAACAGAAGTATCTGAGTCGAGAAACAGGACATTTCTTTGCCTTGCGCAGCAACTGTACATGCTAGGCTAAGCTAATTGGTTGTAGCTTTGTATTTATCGTACAGACATGATAGTAGTTTTAGTCTACTAAATCTAGGCAAGAAAACAAATTAATGTCTTATTAATGTCAATAAATGTCCAAATATTCCTTTACTTTGCTGTAGAAAGGATTTTTTTTAAATGTAGCATGGTCATATATAAAATGAAACTTTTAAAAACATTTGACGAGTGGTATATATTTTGTAATCTTTATTAATATTGAAATGTTGCACATAAGATGTATTACTAGCCTGTTTTTTTATTCGAATATCATGTGATGTATTTAAAAGCTCCAATAATAATAATAAAGCTATCTTTGACCTGAAGTTAATAATATACATTCTATCCATAACAGGCAACACATGTTATGTTGAGGAATAAAATATAATATAGTTTTAGAGAAAGATGTCTTCACAGCCCGGAAACACCTACAGTTCTCGCACAGGTGTTTTCACTCGTTTCCTGATTAGCTCTCATCTGAACCTGATGGACGTGTCTAATCAATAATGCAATTAAAAACACCTGTGAGCAGAGATCTGTGGCTTATACAATCAATATACATATACATAAACAGAACTGAACATCTTAAGTCCCGGACACACTAAGCTGACACCAGAGAACTGACACAGACGGACCCCGGCTGTTGCGTCGCCCCATGTCTCCTGCGTCTTGACCATGTGTCGCACTGGAACACACCGCAAAGACTTCAGCCGACGGCCAAGAAGCACGTAGGCACTGCGCATGCGTGAGTGGCAATAACTCTCCTTACCAGCAGGTGGCGGTAGTGTGTATTCGTCATTCAAAAGAGGCAACAACCGGAAGACAGACTGCGTGATAACCGAGAGAAGAAGAACAGACTGCGTGATGTAAACAAACAACAAATAGCGTGTGCGTTCCATTTTCACTCTACAGCGAGAAGCTCACGGGGCTTTCCCGAACCTGAGTCGAGAGCTGGAGGTAAATGAAATCTCACATTTGCCTTCTTAATCGTTTGTTTGGGTCCCTCACTTCCGTTTAGCTTCTCATGCACTGATTCGCTAGCTGATCAGAGTGATTTCTTTGTCCGAGAGCCTTTGGCCGACTGCCCACCGATTCGAAATATTGAATGGCGGGTTTTCGGCCGAAGGTGTCGGCACGGCTGAAAAGACACAACGGTGCGGGACCTATATATACAGTCTATGTGCGGGACCAACAATCTGAGTAGGGCGTGTCGACGCTCATCGTCGGCCTGACGCCCATCGACGGCCAAAATCGGCTTGGTGTGTCCGGGCCTTTAAATTACTGCTCAGGTCACTTACTCATCTTTTAGTATGAATACACTTTGATAGGCAGAAAGCTCCAGATCACAATCGGTCCACAAACCGGTAAGACGATTCACAGAAAATGAGCTTTAATCACAATTAATTAATACTGTAGCAGGAACATATCCCAAACATGATGTGGTTTCAGATTTAATATCTTAAGCTTTGGATTGTTGTTCATCCATGGACTCTGGGAAATAGGAGTGTGTCCATGTTCCCCAGTTTAATAATCTCGTAAGCTTTTGAAAAGGTTTTATAAAGAGCAGGCAACATGGGATCCTTTTCCATGGTCCCTTTATTTGCCATTTAAATCTGGGCGACAGAGGAATGACCCCTTGGGAAATTATGATGGAAATGTTTCATGACATTTAATTGCAGACCTACAACTTTGAATAGCTCATTATTATTTTTAATGTCGATTAATCTGCCAAAGGTTTTTTAAATTAAAGAGGCCCAATGATGCTTTTGGGGGTTTTCCCTTTCCTGTAGTGTGTAAGCATGTAAATGGTCTGCAAAGGCTAAAATCCCTGTGTTCCCCTCTGCCTGAAACGCCTCCATTGGACTCCTTTGTTTACTTCCAGAACATGGTGACATCACTATGTAACACTCTGCTATTGTCAAGCGCTCCAACACATTGTAGTGATAGGCTAAGGGGCAGGACATCTCTAAGCAGTTGACCAATCACAAGAAAGCCGGCCAGCTAACCAATCAGAGCAGACTGGGCTCTGGGTTCAGACAGAGGGTGAAAAGAGGTGCTGCAGCACAGGCAGTATGAGAAAAATAAAGAGCTTTCTGAACATTAAAGCATGGAGACATGTCACAGTAGAGACACTACATACTGATATACACCTGAACATCAGCAGGAGAGGACTCTTTAAAGTAGAGACACTACATACTGATATACACCTGAACATCAGCAGGAGAGGACTCTTTAAAGTAGAGACACTACATACTGATATACACCTGAACATCAGCAGGAGAGGACTCTTTAAAGTAGAGACACTACATACTGATATACACCTGAACATCAGCAGGAGAGGACTCTTTAAAGTAGAGGACACTACATACTGATATACACCTGAACATCAGCAGGAGAGGACTCTTTAAAGTAGAGACACTACATACTGATATACACCTGAACATCAGCAGGAGAGGACTCTTTAAAGTAGAGACACTACATACTGATATACACCTGAACATCAGCAGGAGAGGACTCTTTAAAGTAGAGACACTACATACTGATATACACCTGAACATCAGCAGGAGAGGACTCTTTAAAGTAGAGACACTACATACTGATATACACCTGAACATCAGCAGGAGAGGACTCTTTAAAGTAGAGACACTACATACTGATATCCACCTGAACATCAGCAGGAGAGGACTCTTTAAAGTAGAGACACTACATACTGATATACACCTGAACATCAGCGGGAGAGGACTCTTTAAAGTAGAGACACTACATACTGATATACACCTGAACATCAGCAGGAGAGGACTCTTTAAAGTAGACACTACATACTGATATACACCTGAACATCAGCAGGAGAGGACTCTTTAAAGTAGAGACACTACATACTGATATACACCTGAACATCAGCAGGAGAGGACTCTTTAAAGTAGAGACACTACATACTGATATCAGGGTTCATACACTTTTTCACCAATGATTTTCAATGACTTTTCCATGACTTCTCAATGACCTTTACCTAATTTTCCATGACCAAAACAAATTACCACTGAAAATGTTTTATTTTAACATGGAACAGGAAAATAAGGTCTGCATATGAAACATGTAGTGCCTACCTAAAACAAATCAAATAGTAGGCTTACTAGCTTCTACACGCTAAAGCAACTGTAGTCAGGGAGGCAAAGTCATCAGGTATGGAAAAGGTGACAAGGACCCGACCCCTGACCCCACGGGATATCGGCTTTAAAATGAGGAATAACAGGATGTTAGCAGTCAGAACAACTAAAGCAGCAGGTAATAATAACAGAAACGCCAAAGAGTCACATCTAATAGAAATATATAAAAGCATTTATTTTAATTGTGTAGCAGTCAGTTTATAATTCTGGCAGCACTGTTGAGCATTTTGAAAATTTATTTTCATGCCTCTGTTCAAGGCTTAGTCTTTCTATCTGTATAGCCACTGGTGTAAAGTAACTACGTTCATAAACTCAACAAGTACTATACGTGGGTACAATTTTGAGATACTTGTACTTTATTTAAATATTTCAATGTTTTGCTACTATGTTCTTCTACTCCACTACAGTTCAGAGGTACATGGTGTACTTCTACTGCACTACAGTTCAGAGGTACATGGTGTACTTCTACTGCACTACAGTTCAGAGGTACATGGTGTACTTCTACTCCACTACAGTTCAGAGGTACATGGTGTACTTCTACTCCACTACAGTTCAGAGGTACATGGTGTACTTTTCCTCCACTACATGTATTTAATACCTTCAGTTACTTTACAGATGTGGATGAATGATGTGAAATATAATCAAGTGTTAAATCAGACTTTAGTTCCACCTGGAGTAAATCCACCAGCTACCCTGCAGTATACAAAGTCATTCAATCTAGCTGCACCTTTACCAGCTTTGAGAACACTTTCATGATCAATCATTATAAAACATATCATATATATTATTCTGAAATGGACCAATCTGCACAATGACTACTTTTGCTGTCGCTACTTTCACTATATTTTGATGATAATACTTTTCTACTTTTACTTGAGGAACATTTTGAATACAGGACTTTTACTGTAACAGAGTATTCCTACACTCTGGTACTTCTACTTTTACTCAAGTACAAGATCTGAGTACTTCTACTTTTACTCAAGTACAAGACCCGAGTACTTCTACTTTTACTCAAGTACGAGACCTGAGTACTTCTACTTTTATTAAGTACAAGATCTGAGTACTTCTACTAAAGTACAAGATCTGAGTACTTCTACTTTTACTCTAGTAAATATCTATACTTATACCACCTGTTTATAGCCTATGAAAACTAGAAAACGAAGGCTAAAGCTAACGTTAGCAGATAGTGACAATGCTAGCTAGCTAGCTCAACGATTCCTTAAATAATATTGCGACAGAAAAACTTTTCAGTTCACATCACGCTCTGCGCTCCGACAGGGAGCTCTGCTCTGAACACCTGAACGGCCCGTTCTAACAGCTGTTCACCAGCGGTGCAGTCTGTGCCAGTGACTCCGCACAGTTAACGAACGCACCGTAGATAATGTAGCTGACCCTCATCCCGGAGCAGCAGAGTTCAGCCGGCCCGACAGGCAGGAAGACTCGAGCACACAGCTCGCGCTTCATATATTATATATACACATAACAGCTCGCGACCGCAGATTATTTCGGCGATTAGATCAAATGTAAATTATATTTGACGCAACTTTAGTTACATTTCCATGACTTTTCCAAAACTTTGGGAGAAATATTGTTTTCCATAACTTTTCCAGGACCTGGAATTTGCATTTTGAATTTCCATGACTTTTCCAGGTTTTCAATGACCGTACGAACCCTGTGATATACACCTGAACATCAGCAGGAGAGGACTCTTTAAAGTAGAGACACTACATACTGATATACACCTGGACATCAGCAGGAGAGGACTCTTTAAAGTAGAGACACTACATACTGATATACACCTGAACATCAGCAGGAAAGGACTCTTTAAAGTAGAGACACTACATACTGATATACACCTGAACATCAGCAGGAGAGGACTCTTTAAAGTAGAGACACTACATACTGATATACACCTGAACATCAGCAGGAGAGGACTCTTTAAAGTAGAGACACTACATACTGATATACACCTGGACATCAGCAGGAGAGGACCCTTTTAATCATTCAGGCTATACAAAATGAACATCACAATTTCCTAGAGGATGCTTTCCAATCTATATTTCTGTTAAAAGCCCTAAAAGCTGCATTTACTATCTCTTTGCCTGAAAAAGGGTTTATCAAACATGGCTGCAGATTCATTTCTGTCTATCAACGAATCAATAAACAATCTATAGGGTAAGTATCAGTAGTACAGTACAATTAATGATATGCAGTTTGGTTCATGCATTTCTCCAGAATTAAAGAAACCTTGAAACTATGAACGCAATGACATTTAAAAGACGATCCGTTCTGTATGTGTGTCACATCACAGCTCAGGGAGAAGGTGCGACAGTGACGCATATGCACCAGAAACTAATTCAGGAGAGAGAGAACAAACGTACGTTTTCTTCCATCAACAGCATGCAATAATTTATCCGAGGATGAAACATAAGCTGCCAGGCTCCCTTGTTTCTATGGAAACTATCAAGTCAATAGCCCAATTGCTCTGGCACGCGTCCCCTAGTGATTCCTTTTTTTTCTTCTGGGTGTTAAGACACAGTATCTACAGTAAGGCTCAAAGCTGTTAGACAACATGTCTCTGAAGCGTTCCAGGACACAAAATGTCTGTCGAGCACCAGCTGAGGATTGTCTCATGTCTGAGCGTGACGTCTACCCAGAGACACTGGCAGGAAAGAGAGCGTGTCGGGAAAGTAGCTCAGTAGGTTATGATCTGGTGTCGTATAGCTGCGGAGCTTTGTGGGAGGAACAAGTTCTTCTACTCATAGCTTTTTCCTCTCTGAGATAAACAGACATTCAGATCTCGCTGGAGTGACAGGGACACAAGATAAAGCCGAGTAAAGCTGGAGAACTTGTGAATAAATACACATGCACTGACCTGGAAACCCGGAAACAAGTCGGCATTCAACGTTTTTTTTTCTTAACATGTTTTTGTTACAGGCCTGAAATAAGGTCTGTGGTTAACACAAGCTGAAGAGATTTCATGTTTTTTCTACGATATGAAAAACGTCCGTAAATACCTCACTGTTAAATTACTGAAGCGTCTACGCGTCCTGTTCGTAGCGAGTGTCTTAATGAGACTACTTAATGCCATTTTGTCAAACATTATCCGCCTTTAGCTTGTGATGACGTGAAGTCATGTGACCGTGATATACAGCAGTTCCTTTATAACCTAATGTTAGATTTTTACTTCTGGAGATTAGTGTTGCACGGTGTACCGATACTTGAAAGGTACCGCGATACCCTGCCGTTAAAAACGTTACGATTCCTCCGTTTCATTAGTATCGGTACTTTAAGAATGATGGGGAAAAGTACTCCGGTGAGAAAGCGCTGTTTTAATAAGAGCTGTGTGTGTTCAGCGCTCTGCTTCCACTCCCTGCTCTGCAGCCGTGCCTGCAGCCCCGCCCCTCTCAAGCACGCTCTAAGTCCCTCCCCTCTCTCGTGCACGCGCTAGCTGCCAGAGCATGTGAGAAAACGGGGAGCAAGTGGCTGCAAGTGGGAGTGCAACTGCCGCTGCGCCTCGGCTTGTTGACAAAAAAGACGCCAGAAGTGACATTTGGAAGTATTTGAGCTATATCTCTGACAGTGAGGGCAAGCCTACGGACACCACGAGGCCTGTCTGTAAGACATGGTTTAGATCACTGCAAACCAAGGGAGCCAACACATCAGACTTGGCTAAGCACCTGTTTAAAGAATTTAAAGACAGACAGGTTAGCGAATGTGATAGATAACATAATGCTCAAGCCCATGCCCTCAAATCTAAGTCAAACAAGTTTAATTTATTTGATGACAAACGAACGTTTTCGTAGTTTGACGAGGCAATTAATGGCAATGATAACTGTCTAATATCTTTTTAGCTAACTTACCAATGTGGCTAACATTTGCAATGTACATTTTGTCAATAATTATTTATATTACTGTACTATTACATGTTAATAAAATATAAAGTTAACTATCAAAGAAATCACATAAACTCAAGTATAAAGAAGAGACCATGTTGTAAGAAAACACTTAACAGATAAACTACAATTTTATTCATCATGAAAATAATAAAAGAAAAGTATCGAAAAAGAATCGGAATCGCAATTCTTGACTTGGTATCGGTATCGAAACCAAAATGTTGGTATCGTGACAACACTACTGGAGATTGGATGTACGCTTGAACTGTTATAAAAGTGGTGTTAATATGTGGAGATTATCCTGTTGAACATAAACGTGCATTTTCCACAGATCATCATTTCTGCAATATTCCAAAATGCAATGGAATATTCCCAATGTCTTCTTGGGAGCACTTGCGATGCTAAATTCCAGGTTGAAGTACATCATACATACGTCATCCATGTACCACTTAATTATGTCATTTTTCTCAAACATTATCTGCCTTTAGCTTAGCGGTGGTGAAGTCATGTGACCGTGATGTAGTTCCTTGATAGCCTAACGTTAGCTTTTTACTTATGGAGATTGCATTTACACGTATACAAGTGGTGTTAATATGTGGAGATAATCCTGCCTAACAACATTTTTGTTGGCCACAAATCTTATTTTCTGCAATAATCCAAAATCCAATGAAAGAATCCTATTGGGTTTTTGTAGAGGGGGCTCTTGCAATGATACATTTTGGGTCAGCGTACAAAAATACATCATTCATGTACCACATAATTAACAACAACAAACAGCCTCTCCTCACCTTCTTGAGGGTGGTGCGGGTGCCCTGCATGTAGCTGCGATGCATCTCTAACACCTTCTGCGGTCGGCTGCGGATCCACGCGCTGAGCGTCTCGATGGGGGATCCGTTCACACACCACTCAGTCACCCCAAACTGCCTCAGGTGGGCCCGGGCGTGGCTGGCCAGAGCCTTTCGGTTCTCAAAGTAGAAGCCACACAGCTCGCAACTGGGATCTGAGAAACACAGGGTAAATGGAGGACATTTATATCGGGATTTTTCAGTCTTTTTGAGGGTTCATTATCTGGCCCATGGTCACTAAATGTTGACAACCGGGGCATAGGGATCGAACCATCTTTCCTTCTACTGGTTGGAAACCCTATTTTTTTTAAGAAGGTTTTGAAATGAGTAAAATGACCCAGAAGAATCTAATTGGGAAGCTATAATAAGAGATGATGAGTTGAGTTGAGTTGTAATGCTTTCTTGATTATCTCCTTTGGCATACACTGGATCATACTTTACCAAAGGAAAGGAGATAATGCCGTTTCCTAGCGGCAAGATTTTAAGCGACACACCATTCCTTCAATTTAGTTGTATATAAAATATTGTTCTTAGGAGGTGGGATCATGTATTGGCCAGGAAATCTGACTTAAATTGTACAGCATTGAGTATTTCATTGTACTCAATGTGTTATAAACAGGGCTGCACATAACTGGTGCGCAGGTGCGCATGCGCACCCGCCACAAAAAAAGGAGCACCGGATCATTTGAAAAAAGGCGCATTTGCGCACCAACATTGAGAGAGAGAGAGATATTTGCGAGTTGCATATGAACTGGTAAGATAGCAGGGTTTCCCACACATAGACTTTACCTGGGCGGGCCACCCAGGTATATTAACGGCCGCCAAAGTATAATTTGTAAGCCGTTTAGGTTTGATTTTTTTAATCCGTCCGCGAGCACGACGGCATCTGTCGATCCCTCGCTCTACCCCCTCGCTATCGTGTGAAGGGTCTGCTTTATGCACTCCGCACAGTAACCCTGCTGCGAGGCTCCGGTGAACAGTCCATGAGCGTGCTCACTAGCGCAACTCCCCCCCCCCCCGTTTATTCTTTCACACACACATACGGGTATTGGGCCGAGCGCCACACCGTACTTCCGGTCTGCGCCGTTTTACGCGAGGTGCAAGCAGCCGTACACCGTCTAGGTGTTGCTAAGCTTTCTGTACTGAATATCATAGTCTATTGCCTTAATCAATATCTAGTCAACTCTAAAATACCACATATATGCATTGGCATGATAATATTATTGTGACAAGTGGGGTATTCACCTGGTGTTTCCAGAAATTAGACGTAGATGCAGCCAAAATCGACTAAGGCCACTGTCGTTTTTCCATACATCTGCAGGCAGTCTGTAACAACCCACACAGCTATAGTTTACGCTGGTAACGACCTAAAGCACACCCCTCAAGTCCAGAGATGTAATCCGAAGACATGCAGCGATTTCTTCGGTCGTTAATTCAGAAAAAAAACCTAGCTAGTTAGCTAGCTGTTTATATTTGCACTTCCAGGATATTAGCACCTCCAGGAAAATGGCGCATTTATATATATTATATGGCGCGTGTTGCATTGTGGGTAGCTCGTGACATCACTGTGTGTGAAAGAATAAAGTCAAGTACCCCTCAAAAGGTCCGGTTTATTTCATTTTAAGGATGCGCACCAAGCAACATCTCCAGGTGCTCCTTTGAGAACCAGGGCAAAAAGGTTGTGTGCACCCCTAGTTATAAATGAAGTTACAGTCAAAACTAGACAAGTAAAATGTGCAATCGAATTTTTTCAGCACCATGGTTGACCGCCTCGCAATTCAACACAATATAATAAAAAACCTCCGTACAACTCACCCTGGTGTCCGTGTTTGTCCGGGGAGGGTTTTCTTTTGTAGGAGAAATCATGCGTCAGAGGAGAGAAAGTCTTTAGTGAATGGGTGGTCTCCACTGATTGGCCCTCCTCAGAAAGAGGTCTTTTCCCCAGTGGAGACACCCTGAAGAACTTCCCTGCAGGAGGGGTAGCAGATGCAGACCCCAGACCCTGCTTGTGGAGCCTCGACCCCCCCGACTGCAGCAAACTCAGCGGAGATTTACGGTATTTAGACAACTGGTATCCAGAAACGCCCAAACCCTCTGAACTGCCGATGTTATCCCACAAAGGGCTGCTGGCTCCTGGAGTCGACTCCTTCTTCACTCCCTGGTCTGATCGAGAGGATGCCCCCCCCCCTCGTTTGTGCATGACCTCCCTCAGGGTGTCGATGGGCGAGCCGTTGACCGACCACTCAGTGATTCCCATCTGACGCAGGTGGGATCGGGCGTGGCTGCTGAGGCCTTTACGGTTCTCAAAGTATTCCCCGCAGAACTCACAGCGGATATCCCTCGTAGGCTCCACCTCGTGGGACATGGCTGTTGAAAGAGCAGAGCGAGACTTTCAGTGGAGAGAAACGTGGTTATTATAATCTGAATCAGTGTTTTTTCAGAGGTGGAAGAAGTACTCAGATCTTGTACTTGAGTAAAAGTAGAAGTACTCAGATCTTGTACTTGAGTAAAAGAAGAAGTACTCAGATCTTGTTCTTGAGTAAAAGTAGAGGTACTCAGATCTTGTACTTGAGTAAAAGTAGAAGTGTCACACTCCTAGGTTTATGTCACGGTTTTAGTGTTGTCTGTCTGGTTATGGGTTTTGTAAGTGTAACACTTCTTATCTTGGGCTATGCTATCTGACTAGAAGGATTCTGGGTTCTACTAGAGTGGATAGACAGGTAAGTAATTAGAACAGAGACCAGGTGGTTTGAATAGAACAGCCGGCAATTTACTGACGAAATAGACAAATAGACAAAACATTAAACATAGACAATGAATATTTTCTGCAGTATAATCAGAGGTAAGTATTTCACCTTTCCCTTGTTTTCTGATTTCTGTGACTTAGTAAATGGTATCCATATAGGATGAACAAAATAAAATAGCCTATTTTATTTTAGACCGGTCTACTAAGTATTATTTATAGATTTTTCCTATTTTAATCTCTTCAATATGCTGAGTTAACTCTTTTTCTTTTCCCTTTTCACGGGTAAAATATATCTAATTCAATGAGAAAAACCACAATTGTACCATCAATGAAATCAAATGACAAATGAAAACCTAGAGTACAATATATAGTGTCTCTTTAAATCCAGGTACAACTTAAATCCAGTTCCAACCATATATAATCTCTTCAATACTCCTACCACTCACTGGCAGTGAGTTCAGCTATTGTCTCTTGATAAACCAGCAAGTCCTCTCACTGGCACGAAGATCAAAGCAGTCCGTGGGTCTGGCTTGCCATCTTGTATCAGAGCGCGTGTGTGTGTTGTCCACTCACTCGCGATCAACTTTCTTATCCAGTCCAAAAAAACCTGACCTGTACGACAGGTCATGAAAGAATATACATATAATATAGACTAACAATATAAATTATATAATTACATTTTCAAAACTACTGCAAACTTAGCTCTTTTGTCAATACAGCTTATAATGGGGCTCAAAATGGCAGCTTTACTCTCCTCTACACGTGTCATTTATCCTGTTCAAATAACACATATTTCCCCTTGTAAAATACACATTAAAGCCACGTAGTTTCAGCCAAACAAAATAACAAATACATGACATTGCAAGCCATGTTCATGGCTTCCCTTACAGTTCAACAACATGAAATGCTAACAATGAAGCTAACATTAAATCACTCATACAAAACTTTTCTATGAAAAGGTTTGACTCACCAAAACACCGTTGGTTAATGTTCTATACCGTCTACTGGGTTTCCCGACCGTGTGGATGGTATTTTTTATCTTTTTTAAATCAACTTCGAATCACTTTTAATATAATTTACTCCGCTCATCTCATCTGCGTCTTGCTCCGTTTTCTCTTTTCTCCTGCTACGCTGCGCATGCCTGGTGGTGAGCAGAGATCCCTTAAGGAACAGTACCTTGTAATTTGTCATACTACTTTTATTTATTATATTTTTAAAGGGATTGGTCATTGTTATTATTGACCAATTGTAAGCGTGTATCCTTTAATGAAATCACTTTTGAATGACTTTATGCTTACTATGTTTTAATGTGGGTTACATAAGTCTGTTCATTTGGTGTTTTGTCTTCCTCCTTAGGCGCATTCACACCGCAGTACTTTTCCCACAAAGGTTAATCAGAATTTAGTTCATGAGAACTCTTTAGTTCTCATGAACTAAGTACAGATTGCGTTCACACAGCGGAATAAGTCTCTGGGGGAGGATTAGGCAAATGAAGCCGCTGACGTCACTTCTTCTTCTTCTGCTTTGGGTTTACTGGCAGGCCGCAAACCACTTCACGGCGTATACTGCCACCCGAAGTCCCCGTCCGGAAGTCCCCGGAGTTGGGGACTGGCAGCTTCTACTGAAGCCTTCCGAGTAAATCGCCAGAACGCCGACACCTCCTCATCTCCACCGCTCCCATGTTTTATTTTGTGTTGCCATAAGTTAGTCTCTCTGCGTTTCTGCGCTGGGCTAATGCTAATGCTAATAATGCTAATGCGAGGATAATAAAATGGCGGCTTCACAAAACTCTTTGGGAGTTTTACGGGCGTGGTTTGCAATCCGCCCAGCCAATCAGACATAGGAACCTTTTTCTCCCACGAAAGTCCCTGCTCTCTAGCAGGGACGGAAAAGGGGGTGAAAAGGTTATCATTAACTCATTTTAGTTCCGGCTCTTTTTGGTGTGAATGCAATATTTCGGAACTAAAGTGGGAAAAGTACTGCGGTGTGAACGCGCCTCTTGTGTTTTGTCTGGTCCTCCTCCCTGTCGTTAGTTTCCCTGGTGTGTCTGATTGTCTCATTGTGTTCACCTGTTGCCCTTGTGTTTCTCCCTCCCCTGCCCAGCTGTGTCTTGTCCTGTGATTACCCTTCTGTGTATTTAGTCTAGTCTTCCCCTGTGTTCCATGTCGGTCCATTGTTTCCCCTCCATGTTTCCACGGTCTGTGTTCCTTGTGCTGCTCGTTTGTTTTTTGGATATTTTTGGATACTGCCTTTTTGCCACAGCTTTTATGATTTAATAAAGCTCGCTTTTTGTTAAATTCTGCATTTGGGTCCTACCTTTTCCACGCATCCTGACAGAATGGACCGACCAACAATGGACCCAGCAGATTTTTATTTTTATTTGGACTTGTTCTCCCTAGAGTACACTCTTCAGTGTCATTATGCTGAATGGAGTAGAACCTCGGCTAAAAGGGACAAAGAGGCTGTCCTCAAAAAGGCACACATGGAGGTGGACAACGTGCCATGGTTGAGAAGCTCATTGCCTGAGTTTCTCAGAGTTTTTTCTCGTAGCCCTGAGTGCCAGTCTCCATTCTCTGACCCTTTCTTGGGATCCCGCCTGGCGTTTGGAGGTCCACGGAGCCTCCAAAAGACCTCTAAAAGACTCAGATACCGGTCCTAGCAGCCATGGTTCCGGCTCCAGTGCCGGCCTCAGCAGCCATGGTCCCTGCTCCAGAACCGGACCTTACAGCCATGTTTCCGTGCTCCAGTGCTGGCCCACACAGTCATGGTATCGTGCTCCAGTACCATCCCACACAGCCATGGTTCCGTGTTCCGGTTCCTTGCCCAGCAGCCATGGTTCTGGCTCCAGTGCCGGCCCCAGCAGCCATGGTCCCTGCTCCAGAACCGGAACTTACAGCCATGTTTCCAGCTCCAGAACCGGCCCACACAGCCATGATCCAGGCTTCAGTTCCGGTTCCCACAGCCATGGTTCCAGCCCCAGTCCTGGCCCCAGCAGCCATGTTTCGGCTCCAGTACTGTCTCTCCGGCCGACGCCAGCTCCCCGAGTCCTGTCGGCGTACCGGCCGACTCCAGCACCCCGTGTCCTGTCGGCGTACCGACCGTCTCAAGTCACCTCTCCAGTTCCCTCTCCAGTCTCCTCTCAAGTCCCCTCTCAAGTTCTCTCTCTAGTCCCCTCTCGAGTCCCCTCTCCAGTCTCCTCTCGAGTTCCCTCTCCAGTCCCCTCTCCCGTCACCTCTCAAGTACCTTCTCGAGTCCCCTCTCAAGTCACCTCTCCAGTTCCCTCTCAAGTCTCCTCTCAAGTCCCCTCTCAAGTTCTCTCTCGAGTCCCCTCTCGAGTTCCCTCTCGAGTCCCCTCTCGAGTTCCCTCTCCAGTCTCTTCTCGAGTTCCCTCTCCATTCCCCTCTCCAGTCACCTCTCAAGTACCTTCTCGAGTCCCCTCTCAAGTCACCTCTCGAGTTCCCCCTCAAGTCCCCTTACAAGTCAACTCTCGAGTTCCCTCTCAAGTTCCTTTTCCAGTCACCTCTCGAGTCTCCACTCAAGTTCCCTCTCGAGATCCCTCTCAAGTCACCTTTCAAGTCATCTCTCGATTCCCCTCTCAAGTCACCTCTCAAGTCTCCTCTCGAGTTCCCTCTCGAGTCCCCTCTCGAGTCTCTTCTCGAGTCCCCTCTCAAGTCACCTCTCAAGTTCCTACCCGAGTCCCCTCTCAAGTTTCCCCTCAGGTCTCCTCTCGAGTTCCCCTCTCGAGTTCCCTCTCAAGTTCCCTCTCAAGTCCCCTCTCGAGTCCGCTCTCGAGTTACCTCTCAAGTCACCTCTCGAGTTCCCTCTCAAGCCCTCTCTCGAGTTCCCTCTCGAGTCCCCTCTCCAGTCACCTCTCGAGTTCTCTCTCAAGTACCCTCTCGAGTTCCCTCTCAAGCCCTCTCTCGAGTCTCCTCTCGAGTCTCCTCTCGAGTTCCCTCTCGAGTCCCCTCTCAAGTCAACTCTCCAGTTTCCTCTCGAGTTCCCTCTCAAGCCCTCTCTCGAGTCCCCACTCAAGCCCCTACTCAAGTGCCGTTGGAGGTTCCGCTGGGGGTCCTGCCAACTCCATGTCCTGTCCTGTTGGGGGCCCCGCCGACTACTCTTCTGCCGGGGGTCCTGCCAACCCTATGTCCTGTGCCGTCGGAGGTCCCGCCGACTACTCTCCTGCCGGGGGTCCTGCCAACCCTATGTCCTGTCCCGTTGGGGGTCCCGCCGACTACTCTTCTGCCGGGGGTCCTGCCAACCCTATGTCCTGTGCCATCGGAGGTCCCGCCGACTACTCTCCTGCCGGGGGTCCTGCCAACCCTATGTCCTGTCCCGTTGGGAGTCCCGCCGACTACTCTTCTGCCGGGGGCCTGCCAACCCTATGTCCTGTGCCGTTGGAGGTCCCACCATCACCTGTCTCGCCGGGGGTCCTGCCAACCCTATGTCCTGTCCCGTTGGGAGTCCCGCCGACTACTCTCCTGCCGGGGGTCCTGCCAACCCTATGTCCTGTCCCGTTGGGGGTCTCGCCGACTACTCGTCTGCCGGGGGTCCTGCCAACCCTATGTCCTGTGCCATCGGAGGTCCCGCCGACTACTCTCCTGCCAGGGGTCCTGCCAATCCTATGTCCTGTTCCTCTGGGGGTCCCGCCGACAACTCTTCTGCCGGGGGTCCTGCCAACCCCTTGTCCTGTTCCGTTGGAGGTCCCGCCATCACCTGTCTCGCCGGGGGTCCTGGCAACTCCTGGTCCTCTTCCGTGGGGGATCCTGCCGAAGCCTGTCCCACTGGCTCCGTTCCTGTTCGGCCGACACCGGGTTCTGCCCGGCCTCCGGAGCTGTCTGGTCTTCGCCCTAGAGCCCGGCCCCCTGAGAGCCACGGTCTTCGCCCTCGAGCCCGGCCCCCTGAGAGCCGCGGTCTTCGCCCTCGAGCCCGGCCCCTGAGTGCCGTGGTCTTCGCCCTCGGGCCCGGCCCCTGAGTGCCGTGGTCTTCGCCCTCGGGCCCGGCCCCCTGACTCTTCCTGCCGCTGCCTTCGCCCTCATGCTCGGCCCCCTGAGTTCGCCCGCTGTGGCCTTCGCCCCTCCTTGGTCTCTGCCTTGCCCCCGGGCCGTCCGCCCGAGTTCCCCTCCTTGGTCTCTGCCTTGCCCCCGGGCCGTCCGCCCGAGACCCGTTTCCACGGTCTGTGTTCCTTGTGCTGCTCGTTTGTTTTTGGATATTTTTTGATACTGCCTTTTTGCCACAGCTTTTATGATTTAATAAAGCTTGCTTTTTGTTAAATTCTGCATTTGGGTCCTACCTTTTCCACGCATCCTGACACAAGTACTCAGATCTTGTTCTTGAGTAAAAGTAGAAGTACTCAGATCTTGTACTTGAGTAAAAGTAGAAGTACCAGAGTGTAGGAATACTCTGTTACAGTAAAAGTCCTGCATTCAAAATGTTCCTCAAGTCAAAGTAGAAAAGTATTATCATCAAAATATAATTAAAGTAGCGACAGTAAAAGTAGTCATTGTGCAGATTGGTCCATTTCAGAATAATATGATGTTTTATAATGATTGATCATTAAAGTGTTCTCAAAGCTGGTAAAGGTGCAGCTAGTTTGAATGACTTTGTATACTGCAGGGTAGCTTGTGAATTTACTCCAGGTGGAACTCAAGTCTGATTTAAGTGTTAATAATTGTGGCAGGAAGCTAGCTTGGGGAGCTCTCAGATACCTTTCTGGTTGTTCTTTGTTTACTCAGGCGAACAAAATAGTCTGTGTTCTAGTTTTGAAGAGGACGTTTAAGCTTGCTGGGGACCATAGCACTGTTGGGTAGCTTTTCCCCACACACGGCTCACCAATGGCTAATTATTTGCAGCAACAACATAGCAATTTTTTGGACCTATTAAGTTTAACTGGCCAATTTCCCACGGCACACCTGGCGATCTCTCACAGCACAGTGGTTGAAAATCACTGATACAATACAGCTTTATTTATAAAGCACTTTAAAACCTCCAGACCAAAGTGCTGTACAGTCAAATAAACACACAAAACATTAAACAAATCACACAGCTCAGCTCACACACCTTAAACAAGTACAAGCAAAAACAATAGACGATTTAAAAGCAATAAAAGCAACAATCTACAAGATGTCAATATGCTAAGGAGAAGAGGTGGGTTTTCAGAAGTGATCTAAATGACATTAACATAATATATATATTACCCAGGTTGAGGGGGAACACGCTGTCGGAGCTGCTCCAGCTGCAGTTCAGAGCGTCACCAGAGAATCCTGACGTCCTTCCAACAGATCCAGGAGCTGTGACCTCCATCTGCACCGGCTCGGGCTTCAGATTCAGGATCAGCCCGCTAGAAGAAGAGGTGGGGGGAGTGGAGCTGGATTTAGACTGAAGAGGACTGGCAGGGCGGGCGAAGGCGAAGGGCAGACGGCTGAGGAGGGAGGAGGAAGGAGACGAGGAGGAGGTGGGCAAGGGGGAACGAGGGGGTCCCGGAGAGGAGTGAGGGGGACTTTTGAGAGGTTTCAGAGGAAGAGCACAAGGCAGGCCTCGTCTCGTGATGACTTCCCTCAGGGTGTCGATGGGCGAGCCGTTGACCGACCACTCGGTGATTCCCATCTGACGCAGGTGGGATCGGGCGTGGCTGCTGAGGCCTTTACGGTTCTCAAAGTATTCTCCGCAGAATTCACAGCCTATTTCCTTCGGAGGTTCGCCTAGAGGATTAGAGATGAGAAATGGGTTCAACAGAGAAAGCAAACAGCAGAGATGGCAAAGTACATGCATCCTTTACTCAAGTAGAAGTACAGATACTCGTGTTTAAAAATACTCTGGTAAAAGTAGAAGTACTGACTAAACTTCTTTACTCAAGTAAAAGTAAAGAGGCTTTGAAATGTACCTCAGTAAAAAGTACCCATAACTAGCAGCTGTTTTAAAGAGTACCTGACCTCCCTTTATATTAATAGAACAATAATGTCATGTTAGCTAATGAATGTTTCCATGCTGAACAACGGCAACATGACAACGTTTTCATTGGTCCCTCTTCTTTAGAGAAGACCAGGAAATGATGGATACACGGATCGTGTTCAAATCAATAGGCACGCAATGACTCTAAAGAATAATGATCACGCCACCAGACACACATTCAGACTAAAGGAACCAGCCTGTTTGGAAAATGTGAGAAGTAGAAAGTACAGGTATTTGTGTTCAACATGTAAGAAGTAGAAAGTACAGGTATTTGTGTTCAACATGTGAGAAGTAGTAGAAGTACAGGGTATGTGTGTTCAACAATGTAAGAAGTAGAAAGTACAGGTATTTGAGTTCAACATGTAAGAAGTAGAAAGTACAGGTATTTGGGTTCAACATGTAAGAAGTAGAAAGTACAGGTATTTGAGTTCAACATGTAAGAAGTAGAAAGTACAGGTATTTGGGTTCAACATGTAAGAAGTAGAAAGTACAGGTATTTGTGTTCAAAATGTAAGAAGTAGAAAGTACAGGTATTTGTGTTCAACATGTAAGAAGTAGAAAGTACAGGTATTTGGGTTCAACATGTAAGAAGTAGAAAGTACAGGTATTTGGGTTCAACATGTAAGAAGTAGAAAGTACAGGTATTTGTGTTTAACATGTAAGAAGTAGAAAGTACAGGTATTTGGGTTCAACATGTAAGAAGTAGAAAGTACAGGTATTTGTGTTCAAAATGTAAGAAGTAGAAAGTACAGGTATTTGGGTTCAACATGTAAGAAGTAGAAAGTACAGGTATTTGGGTTCAACATGTAAGGAGTAGAAAGTACAGGTATTTGTGTTCAACATGTAAGAAGTAGAAAGTACAGGTATTTGTGTTCAACATGTAAGAAGTAGAAAGTACAGGTATTTGTATTCAAAGTGTAAGAAGTAGAAAGTACAGGTATTTGGGTTCAACATGTAAGAAGTAGAAAGTACAGGTATTTGTGTTCAAAATGTAAGAAGTAGAAAGTACAGGTATTTGTATTCAAAGTGTAAGAAGTAGAAAGTACTTGTATTTGTATTCAAAGTGTAAGAAGTAGAAAGTTCAGGTATTTGTGTTCAAAATGTAAGAAGTCAAAGTAAAAAGTCATCAGAAAAATAAGTAGTGGAGTAAAGTACTGATACCAGAAACATGTACTTAAGTACAGTAACAAAGTATTTGTACTCCACTACTTCCCACCTCAACAGTGTCATAATATTGGTTTCATTTTCTTAACACACTCTCTTTCTTCTTGCACTATTTTATCTGTTTTATTTGTTCTATGTCCTCTATATATGTTGCACTGTTGGAGGAGCCTGTGATCTAAGTTTTTCATTGACATATCTACACTGTAGCATGAACACATGACAATAAAGCCTTGAAATCTTGATATTGAAATCTTGAAATCTTTGTGTCGTGTCTGGTTTCAAGGTTTGAGCAGGCGGTGGACCCAAACACGGAAACCAAAGGAAAGAAGGTATAAATAACCGAAAGCAAACTTTACAAAACTCTTAACAAAAAGCTGGTAACCACAAAACTGAGGAAGCAGGAAATCAAAACAAAGGAAAAGCAGACAAAACTAAACAAGGGTAGCAAATCCACAGGGGAACATGAGGAATAATCAGGGGATGAATAAAGACAGACTGATCACATCAGGTAACAAAGACGGGAAACACTAACAACAAACTGAGAGAGAAAACTGGCTCACATCAACAACACACAGCTGGAGAATGTAGGCAACAACACTGGTGCTGTGTCTCAATTGGGTTACTTCAAACTGCCTTGCGTGCACTGTGGATCCATTTCATCCGTGTAGTGTTGTCTTAAATCAAACACTGAAAGTAACAATAGCCAACTAGCTACACGGCTAACAGCTAGCAACATTATTGTTTGCAATAGAAAATCATTAGAGATGGTTGAATTAACCCAATAAATTGTATGGTGGCTTATTTTCCCAGCAGTATCCCGGTGTAACGGAGTTAAAAATGTGTATAACTAATTATTAGTTTATAAATTACAATTTGTGTTAAACCGGCTATTTAAGTTTATGAAAGTGATGTATGTTGTTAAGTGTCAATTTGGGTATATTATTAACCCGTTTTTGTTTCCAAAAGTTGAAGAGATTTCATGTTTTTTCTACAACATAAAAAACTGTTAAAAGTTTCCACCATAAGAAATTGTATTTTTGAGTGATATTTACGGTGTGGTTTTGGCGGGAAATAGACGCGATCTGCATCATTTTCTTTGTTTACATGTCAACACTTTCGCGGATGTAAAGAGAATATTGTTTTTGTTCTCAGGTATGTTTGTATTTTGTGTGGTTACTTAAAAATAAGATTTTCTTGGACATTTAATAATTTCTCATTGTATAAATAAGCTAGTATGTATAGATAAATACTAGAGTCACACTGAAGTGAGCACTGCTGAGGATGTGCAACGCGGATGTAAAGAGAATATTGTTTTTGTTCTCAGAATAAATGCCAGAAAAGACACCCAGATGCTTCGCTGTCGTTTCCTGATCGATAACAGGTCGCTTACGGTTGTGACCCATTACACCAGGATGATAAATAAATATTGAAAGAAAACCACGCATATAATTGTAATGTTCACTGAAGCAACAGCAATGGCGGCTGGTACTCAGACTTCCACTACGTAAAATATGGCGATCTTTGAGTGCTTTTTGACCGTTAAGAGGGCACCATCCGGGTACTCATAGTGCATTTTGCCCTACTTCACATTGGGCCACACTTATGCAATAAAAATACCAAATGTAAGTACAGAATTACGCCAATTGAGACACAGTAAAGAGCAGCAGGGTAATTACACAAAGGTGGATAAAATCAGGGCAGGGCATACAATCACAAAAAGGCGGGAAAACACAAAGACTAGAAGTGAAATCAGACATGACACAAGAAGAGAGCTTTAACAAAACACAACAAAAACAATTAAAGATTATGATCAACAGATTCGGACTAGTGAAGCCCACTTTATGTTAAGTGTTGTCCCATAAATCCAGTAGACATAACACAAGGGTGCTTTTACTAAATAAAACTGAAAAAAACAAGATCATGACAGATAATTCTGACATGTAAAGCCCACTTTTGTTTCTACTCGTCCCATATCTCCTGTGAAACAACACTCACTGTGCGGCAGGATGTAAGATGTAAGTACAGAAGTACGCCAATTGAGACACAGCAAAGGGCTGCAGGGTGATCACGCAAAGGTGGATAGAATCAGGGCAGGGCACAAAAAGAAGGGAAACCAGAAATGACACAAGAAGAGTGTTTTTAGAGAATAAAACAGAAAACTAAATCATTACGGATCAAATTCGGACATGTGAAGCCCACTTTATGTTAAGTATTGTCCCATAACTACTGTAAACAACACTCACTGTGCGGCAGGGCCATGAGCTCCCCGCTGCTCAGGCGGAAGACCCTCATGGAGGAGGACTTGTTGCGCTTGGCAGGTGGGCCGAGTAACGATGAGGTAGCTTTGGACGTAGCCCCCCCCCCGAGCTGTGGTCATCTTGTAGAGGAGGGATGAAGAGGAGGAGGAAGAGGAGGAGAGGCTCAGCAGAGAAGCAGACCGCGGACCATCGTCCAGGTGCATGGCCCCGGCTTTGTGCTTGAAGTCGTCCGTGTCGATGAGCCGGTGCAGCAGGTCGATGGGAGAGCCCTTGGATTCGGAGTACTCCACCCCGAAGTGCCGCAGGTGGGCTCGGGCGTGGCTGGACAAACCTTTCCGAGTCTCAAACCAGGCGCCGCACAGGTGGCACACGATGTCCTTGTTGGGGTCCACCTCCAGCGCTGAACAGGAAGTAGAAATAAGTTAGATAATGCTGCGGTGGAATACTGTTTGTTGCCTCAGGAAGGTTTCGAAATGTGTAAAATCACCAAGAAGAATCTAATTGGGATACCATGATAAGATATGGTTTCATTCTTTAAATGCTAAGGAAAAATTGTTCAATGCTTTCTTTCTTATCTACTTTAGCACAAGGGACACTGGACCATCCTTCACCAAGAAAATGCCGTCCGAAATGTTCCATTGTTTTCTATGAATACATGAAATCATTCTCCTTAGGACGTGTGATCCTGTTTTGTACACAAATCCTAACATGAATGGTACTGCACAGAGTTTGTCACTGTACTCAATGTGTTATAAATAAAGTTGATTTTAAATAACCATCATCCATAGCCTAGTATTTTTAACACTACAACCATTCTCCTTAATAATCTTCCCTTGGCCTCATGTTGTCTTTTATCAGAGGTCAAATAAGTGTGGATAGGAAAAGACATAGGACGTAATCTTATAAATAAAGTTGCTTTTAAAAAACAAATATCCGTAGCCTCGTATGAGTGCAGTGGGATTCTCTTAGCACCACAATTGTCTTTTTCTAAGTCCTTAAGAATTCTCCTTTGCATCTTTTCTTGACCTCATAACATTTTCCTTCGAGGTCAAGGACAAGTAGTTAAGAGAAGACATTTATTTTTACAATTTGACCGCAGAAAACAAAACCTCATCATCAGAGAAACTCACTGAGGTTGAGCGGAGCGTCATTCTCCTGCGGCGCCCAGATGGGTTTGTTGGAGAGGTTGGAGGTAAAGCCTTTCATTCCCCCGGCCTTGCGTTCGGGGGAACGTAAGGGGGAAGACACCGGCAGCAGAGAGGAGATGGGGGCTTTCCTCACCACCGAGGAGGGGGATCCAGAGCGAAGAGGAACCGGAGAAGAGACCGGAGAGGAGGAGGAAGAGCAGGGCCGCACTGCTTTCGCTACTTTGGCCAGGAGGGAGAGAGGGAGGGGCTTCTCGTCTAAGTCCATGTCTCCTAATGCCTCATCTTCCCGGGGATCAGAAGGAGAGGGGTTCTTGGTGGAGAGAGGCTCCAGGAGAGAGGAGATTTCTTTTTGGCCGTCCACGTGTTGCTGCTTGGAGATCTGGCGGAGGATGTCTACGGACGCCCCCCGGCTCTCGGAGGCGCTGAGGCCCAGCCGGCGCAGGTGAGAGCGGGCGTGGATGGAGAGACCCCGCCTCGTGGCAAACTGAGATCCACACACCTCACACTTCAAGGAGCGGACTGCAGGGGCAAAGGAGGCAAACACAGCAGGTGAGAGGGACTCAATATTTCGGACCGCTAGAATAGAAAATCTGCTCAAAGAGTGCAGGAAAACCTGTTCAGACACTAAGAATAAACATACCATAATAATAAATTCGCCAAAAACATTGTCTCTGACCCTAACCATGTCGTGAACAGTGAATATGAATTGTTGCCATTAAGTCGGAAGTGCAGGATCCAACAACTTAATAAGGTTAGACTGAACAGAGTTGGTGTTTTTTAGGTGGTGCCAAACAGACACGATGTGCGTATGTGTGTGTAAGGCAGCTCATAAAAACATTTATGATATATGTGAGTGACCTCTGGCCTATTGGTCAGTGCATCTGTAGGTGAGATATTATGAATAAGGCTGCACAATTAATTGAAACTGTATTGAAATGGCAATATGGACTAGTGCAATGTCAAAATCCAAAAAGCGTAATATTTGGTTATCAAATCATTTATATTAAGTATTCTGAATAGGTGTCAGAATAAATCCCAGGATTAAAATCGGAGGGTTATACGCATTATTTATACATTTCATAAAGTAACTGATCCAATTGACATTCTGCAAAGCAACAGCAGGTGTCCCAGGTTCCTTCAGAGGCCACAGAAACCCCAGAGGAAATGTCACCTCACTTACACTTCCTGTCTACATCCTCTCCCACTCTGCGGGAACACTTGCCAAATTAGCTTCTAAATACACGTGTCTGCCTGTGAGGATTTCCCCGGGGAGCCCCCCCTCTCTGATGCAGTGCCTCCGAACTCCTCAACGCCGACCCGAGGTCCCTTTTTACAATTTCCCCCACTGACAGCTACGATAAGGCTCGAGCTGTAGCAAATCCAATCCCCTGTCAACACGGTGGGGGTCAGCGTTCGAGGGGAAGACATACTTTAGTTCCCGCCTCACCCTTTGAGTCTGCATCCTCCCCAGGAGAGAGGCTTCCCGAGTCCAGGCTGCGCTGCCTTGTTTCCCCGGAGCTCAGACCCTCCGGAGTGGGAAGCTGGAGCTGCTCCTCATCCTCAGCTGCGTCCTCATCCTCACCTATAACACCACAAACTGTGTTTTAATATAAAGAGTAGAACATATGGCTGAGAGCTCTGTGAAATCTCACCATGGATATATATCACATTAACCAGTATTTATTCAGACTGGCTTTTAATGTGTGAATTATGTTGTGTTGCTGTTTTAATATTTGTATTTTATTTCCTTTTTATCACCACTGTTTAAGTGTCTTTGAGCACCTGAAAAAGCACTTAGAAATCAAATGTATTATTATTATTACTGTAGTGTACGGTATTTCATTTGACATTTATTCTATCTTTGTTGTACATATCTTTCTTACTCCTGCACCTCACTTGCACCATTATATGTCTCCTTTCTTTTTATGTAAAGTATATTGCATTGTTGGAGGAGCCTGGGAACTGAGCTGTAGCTATAGTGCATACGACAATAAGGAAAACTATCAACACATCTCTGGTCAATTATAATATTTAAAGTAGTGCTTTCCCCAGATTTGTGTGGAGAATCTTAGTTCAACAGATTTAATAATCAAATGTGAGTGAACAAAACGTGAAAACGCCTCAGAAATGTTGAAGTCGAAGACAACCATGGTGTAGAAATGCCATGTTAACTATAGGCCAGATAAGCGATAATGCTGCGGTCCTGTGTCCTGGATCCTCTATCCTGAGTCCTGATCTGAGTCCTGATCTGAGTCCTGATCTGAGTCCTGATCTGAGTCCTGATCTGAGTCCTGATCTGAGTCCTGGACTTCGAGTCGTGGCTGAACCTGTCTCTGTGGTCCTGCCTGACTCTCATCATACTGCTTCCCTGATGGCTTCCACAGGATTGCTGACATCCTCGTGGATTCATCTTCTTATTACAGACACATGCATTTCCAAACATTTGGTCTACCTATGCTGTAAAATGTATTATCTCTTCGATTTACACACGGCATCTATTGCACGTCTGTCCGTCCTGGGAGAGGGATCCCTCCTCTGTTGCTCTCCCTGAGGTTTCTCCCATGTTCCCTTTAAACTGTGGGTTTTCTCTGGAAGTTTTTCCTTGTACGATGTGAGGGTCTAAGGACAGAGGGTGTCGTATTGTCATATTGATATTCTGTACACACTGTGAAGTCCACTGAGATAAATGTAACATTTGTGATATTGGGCTATATAAATAAACATTGATTGATTGATAGATTGATTGAATCAATCCTCTTAAAATAAAGTGCTGTTTTTCACATGACTTATTGTGGAGGGACTCAAATTTACAGATGTATGAATTAAATCTGCTAATCAATTAGTCAACAAAGAAAAAAGAGCCCTTCTGTAGAAATGCCATGAGAATGAGGCCTATTGGGGGATACTACATTTCAATATAGTGATGTTTTACATGACTTTCATGTGTTGATAAAATCAGATAATCAATTAGTCGACAAAAGATAATTAGTGTTTGTCAAATAAGAATATCTTCAGTCGAGTACAGCTCCTGTGTAGAAATGCCATGCAAATGATCCTAATAAGAAAGAATAAACCATCTAAATGTCAAGTTATGTTTTGATTTCTGGATCTATCAACTGATTAATAAGTCGACCAAATAATGTGTCAAAAGACAAATAATATCTTTACAATATCTGAGATTTCATTTTGTCTGCACCAAATATAAATCAGCTGTTCAAAGCATGAAAATACATCTTTGAGGATGAATAAAAGACGCAGGCTGAGGGCAGAAATATCCTGTAATGTATCCCTCCTTAAAATAACAGAGTATAAAAACATCTTCTGTATGATGCACATGGAAATAAATCAGCTCCTGTCACACACACACAAAGTAAAACTGCACTACTGTATGAAACAAACATGGCAGTCTCTCTGGTTCCCCGCAGTCAGGCATTCCTGGAACAAAAGTGCCATTTTCTGCGACAAATCGGTAAATCAAAAGCGACGTGGAGACAGACAATGCTCTCTGTCTGGTGGGCGGATCTGCGCGTGTCAGTTTTTCTAAAAGATGTGACACCTCGCGCAGCGTTATAACACCATCTATTATAACGGAGACAATGCGTAATCAGACGGGTATTTATATCTAAAAAACGCAACTAAACTTGACTTTGTATCCGTTCAGGGAGAGTGACACCTCCCGAAGTAAAAGTGATACTTCCATTATACTCTGGATAAGTTGTAATAGGATTACCCGGGGATCAGAGCACAAAGTTAGCACGTTTTTGGGAAATCTCACTCTTAGTTTACCATTTGAAAATATACACAAATGATTGCACATGAAAGCACAGCGTGTCCTCTATAGAAAAAAATCAAAGCACAGTAAAAATGGCGAGGATTGGGCAACTGTGGGGAATTTATAGAGATCCTGCAGCAGCGAAAAATACTGGACGTCATCCCAGACACACACACACACATAAAAACACAGATCACAAAGAGCCGAAATCACACATGAAACACACACACTGACCCGCTTTATGAGCTTTGAACGTGCATGTCCTGCAACATTGTTCACCACATAGCCTACTCTCACATGATGAATACTTTTTTTAATGGCTGTTTTCTGACTACATTTTTACAGAATAAAAGATGCGCGGGGAGATTACGCACGGAAATGCGCGGTACTCACCCGTCCGCAGTGCATCGGACTCAGCCGAAAACCAGACAGTTTTCTCCGCTATTGTTTGGGTCTACGGGGAGGTGGAAGCAGCCATTTTGCCCCCATATGCACCGCTAAGCTAAGGCGTGACCAATCGAGTGGAGGCGGAGGTTGGGTAAATGCACCGAGTGCCACATAACCACCGGGCATCAGGGACTCTCTCTATCTCTCTCTCTCTCTCTATCTCTCTCTCTCTCTCTCTCTCACACACACACAACCACACACACACACACACACCACACACACACACACACACACACACACACACACACACACACACACACACACACACACACACACACACACACAGATACACACACACACAGATACACAGACACACATGCACACAAACACACACTCCCACAGACGGATTTTCTGCACAGACACCCTCCTGATTCTCTTCACTCCCTGTAGCCTGTGGCGGTGTCACCCAGGTCAGACAGTCCAGTGTTTTTTCAGTAAACAGCTTACAAAGGCACTTAAAACAGCAGCAGCAGCAGCATCTAAACTCACATTTCCACCGCTTTATGCATAGTTACAGTCTTCTGTATTCATCCAGGCAACATTTCTGTGTTTATAGAACATTTGTGACAAGTTTAATAACTAAAAAGCTGCTAAAACTAGTCGAATTATCGATTAGTTGAGACATAACAGTAGCCGAGAAATATTTTTGATAATCGTTAGAGTAATTATTCATGCGATATGGCAGACAATGATGTTTTCAGCATCTCTATTATGGTTATTTACTGTTTTATTATCATATTTAAGTGATCATCTTTGGTTGACTGACAAAGCATTTAAAGACGTCACCTTTGAGAAACTCTGATGGACATGTTACACTGACATTAATTAGACTATTAATACATTTAATTTCCTAACAATTAAAAATGTATTGATTCTCATAGTAAAATCAGCACAGCTTAAAACACATACAGGGCAGACAGGAAAAGAGACAATACATTAAAAAGCAGACAGGGAGGGAGGGACAGGTATGTAAACGAGAAAACCAGCTGTTTAATGCTGAGTGAGTATGCCAATCTGAACAGGTGAGTTTTGAGGCAATAAGTTATTAAAAAATTAACCGATTCATCTAGAAAGTAATCATCAGATTAACCCACTGATTAGCGACAACAAGAAACCACTAAGTAAGGTACATTAGTACTTTTAAGGACGGATCAATAATGAAAACTCACCTTCGCTCTCTTCTTCCCCATCCTCCTTCTTGCATCGTTTAGGAGATCCTGAAGGCAGTGAATCTCTCAGCGTCCTTTCACTCTCCGTCTCCTCCTCCAGCTTCACCATTACGATCCCCTCCTCTAGTTCCCTCTCCTCCTCTTCATCTCCTTCCTCTTCTTCCTCCTCCTCCTCCTCCTGTGAAGAGCCGGAGCTCCGAGGGGATCGGTGGGGGATTACAAGATCAGGCCTGCTGAGGAACAGCTCCCTCAGGATGTGGATGGGAGAGATGGTGACGTCCCAGTTAGTGATGCCGAAGTCTCGGAGGTGAGCCCGGGCGTGGCTGGAGAGGCCGGCCCGGGTATCGAACCCCGCGCTGCAGAACTCACAGTGCATCACACTGAAGGTGCTCGGGTCAAAGTTGGCAACTGTGGAGAGGACAGGCAAAACAAGAGGAGGTTTAGTGCCATTTTCCCAACCTATAGGGCTCGAAACCAGTTGAATCAGAGACATGTGCTTGATTGATATACCCACGTTGGTGTGTATGTTGGTAATCCAATTGAGTTTGCCATGCAATTTCAAACCGACCTTCATAGTCCTCAGAGGATAAATAGTTTTGACTTTTGTGCCACTAGCAGGCTGATAACTGATTTAAATGATACCTTATAGATGTAGGTCAGAATAAGCCTGCTACAAACTAGTCGTTTTTTTTTTCATCTATTAACATGCTTCATCACCGAACAAGGAAATAAAAGAAGATGACACTGACAGATAACATAACTTTTACATGCTTAAACCTAAAAAGGTTGTTTGTTTTGTGTTCAAAGCTCTACGTGTTTTTCCGTTTTCAATTTCCTCGAACTTGAAATCTATATTTACACCGTAGTAAGTGCAGTTTGGCCCATCTAACACATTAGAATAGTAGCAAGTAACGCTGATAACATTTGAAATGGCGGCAAATGACATTTGGGATTCTTGGTATACTGTCTCGAATTGTAATTACTTTGATGACCCCTTAACTATTTGTCTAGATAGCTTTGGTTTAGGACTAAATACCTGCAAACTCTAATAATCTAATCTAGCTAATACAGCAATCTTGCAAGCCCTTCAGATGTATGTTGTGACCTTTCTTTGTCCAGTCTGCTTTACGTGCCAAACACCACTTCTTAAAGCAGTTAATATCAAGAGTTCTCAGCTGTTATTCAAGAAGAAGTGTTAACAAAATTAAGAAAATCTGTGTCTGAAATGAGGAGAAATAACAGGCCTTGTCTGTCTGTCTGCCATCAACACATCCTAAAGAAATAACGAGCTGCTCACCTTTTTTCTTTTTCTTCTGATAGGAGAACTTCTTCTCAATGGCGTTGACCTCCTCGGGGGAAATGAAGTGGCGGACATTGTAGCTGACGCCCACTCTGTTCAGGTGGCCTCTCACGTGATTGGCCAGCCCGATGCCGTTATGAAACCGATCGGGGCAGTAGGGGCATTTCCTCTCCACGCTCCTGAGCGCCTCCGAGTCCTCATCCATCTCGTCCGAGTCCACATCCAAGAAGCCCTCTGACAGGAAGCGCCGAACACTTTCTTCGTCGATGTCTTCGTCGTCGTCGTCATCATCGCTGTCAATTTCTGCCGGAGCAGCGGGAATCCGGTGGCTTCTCCTCAAAAATAAAAGCTTTCCATCTTTCTCCACTTCCAGGTCATCTTCTTCCTTCACACACTTCTTAAGAGGGAGGGATAGTGAAGCGTTCTGTGCTGAGCAGTCCTCTAGAAAGGAAAAGACAGATTCTGAATGAACAGACAAAAGACCCACAAAAACAACAACATTTTACAGGATATTTCTGCTTTATCACAATTTGGGTTTTATCTTATTACTTAAGACGAATAACTATATCATTCCTATTCATAATGATCACATTAGCTTCTTGTTTGTGACTTAATGTTAAAACCTTTTGATAATTCCACCTGTGATTTTACATAATGTTTAGTAATGTATGTTGTTTTGATTTTCCTTTTGAATGATTGTTTACTGTCAACATTTGTTTCTGTATACTTTTGTTGTTATTTATTTATGTATAACTTTTTTATTGTGGCTTTTGTTTTATGTATTCCATAATGTGTTGTTATTCTTTGGGAAGGTTATACATTTGTGTAATGTCTTGCTCTGTATGTTCTGTATGATCTGGTTTTAAACGTATTAGAGTGCTTGACTAGTGTTGTCCAAATGCTAAAACCACATACTCATCTGGTTTGTGAGCATGGGAACACTTGGTAAAAGGTGACTTAGCATTAGCATTAGAGCCTTTAGTCTAACATTGAGCCTCACCTGTGTTGGATTGTGCTCTGGTGTGCCGTTTCCCTCCAATAAGTGATTTAGCGTCTTGTTGATAACTCTCATCGTCCAGCTCTGTGCTCTGATCTTCATCCTGCTCTTCATCCTGCTCTTCTTCACTCCCGATCAGTTTGTCGTCACCCAGAAACTTGATCCAAGATTTCCCTCGTTTGCTGTATCTGTTCCCTACGCGCTTCAAAACCATCCTGCTTGGAGACGAGTTTGGCATCATGCTGTCCTCAGAGGCAGAGACTACCTCCTGGCTTTCTCCTTGACTTACATTAAGCAACCCAGACCCAGAGAGGAGGTCCGAATCCAGGCTGGGTTTTGAAGTTCTAGTCTTATCAGCTTGCGGCCCACAAACGGAGGCCTGTTCTGGGTGAACAAGCTTCTGGTGTTCCCTCATTACAGTCTGACTGGAGGTCAGGAAGGCACAATGACCACAGGCCAGGGAAGAGGACGGGGAACCAGCCAGGAGAGCGGCTGCTTTCTTCCTGGTGTGGGTCTTGGCGTGATTAGCCAGCGCTTGGGGGGTTCTTGTGCTGAAGTTACACGTAGAGCAGATGAAGCGGCGTCGCGCCTGAGCTCGAGGAACCGTAGGAGTTGCTGAGTCTGCCTGTGGTGTTGAAACTGGGGAAAGAGGTGCAACTATTTCAGGGTCTGACATTTTCCCTGGAACCGAGGCCAGGCTTGCATCTTGCATCACAGCTGAGCTCATACGCTTCACCGTCTTACCCTCAAGAATCTCTCGCGCCTTCCCATTTTCATTCAGTTTCTCAATCTCCCCCAAGATCTTCAGACGGGACTCCTCGTGCCTCCTATGATGGTCGGGACAGTGCGATCCGATTGGCCAGGTTCCAGCCGCACTCGGTACACTGGAAACGTCCGTCCTTCCCCAAACGCCTGTCCCACCCCCGCCCCACTCTCACAGTGCTCCACTATGTGCTCCTGCAGGTGGATTTGCTTTTTGAAGTAAATGCTACATTCCACACAGGTGAAGATATCTTTACAGCCCTTTTCTTCTTTCCATTCTTCCTCTGCTTGCCTCCTCAAAATCTAACAACCCCTCCAGCTTGACTCTGCTCGGTGTGTTTGATTCTCCAGGACTGTCAGTCTCAGGCAATGTGCGTTTCAAAAGTGCCAAGTCCAGAGAAGGGCCTGAGCAGCACCCTCTTCTTTCTGGCACCGCTGAATGAATGTGCACTGAGCCCAGGGGGCGGGGGGGGGACTCTCGGGGTCAGAGTCTCCTGGGAAGGGTGTACACTCTCTCTCGGGCTCCTTGGTTTCCTTTCCATTGGGCCTCTTCTCTGCCTCGCTATTATCCGCCTCTCTCTTCCATTTGGCAACCTTCCTTTGGCTTTACTTTGGAGAGAAACAGCTCCTCGGATACATTCCACACTTCGCTGTCTGTGAAGAGAAAAACAGAGCGATTATGAATGGAAGGAGCCCTTAAGATACAAAGAAAATAGATATCAAGTGTGCAGGCATATTAGGTTTCTTCCATATGGCGCTCACAGTCTGTTTGGCTGGGCTGGGATGTGTTTGGCTCGTCTGCCTTTGTGCTCTCGTTGTTGTCACTGTGCCCCTCCACAGGGGGAGATGAGTCAGGCTTGGTATGCAAGTGCTGCACTTTCCAGGTTCTCGGTCATCTTCACTGTCAAGTCTGGACAGCGGTAGAAAGGAAACACATTGGTTGAGACGTCTGACAAGTGAAAGAAGCATCTCTGCTTTAAACAAGTCACAAGTACACACCATTTGCAAGCTCTTATTGTATTAGTTTTCTTGAAATGATGTAGGTTTTATTTGAAAACCAGGCACTTTCATGCTGAGTATTTGTAGATTTAGAGAAAGACTGGATTCAAGGGATGGTTTGGATCATTTGATGTTTGGTTTATGAGGTGCTTCTAAATAGCAAGTATGTTACCTACAATAGAAAACAGTCGGTACCCCTAGTTTAGATAATCAGACATGAGTTACAGCATGGGAGCAATGTACCGCAAATAATCAATATCAGTTTAAGTGTACGCTATATTTAGAGTATTTTATCCGCTTTATCTTGCTGGCAGACAGCCAATCAAATGGAGAACTGAAACTGTACTGAATATATGCAAAGACAACAGACTCCAATGAAAAAACAGTAATTTACCCTTACACAACACAGGAGTTGTTTGTGTGTTCTTGTGTGACTTTGCTGAATCCATACTAACCCTTTAACAGATAACAAAACTAACTAATTGAATGAGGTGGCGTTAGACCAGCAACTCCTGTGTTACGCAAAGTAGTGGGTTTTTTCGGTTCTGTATACCTAACTACAGAAGTCATTAATTAGCTTAGCGTGGAAGTGGTACAGTGCCAAGACTCTTCCTGGTTTTAGGACTGCACTCATTACACTGACTATAAATAAGTATCTCATACATACAACCCCACAAAGTATGAACTATCACTTTAAATATTTCCCCCAACAATGTCAACACTGACAGCATGGAGAAGGCCTTGGAACAGTGTGTCGGGCTTGAAGTTGGGAAATCAAAACGCTATATTTTAAAAGTCTGGATACAAGGATTTTGACTTTAGCAGTACAAATAGTAGTAGACATTTTGGAAGCAACACTTCATTCATTCTTGCTTAGCAGAGGGTAAAAGGGGTTTAGCACCATGACCTCAAGTGACCTCAAGTGTTGCATGCTGAATGCAAACAATATCCTACTTTGAAATTGTGTTAGCTGTGACACTTTGTGTGTTATGCCCCTTCATAGTGTCAGACGTCTACAGATTTGTTTCTTTAAGGGTCAACTTGTATATATTTTAGATCTGTGTTATCCAGCACCAGACACTGTTTACGCTGCTATGGACAATCTTGCACTAATGCACATTTCTCAAACTTATTGAAGTGACTGTTATTTTGTATATATTGATTATTGTGCTTTTATTTATGTCTTCATGTGTGGACATGTATAAAGGTGTCTGTTGATTGTGTATATATAGGTATGTACATATTTGTATACATATTTTATATATATTTTTATTATTTGTATTCAGGATTGTGGGAAACGGCATTTCGATCTCTCTGTCTGTACACACAAACTGAAAGACTGACTTTGACTTTTGATTTTCTATTTTGAAATGTTCATATTTGTTTATTTGATACTCTGATTTTCAAATGATGTGTAATGCCTTGTTTTAAAAAATGCTGCAGAGTTGGGATCAATAAAGTATAATCTTATCTTCTCAAAACGACTCGCTGCCCTTCCTCCTCCTCCTCCTCCTCCTCCTCCTCCTCCTCCTCCTCCTCCTCCTCCTCCTCCTCCTCCTCCTCCTCCTCCTCCTCCTCCTCCTCCTCCTCCTCCTCCTCCTCCTCCTCCTCCTCCTCCTCCTCCTCCTCCTCCTCCTCCTCCTCCTCCTCCTCCTCCTCCTCCTCACCTGAGTCCAGCAGAAGGAGATCCCGGGCTGTGAGCAGCCAGCCCGTGAGGGTTAGAGAAGTGCTGGAGCTCCTCCTCTGACACACACCACAGACACACCACAGATCAACAGGAGAACTGAGAGACTGCTGACTACATGCAGACTGAATCACATTCAAAAACAATAAGAGACACCAGGCGTGGGAGAAGAACCCACATATTGTACTTATAGTAAAAGGAGCAATATTATGGTGTAAATATACTCTGTTGCAGGTAAAAGCCCTGAATGCTAAATACAAAAATAGGATATTTGCTCCAAAATGAAATTGAGTAAACGTGCAATATGCAATACAAACACTTGTTTGCAATTGTACGGTGCTATACTCACTTTTATGTAAAATAAATAAATATTTAATAAGGTCGCAATACTTAATGATATGCTATTTATGTCACTTAGTTTTACTTAAATTGCTGCTACTCATTTTTTAGCCATGGTTCTTTATCTTTCTTTTAATTGTATTACTAATGTGTGCTTTCCTTTTTTTTACCTGCTTATGCCACTTTTGCTGTAACATTGTAAATGTCCCCGTTGTGCGACTAATAAAGGAATTCTGATTCTGAAAATGTAATTAAGTAAAAATATAAAGTAGCATAAAGACTAAATACTCAAGTACCACAAATGTGTATATAAGTACAGAGCTTGATTACATGTTCTTAGTTACATTACACTAAGGTACATTGTATATTAACTAGATTCAGCACTAAAGGTTTTTAATAGATATTGATCAATGTGTATATATAGACTACTCTGCACTATTTCTATTATATTCTATTTTATTTACTTGCACTATTATCTGTTATATTGTGTTGCTCTGTTGGAGGAGCCTGTGACCTCAGATGTTCATTGTCATAACTACACTGTAGCTATGCACACATGACAATAAAAGCTTTGAAACTTGATGTGTTACCATCGAGGGTTTCTCTCTCAGAGTCGGAGTCCCAGTTGAGGGAGGAGGGGAAGGCTGAGGGTCTCCTCTGGGAGATCCTCCCCGCCTCCGGGCCCTCATCTCCAGCCTGGGCCCTCGAGCATTTGGCCGACATCAGGTCGTCGCTCACATGTGGAGAACATGAGGACTAGATATAAAAACATACAAGCGGTATTGTCAGATATATAAAGGAGAGGTTTCATTGGCAAGTGAATCATATCTATAAATGTCACGTCAATGCAATCTCCAGAAGTAAAAAGCTAATGTTGGGCTATAAAGGAACTACAGCACGGTCACATGACTTCACGTCACCACCGCTAAGCTAAAGGCGGTTAATGTTGGGCTATAAAGGAACTACAGCACGGTCACATGACTTCACGTCACCACTGCTAAGCTAAAGGCGGTTAATGTTGGGCTATAAAGGAACTACAGCACGGTCACATGACTTCACATCACCACTGCTAAGCTAAAGGAGGCTAATGTTAGGCTATAAAGGAACTACAGCATGGTCACATGACTTCACGTCACCACCGCTAAGCTAAAGGCGGCTAATGTTGGGCTACAAAGGAACTACAGCACGGTCACATGACTTCACGTCACCACCGCTAAGCTAAAGGCGGTTAATGTTGGGCTATAAAGGAACTACAGCACGGTCACATGACTTCACGTCACCACTGCTAAGCTAAAGGAGGCTAATGTTAGGCTATAAAGGAACTACAGCACGGTCACATGACTTCACGTCACCACCGCTAAGCTAAAGGCGGTTAATGTTGGGCTATAAAGGAACTACAGCACGGTCACATGACTTCACATCACCACTGCTAAGCTAAAGGAGGCTAATGTTAGGCTATAAAGGAACTACAGCACGGTCACATGACTTCACGTCACCACCGCTAAGCTAAAGGCGGCTAATGTTGGGCTACAAAGGAACTACAGCACGGTCACATGACTTCACGTCACCACCACTAAGCTAAAGGCGGGCTAATGTTGGGCTATAAAGGAACTACAGCACGGTCACATGACTTCACGTCACCACCGCTAAGCTAAAGGCGGCTAATGTTAGGCTATAAAGGAACTACAGCACGGGTCACATGACTTCACGTCACCACCGCTAAGCTAAAGGTGGCTAATGTTAGGCTATAAAAGGAACCTACAAGCACGGTCACATGACTTCACGTCACCACCGCTAAGCTAAAGGCGGCTAATGTTGGGTGTGATGACGTTTAGTCATCTCATTTATACACTTAGAAGCTTCAGAAATTCACCAGTATATAAATACCGGTATTTACTGACATAGTTTAATGTCATGGCCCCAAACTCCAGTGTTTCCCATACATTGATTTATTTGTGGCGGGCCGCAAATATTGCGGTGCGGTGCCCCCACAACTAGAATCAAATTCTGTGGGAAACACTGAACTCTTCATCTTTTGTTAACCACATACATACCAGGCTTCTAACCAAAAATACATCCAGCAAAACAATGACTTTGAGGTTAGGGAACCAGGAAGTGCTAAAATGCTAACTCCTTTCAGGGTTTAAGACTTATTCCTGCACCACTCTTTAATACTTGTCGAACAGCAAGAGGAGTTGAGTGGTTGGATGCAGACTTGTATATTTTGTATCTGTATGTTTGTGTCATGTTGTAAAGATGTATAGTTGAACAAGTGGAAAAAAGTTGGTCACAACGCATTGTCAGACGATGTTAATGACAGCCATGATGATGAGTTTTATGTTTGTATACCTGTAAGGTGCAGTTGAGGGAGGTGGGGGGGTTTTGTGCTGAGTTGGAGGCTGGGGGCCCATAGCTGGTCCCTGGGGTCTCTGGCTCCATGGTCCCCCCCAGAGAACAGTATGGAGTCCCACTGGAGACCAGAACTCCTACATTGTGCAGCCTCCTCTTCTGAAACGTAAACGTTCTCACAGATTTAGAGTTTCACATCTCGCCGATACTTAAGTGTTAACATGACTTTGTCTCGAGTCAGACCTGAGACCAAACATTAGATGACTTGCAATCGAATTGGACTTGAGATATTTGACTTGAAAATGACTTGATAACTTCCTACAATCCCAAAGAATAAAAGTATGTCAATCAACATGTGTGACACTTTCTTAATCAACCAACCTAATTGATCCAAGTCGAGGCAGTAGAGAACAATCGTTATGTTACTTAGTGCCTGTAGTGCATATGTCTCACATGACTTGGACTATAGTCGGACCTTGAGGAAAAAAAAGGAATGACTTTAGAAAGACTTTCCAATTGAGTTGTAGTTTAACGTTTAAGACACGTGACTCCCTTTGGACTTTAGCCTTGGGATTTAAAAGTATTTATATCTTTATCTCCAAGAAAGTCAACGCTTAATTGATCTAAGTTGATAAAAAAACAAAAACATGAAGAACTGATATTATGTTACTGAGGGCCAGCTGGAAAAAATATATATAGTTCCACCTGACTTTAGAAAGACTTCTCAACTTGGGTTCAACATAAATATCTCTCAACGTATGTTATTCAAAAATGTGTCACACTTTCTAAATCAGCTCACTTTAACGCTATTTATTACCGTCACGTAATCAATTGAAGTCCATACACTCTTTTTGAACAGGGACTGATCAACATCTAGCAGAGAACCATGAAGAACTAACATGCTGAATATGAAAGCAAGTTGGAAAAATTACACCAAAATAATTGTGTTCCTGTACAACAAAACAAAACAATGCAGTGGCCACCAAAAAACAAACTGTGGTAAGAAGGAAAACACAACTCAAAACTACAGACAGACACACTTTGTGACTTGTTTGGGACTTGAAACCCAATGTTTTTGGACTTATGACTCACAGAACAATGACTTTATCCCCCCTCTGCTACTTAGTGTATGTTTTAATAACACCCGGCCCATTGTAAGGAGGAATCAGGGAACATATCAGACTATAAAGAGTGAGGGGTCTGTAGTGTTTTGGCTGTCCTCAGTATGTTTGACCAGGTGCAGGTTTCTGACCTATTTCCACCTCATGTCTGCTCCTAAAGACAGAACCAGGTCGAACTAATGGTTACATAAATAAGTGGCCTTTCTTCTAAGGCCCATGTCCTCTCCTGCTGCCCATCTGACAGCCAGGGAAATACCCGGGAACAGGAAGCTGTCCCACGGGTTTGGCCTCTGGATTCTCAGAGGACTAATCGATCCATGCTGTCAGGTGACTAAAACAACAATGCACACAACGCCTTCTTAAACCCCCAGACCGCCCATGAGCTGCAGATTTTTTTAATGCAAATACTCACTGCAATCGGCCTGGTTTGCGGCTCGCAGAGGGAGGCAGCTCTAAGCACCGCGCGGCATAGTTTCAGGCCGGGAGCTGGAGCTTGTTTACAGCCGGGGACGATGCTCTCCGCCCGGCTCTGAATGCAGGAACTTGCCCCCTGTGGTCGGAGCTCAGGGTTTCGCAGGGATCCCTGGAAGATGCCAGGCGGAGGACTCCATGTTAGTTGGCTGCAGGCACGCTGCGTACGTAACGTGGTGACGAGAAGAAGAAAAAGAAGAAGAAGAGAGGAAACACCGGAGACAAGTTTAATAAGTTTTACTTCATAGCTTTTATTCCTATTATCGTACGGTGACGCAGTTTGCATGGTGGCTTTCTGATTTAACGCGTTTTTACATCGTGGTGACACTTTTATTCTGCAGGAAATACACACTTCATACTCTTCACATGTCACACTGGGGAGGTTTAATGATGGAAGATGTTATTTTATAGACACAGGTGAAGTATAAATGGCTAATTGTGGTAATTTAGTTTAACTGTATAGTAGTTAATTGGTCCTTATTTATATCACTGTAGTGTATAACATGTTTATAATCATGTTAGATGTATCTCTATTTATGTTTAAAGGACAGCTGGATTAAGTTTGTCATTAGTTTGTGTATAAATGTTCCTAAATGTTGGAAATCAATAAAAGCCGTACTACTGGTTATAACCGGTTATAACACAGTCATATGGCGCCCTCTATTGGCCTCGGGTGGAACTGTATGTTGTTTTTAATGAATACTAATTTATACTAATAATACCAATTAGTTATTATATCTTATACATTTATTAACTGTACAAGCATTTTCTTCACAATATTACACTTTTGAAATAATTTTTACAGTTTCTTTTAACACTAAATGTACTATTTGAACCCATCATTTTGTTTAACAATAAATAAAAGCAGGAACATGTTACTGTGTAGGTACACATGTCTTTTAATATTCTCAGTTAAGAAAACATTGTTTGATTAAACTAAAAAGGCACTTTGGTACAAGTAAAAGTCCCTAATTCAAAACTGTACTCCTAAAAAGTACATAAGTATCATCAGAAAAGTGTATTTAAATCCTAATCGGGAATCAAACTAGTAACAAAAGCTGTCGAGGACTAAAAGATATAATATTTCCCTCTGAAATGAAGAGCAGTTGAAAAATGAAGTAGCATAAAATAAGTACAAGACACGTTTTTATTTTGTTGAGTTTTATTTCATTAAGACTCTTATAACACGCAGATCGTTTTCATTTCTTGACCTCCTGAAATGAAGAAAAATATAAAATATGAGATGAATGAGCGACAGTGACATTTGTTCATGTGTTTCTTTGTTTTTCTATGATTGTACACAGCAATCATAAGTCACGCCCTGTCTGTCCTGTCATGGAGGATTTAGAGACATGAGGGATGCCACCAGGTCTTGCATCAGAGCATTGTGGGTAATTAAGAGCCACTACTTTTGTTGTGGATACAGATTTGTTTCCTAACAGAGATCAGCTGATAGCTCACCTATTTTGTTATATCATCATACTGTAGGTCATCACACATTTTACAAAATGCATGAATACATCACTTATTATAATCCAATACTTTAATAAATATTATTCTGACATGCATAATCAGTTATTTATCTTTTGGTCTTTTCAGTTTTTTCTAATGCTTTTATTTTTACTTAAAGGTCACCTATTATGCAGAATCCACTTCTTCATGTCTCTTCTACATCAACATGTGTCCCCTCTTCTTTCATGTCTCTTCTACATCAACATGTGTCCCCTCTCTTCATGTCTCCTCTACATCAACATGTGTCCCCCTCTTCGTTCATGTCTCTTCTACATCAACATGTGTCCCCTCTTCTTCATGTCTCTTCTACATCAACATGTGTCCCCTCTTCTTCATGTCTCTTTACATCAACATGTGTCCCCTCTTCTTCATGTCTCTTCTACATCAACATGTGTCCCTCTCTTCTTCATGCTCTTCTTACATCAAGCATGTGTCCCCTCTTCTTCATGTCTCTTCTTACATCAACATGTGGTCCCCTCTTCTTCTATGTCTCTTCTACATCAACATGTGTCCTGTCCCCTATTCTCTATGTCCTCTTCTTACATGGCAAACATGTGTGTCCCCTATTCTTCATGTCTCTTCTTACATCAACATGTGTCCCCGTCGTCTCCATTCTCGTCTACATCAACATGTGTCCCTCTTCTTCATGTCTACTACATACATCAACATGTGTCCCCTCTTCTCCATGTGCCTCTTCTACATCAAACATGGTGTCCCCTCTTCTTCATGTCTCTTCTACTACATCAACATGTTGTCCCTCTTCTCCATGTCCTCTTCTGACATCAACATGTGTGCCCCTCTTCGTCATGTCTCTTCCTACATCAACATGGTGTCCCCTCTTCTTCATGTCTCTTCTACATCAACCGGTGTCCCCCTATTCTTCATTGTCTCTTCTACATCAACATGTGTCCCCTCTTCGTTCATGTCGCTTCCTACATCAACTGTGTCCCCTATTCTTCTGGTCTCTTCGTACATCAACATGTGTCCCCTCTTCTTCATGTCTCTTCCACTATCAACATGTGTCCCCTATTCTTCTGTCTCTTCTACATCAACATGTGTCCCCTCTTCTTCATCTCTCTTCTACATCAACATGTTCCCCTCTTCTCCAGTCTCTCTACATCAACACGGTCCCCTCTTCTTCATGTTCTCTTCTAACATCAACACGTGTCCCCTCTCTTCTATGTCTCTTCTACATCAACACGTGTCCCCTCTTCTTCATGTCTCTTCTACATCAACATATGTCCCCTCTTCTTCATGTCTCTTCTACATCAACATGTGTCCCCTCTGTGGAAAGAGACTGAAAGTTTCAGGAACAAAGATTCTCTCTCTTTTTGTTCTGATCCATTTCTATAAAAACCTGTCTGAAAATGAGCTGATCAGATTTTGGCCACTTTGTGATGTCATAACGATGTTTTGTCTTGTGTAACCATCTAAAGCAGGGGTGTCAAACTCAAGGCCCGGGGGCCAAATCCGGCCCGCGACTTCATTTTCTGTGGCCCTACAAAGAGCTTGCAAAGAATATAATATGTTTATTATACACTTTACAGAAGCACGTTGCTCATAAACGACATGTCCCACAATGCATCTCAATTTTATTTTTTAATTAGCCTTTTTCTCAAAGCTTTTCTTTCTTTGTGACATTCTCACTGAAGAGACTTGCAATTATTTGCCCTAGATTTCTGCTTTCAGACGTAGTTAAATATGAAGTTATTACCCTATCCGATAATAATCCAATGCAGGGGCAATAATGTAATATAATACATTATTTTATATATATTCAATATTTATATATGTATTTTTATATAGTCTTAAAGTTACAACCGGTCCTTTGAGTGCAACCATAATGCTGATGTGGCCCGTGATGAAATTGAGTTTGACACCCCTGGTCTAAAGTAACGGCCAGAGAATCAGCACTTTTGAAACAGGGCTGAAACAGAGGGGATTATGGGTAATGCTGCAATGATCTGTTTGGTGTTTCAGACAATCAGAGACAGGTTCTGTATATATCTGAGACCTGTGATATATTGATGAAGAACAGTATAATAGGGGACCTTAAAGTAAGATTTGCATGACTTTTATATACCATCTGAGTACTTCCTCCCCCTTCTACTCACCCCGAAGTGCTCCCAGCCTGTGATCTCGTTGTAGAAAGTGTCTCCGGGACAGGAAGTGCTCACTACCTGCCTGTGGCCCTGCAGGGTGAAGTTGGCCTCCAGTCGTCCTCCACCCACAGCGCAGGACGCCAGCTGATCCCTCACCAGCCCCATTGCATGCTGGGAGGGCAGCCTGCTGGTGTAATCTCCGATGAAGGAGACCCCGAATCCGACAGAGTTGTGACCCAGAGTGTGGGCCCCTCGCTGGAGCCAGCCTCGGCCCTCGTAGATGTTCCCGTCAGAGCCAGCCACAAAACTTTAGAACAAGATTCAAATGTTTTATTGTCATATGCACAAAGCTACCGTGTAGAAATGGCAATGACATTCTTCTGACCTGAGCTCCTCCAACAATGCAACATATATAATCAAATACTAAAATACAAAATGAAAAGTAGTGCAAAAAGTCTATATACATGTCAATAGAATATGGGATATGTAAAGAGCTGAGTATGAAATTAAATAATGTAAAGTAAGACAACATTAATACGGTTTATTGCGGATAGTTATAAGTTAGGTGCTTAATTCCAAATATGCAAAAGTAGCACTTCACTATTGTAAAAATACCTGTTATAAGGATTTCTTTCTACATCTTCGACATGTCGGGATTTGTCTGCGTCTAAAATCAAAACATTGGCGGTGAACCTCTTCTGTGGTTCCCTTAAAGAGGCCCTATGGTGCTTGGTGGGGTTTTCTCTTTCCTGTAGTGTTGTATAGGTTTTAGTGCATGTAAATGGTCTGCAAAGGCAAAAATCCTAATGTTTCTCTCCCACACAACCTCTCCCCTGATGTGCTGTTTACATGAGAATGAAACGGGTTGTATCTGCTACCTTTCTCTCGTGTATAGCCCGTTCGTTAAACACGAGGCCGTAACTGAACCGCAAACGATAACGGGTCCCAAGGTGGATAGATCTGCCGACAGAACGCTCTGGGGGGCCAAACGGTCAGGCGTGTGAACGTCCTGACCTATACGATCATTTCCTGATAACGATGAAGCCATAGACCCACCTCTGCTGCTACAGATGTTAGTGCAAAATCTACAGCTCCTCTACCACAACTATCAGCAACAAGTGGACATGGAGAACTAACTACATGTTGCTAAATCCACCACGGGGCATAAACAGAAGGGCAACCATGGCAACCATCCTCTGGGGTCTTCTTCGCTGCTTTTGGTGTATTTTGTGCCGAATGCGTGTTTGATATCGAATTCGGTTCGTTTGCGTTTGTGCTCCCGTGGAAATGGGGTCTGAAACGCCTCCATTTCACTCCTTTGTTTACTTCGGGAACACAGTGACATCACTATGTAACAATCGTGCTTCTATTGGCTAGTGTTCCAACACATTGTACGTGATAGGCTAAGGGGCGGGACATCTCTAAGCAGTTGATCAATCACAACAGAGGCGGCCAGCTAACCAATCAGAGCAGACTGGACTTAAATACTGCATTTAAATGTTAATTGACATATTTATCGGTACTTGTGGGTTATCTGTCGCCACTTTTAATTTTCCAACTTTTTCCACAAATACAGATGTGTGTTATCATGTCGCCATTTTCACAAAAATGTACTATTTGTTCCCAATTCCCTAACCCTAACCCATATTTAGAGAGTGAAAAAAACAAAAAATGTATCATTTGTTTTAGTTGATAGGTGTTTCAACATATACATGTAAAGCACCTCCAAATTAAACTGAACAAAAATACTTGAGTAAAGGTACTTCCTAACACTCCACCACATTCAACCTGAGACCCCTCCCTCCCTGTACCTGTATCCGATGTCGTCCCAGCCCCGGTCGTCCTGGTGGAAGCGCTGCATGGACCTCATGTCCGCTGAGCACTGCTGCAAGGTGAGGCAGGGGTCACTGGGAGTGGCGGTGTGGTGGATGTAGAGGAAGGGGAGAGGCAGGGTGAGGTTGGTGGGAGTCCCTTTGTAAGGCTTTGCGGCCCACATGCAGCGAGGGATGATGGGCGGGCACTCTGAAACACATGAAGTACAGCTGGTTAGTCTGTTGGGAAAATAGTGAATGTCCTCTTCCAATATGAGAGTAACATGATAACAAAGGTATCCCAACTGTAGCTGTGAACATGACAGGATGTGTGATTACCTAGAAGAGCATCAGGACTGTTTTAGGCATATGATAGCTAAGTGATTAACATGATGATTCAGCCTCTATGGAGATAGACATATGACAAGCATGCTCATTTCTGACTTGGAGCTAATCTGAAGTAAACATTGAATACTGCTTTCTATTCCTCCATCTTGTGACTGTGTAACTCCCTCTCTTGGATATCAGCATGTGAAGGACACTGTTCAGGAACTAGTTGATGCTCTGTATGTGATGACTACTTCCATTCTGGAGAGGACCACAAATACATGGATACTGAGATTGAAGCTCAAGCCGGTGACGAGAGATTATTTAAAAATTTGAGATTTTGAGAAAAAAGTCAGAATTTTGAGATTTTGAGAAATCGTGAGAATTTTGAGAAAATGTGAGAATTTTGAGATTTTTGGAAAAGGTGAGAATCAGTCAGCTTCAGTGTCAGACAGGCTAAGACTGACAAAGACATTGGAGTCCTGCGGGAGTAAGACTGACAAAGACATTGGAGTCCTGCGGGAGTAAGACTGACAAAGACATTGGAGTCTTGCGGGAGTCACGAGGGAGGCAAAGAGGAGGCAAATCCTACTCTGATCGAGCTGGTGTCTTATTTCTCTTTTCTTTAGTTTTCTAGCCCCTCATGCTATAATCATGTGTATTTTCTCTATTCCTGTTTATGTGTCTTCTCGCAATTATCACTGGCCCCGTGTATCTCCTAATCGATATAACCGGCCTGCTCTCGTCTATCCCACATGCTCCACTGAGATCCAACATCTAGTTTCTGGTGGCCTGTGGAACTGCCAGTCAGCTGTTCCTAAGGCTGACTTCTTCTCTGGCTACGCCTCCCTGCAGTCTCTGGATTTCCTTGCTCTCACTGAGACCTGGATTACTCCATCCAACACATCCACCCCAGCAGCTCTCTCCACTGCATATTCCTTCTCCCATACACCCAGACCCACTGGCAGAGGAGGTGGCACTGGTCTCCTGCTCTCTCCCAAATGGAGCTTTTCCCTCTTCAAGCTACCTAACTTCACTCCTTCCACCTTTGAATTCCATGCCGTCACAGTAACCCATCCTATACAGTTAACCATTGTTGTTCTCTACCGTCCACCAGGCGCCTTGGGGGACTTCTTGGAGGAATTAAATAATCTCCCCTCACTCATCCCTGAAACTGGCCCTCCCGCTGTACTTCTCGGAGACTTCAACCTCCAGACGGGGAAGATAGACGAACTAACATCTCTGTTAACCGCCTTTGCTTTCTCACTGTCTCCGTCCCCACCAACTCATAAAGCTGGCAATGTCCTTGATCTCATATTCTCAAGGAACTGCGCTACTTCTAACCTCTCTGTAAACCCGCTCCACACCTCCGATCACTTCTTCATTTCATTCTCTCTATCCCTTTCCAAACATAACAAACTAATCTCTTCTCATCCTGCACTTGTCCGCCGTAACCTTCGCTCCCTCTCCCCCTCTAGCTTTGCCTCGTCGGTGCTCTCAGCCCTCCCTTCCTCTGATTCGTTCCATCTCCTGCCTCCAAACTCTGCTGCAGAAACTCTCCTCTCTACTCTCTCATCCACTCTGGACTCGCTCTGTCCTCTCACATCTCGGCAGGCTCGTCAGTCCCCTCCTGCTCCCTGGCTAAATGATACACTGCGTGCTAATAGAACCGTCCTTAGGGCAGCAGAGCGGAAATTGTGGAAATCCAAACACCGTGACGACCTCCTAACCTATCAGGCTCTCCTCTCCTCTTTCTCTGCTTCGATCTCTCAGGCAAAAAGCACTTTCTTTCAAGATAAGATCCAATCTTCCTATTCCAATCCTAAAAAACTATTTTCCATCTTCTCCACCCTCTTGGACCCTCCAAAAGCTCCTCCCCCCTCCTCACTTCTGTCAAGCGACTTTGTTACCCACTTTGAAAAAAGGTTGATGATATTCGCTCTTCTTTTTCTGACTCACCTTTACTCACCGCTGGGTCACCAGACCCTCCTTCCACCCACAGACTGACCTCCTTTTCCCCTCTCTCTCCAAGTGAGGTTCTTACCCTCATTACCTCTGCCCGCCCTACCACCTGTCCTCTGGACCCTATCCCTTCAAACCTCCTTCAGACTATCGCTCCTGATATTCTACCGTTTCTCACCCATTTCATCAACACTTCTCTAACTTCTGGTCACTTTCCAAACAGTCTCAAGGAGGCAAGAGTAAACCCTCTCCTAAAGAAACCCACTCTCAACCCGTCTGATGTTATAAACTACAGGCCTGTCTCTCTCCTCCCGTTCCTGTCTAAATCACTTGAACGCGCTGTCTTTAAACAACTCTCCTGTTTTCTCAATCAGAACAACCTTCTGGATCCGCACCAGTCTGGTTTCAAGGCAGGTCACTCCACAGAAACTGCTCTCATTGCTGTCACGGAGGAACTGCACACTGCCAAAACTGCATCCCTCTCCTCTGTCATCATCCTGTTGACCTGTCTGCTGCATTCGACACGGTGAATCATCAGATACTCCTTCGCACTCTCCAAAAACTTGGAGTTTCAGGCTCTGCACTTTCCCTCCTCACCTCATACCTGAAAGACCGTACCTACAGGGTGACTTGGAGAGGGTCTGAGTCCGACCCTTGTCAATTAACTACGGGGGTCCCTCAGGGCTCTGTTCTTGGTCCCCTCCTCTTCTCCCTGTACACAAACTCGCTCGGATCAGTCATTAGCCCGCATGGTTTTTCTTACCACTGCTACGCTGACGACACCCAATTAATTCTGTCCTTTCCCCGCTCAGAGACCCAGGTCGTTGCACGCATCTCTGCTTGTCTAGCCGACATCTCTCAGTGGATGTCTGCTCACCACCTCAAGCTCAACCTTGACAAGACTGAGCTGCTCTTCCTCCCGGAAAAGATTGTCCCACTCTTGACCCTAACAATCAACATCGGCACCTCAGTTGTTTCCCCGACTCAGACTGCAAGGAATCTGGGTGTGACCCTAGATAACAACCTGTCCTTCACTGCAAACATCGCTGCTACAACCCGTTGCTGCAGATACACGCTTTACAACATCAGGAAGATACGTCCCCAGCTGGACTCAGAAAGCGACTCAAGGTTCTGGTCCAGGCTCTCGTCATCTCACGCCTAGACTACTGCAACTCCCTCCTGGCTGGTCTACCTGCATGTGCCATCCGACCTCTGCAGCTCATCCAGAATGCAGCGGCTCGTCTGGTCTTCAACCTTCCTAAATTCTCCCACACCACTCCGCTCCTCCGCTCCCTTCACTGGCTTCCGGTAACTGCTAGAATCCACTTCAAGACACTGGTACTTGCTTACCATGCTGCGAATGGATCTGGCCCTTCCTACATCCAGGACATGGTTAAACCGTACACCCCAGCGCGTGCACTACGCTCTGCATCAGCCAAACGACTCGTTGCGCCCTCGCTGCGAGGGGGACCCAAGTTCCCATCGGCGAAAACACGTGGGTTTGCTGTCCTGGCTCCAAGATGGTGGAATGAGCTCCCCATTGACATCAGGACGGCAGATAGCTCGCACATCTTCCGGCGCAGACTGAAAACTCATCTCTTTCGACTCCACTTCGAGCGTTAGAACTATTAACGAAGCACTTTTATACTAATAAAGGACTGGCTTATCTAAAGCCAGTTGAGTAGCACTTGAAATGTTTAGCTCTATGAAACCTGATGTACTTATATGATTCTGTTTTCTTCAAGGTTGTGTCTTCCTGGTCGAATGTACTTATTGTAAGTCGCTTTGGATAAAAGCGTCAGCTAAATGCAATGTAATAATGTAATAATAATAAAAAACAAACTGCCTTCCCAGGCTTTAAAGGTCTGCTATTTAGGCATTTAATTATGGGTCTCAGATATATACAAATATATAAAAAAACATGTCTATGATGTGTTTTGCTCAAAATAACAAACAGATCATGCATTTTAGTTGTACCCCCGTTTTCTGAGATGTGGGTAGGAGGGGAAAGTGATTTAATACATAGATCACATATTTATGTATTAAAGACACCAAAAAGTGCATTTTGCATGATAGGAGACCTTTAAGTAATCATATAACAATCCACCTTTATTATTCTCATTTCTCAAGACCTCAAACAAGTTATTTTTCATCCCACACTCACCTAAGTACTCCTGGACGAACTCCTTCACTCCCTCCTTCACCAGAGTCATCAGCTGCTTCTTTGTCTTTGAATCCATCTTTTTGAGGCCCATCACTCTCCGCTGTTTCTCCACAGATTTCACCACCTGTTGGGCCCTTATCGACGGGACCCCCAGCTTTCTGAAATTTTCCCTGCGTCGTCGGCTAATGAGTCGGGGGGCGACGTCCATCCCTCCGACCTCCAGGCTGTGGCAGTAATACTCCGTCAGAATGCCACTGAGCTTCAGAGGTCGTCCGGATGTTGAAGGGAACGCAATCTTGAGCAGCAACAGAAAAATGTGAATGTTCTTTTAGACTAGAAAAGTATAACATCCTTCATTCAAATGTATAAAAACCTGAAAGAACTCCTATCACGCTATTTTTAGGCATATATTATTGGTCTCAGATATGTAAAAATATATTAAAAAACATGTCTATAATGTGTTTTGCTCAAAATACCAAACATATCATGCATTTTAGAAATTCCTCATATCCCTCTATTTCAGCCCTGTTAGATTCTGGGTCCTTAGCTTGAAGAAAATGTAGGCTTGCTCTTCTACCGGCAGATACTCAGCTAAATCCTGCCGTGATGAAACGCAATCCTGTTCTAAACCACATCAAGGATTATTTCTGAAACAGTATGGAGCTCAAACTCTTTTTCTCTCAGGTTTACCACAAGGTGAGTTCTTTTTTTATTTCCTGCTTTTTTACACACATGCTCTCTCCAGTACAGGTTAGCTCTGAGTGTTAGCGATGCTTGCTAATGTAAACAAAGACCATATTACGTCCAAAACACGTTGCGCATTGTTTCTGATACAGCCCAAATGTTCGATATTACATCATATCAGACGCAAATCTGGATCAGCTCTGTTGTAGCCCCGTTTTTAGAGATTTGGGTACGGAGGAAAGGAGAGAGGGTTTTGTTTTCTGACACTTTGTGAGTTCCCTGACACAACGGGGACACATGTTTATGTATAAAGACATCAACAAGTGCATTTTGCATGATAGAAGACCTTTAAACTAAATGCGGCAACAGTGTCTGAGAAACGTGTTCTGGTGTATAGAATGATTGCATTGCAATTTAATCCTAACAAAATTAGTTAATACATAAACAAACATCAAACCTCCGTCCCCAGAACGAAGCCGTCCATGCCTCCGTTGATCTGAGCGGTGGTGAGGACTCCAGGTTGGTCCAGGAGGGTGAAGACCTGAGGCAAGGAGACGTTGTCCACAGCAGCCGTCCGGTCCAAGATGGTGGCTCAAAGGATGGCTCTCCAGGTCTTTGGTGAAGGTGAGTTTGAGCAGTCCGCGAATACGGTCCTTAGTCTTGGACAGGAAGCCTGCCTCGAGGCCCAGGAGGAGCGGTGTTAATGCCACGGTGGTGCCATCGGGCGTCAGAACCACGCCTTCCTCTTGATTCTCCTCCGTCACCCTGTGGTGCACAGCCTTGGTAATGAAAGACAAGAGGCTCACGTCCATTTCAGCACCACCGGAGTCTGCCGCACGAAGGAAGTATTGGATGAGGGCGTCGTTGAGTCCGGCTGCATGGCGGAGGCGCTTCAACACGGCCACAGGACCCGACCCCGGGACCCCGTCCTCCACCTGCTTCACCGCCTGGATGAAGTCATCCATGTGCCAGGAAAATGAAGCTAATGAATACATAAATAAAAGCACAACAATCAATATATATAAAATAACAGTCACTTCAATATCTTTGGGAAATGTACATTAGTGCAAGACTGTCCATAGCAGGAATACATACATGCCTTTGATATTGGGTTAAAAATCGCACATCTTTCTGAGGCAGTTGGGGCTCAGGGTTGATTAAGGGGCAAAAAGGTGGCTGTGAGGTAGTTTGTAGTCTAACAATTGGGATTCGATCAGGTTGAGGGTCCGATCAGAGCCTATAGTCGACATGTACCCTAACCCTAACCCTAGGACAAGATACTTAACCCCAAGTTGCTCCCAGTGGCCAATGGTGTCTGAATATGTTTTGATGTTATACTGGTAGCCCCTGCCCGATATGAATGTGTGAATTAATGTGTAAAAGCCCTTCTAGGAGTTTGTAAAGACTGAAAACACACTATTTAAATGCAGCCATCAACCAATCTATCCCCAGCCCATGCAGTCAACTTGTTGAAGTGTTCTTATTATTTAGTTGCTCTGCTTGGCTTTTCCACGGTATAGAAGTTGCTTGAGACAAAAGCTTCATAATGGAGTACTGGAACAATAAGATCTAACCAGCCTTATCCTTAAACCTTTGTTCCTATCCCCTAACTACACAAACACACCTTAGGTACAGTCGTAGTGTTAATAGTGAAACTAAGCAACTGAGCCCTCATTGACACTTCATAAAGACTGCAGTGTCCATAAAACATCAAACAATGAACCATTACTGATGCAAAGAAACTACCTTTAGATATTTAGACTACATTCACGTTTCTAAAAACCTCAAACCTGTGTTAGATGTTTTGTTGGGTTTTGAGGATACACGATGCAAAATGCAGCCAAACATTTCAAAACCTAGAGAAATCTGTAGTTTTAATGAGTAGCAAAAGAAGCTTCTGCTTTATTTGTTTTTTTCTGGTAATTTTTTATTTTTCCGTGCTAAAAACCGAGTCAAAGTCCATTCAGTTGGTCACACCAAATATTTTGAGTAGCTTCTTAAAAAAATTACAAATAACAGATCACAAAACAGCAAAGAAAAACAGCCATTCCCCACCCTTTCATTGTGTTGTTTTCTTTGAAGAAGACTTCTCACAAAGTTATAACATCCTGTGTGAGTAATGTAATTGAGATAAGCTTGCCTGATTTTCAGACAGGTGTTGTATCATTTTCTAAGACTATATGTGATTCTTTCAACCTGAATACAACTGTTTATTACCAAAGAAAACTCCTTCAAGAGGTAAGGGAATTCCCTGCTTTGCATTTCCTGGTCACACAGAGTATTATGTACTTATTTTTTAGAAAATGACTTAAAGATCTGCTTATAATCCAAACAATCTTGTACAGGGGTATCGAACTCAAGGCCCGGGGGCCAAATCCGGCCCGTGACTTCATTTCATGTGGCCCCACAAGAGCTTGCAAAGAATATAATATGTTTATTATACGGTTACAGGCCGATTTACAGAAGCACGTTGCCCATAAACTACATGTCCCACAATGCATCTCAAATATGCCTTTTTTCTTAGAATTTTACTTTTTTTTCAAAATGTCACTTCTTTTTTTCTCCAGAATGTGGCTTTTCTTTTTAAATCATTTTGTGACATGCGCACTGAAGAGACTTGCAATTATTTACCCCTAGACTTCTGCTTTCAGACCGAGTTAATTAAGAAGTTATTGAGTTATATGAGTGTGTGCTATCCCATAATAATCCAATGCAGAGGCAATAATGTAATATAATACATTATTTTATATATATTAAATATTTATATATGTATTTATATAGTCTTAAAGTTACAACCGGCCCTTTGAGTGCAACCATAATGCTGATGTGGCCGTGATGAAATTGAGTTTGACACCCCTGATCTAGTACATAAATTGCCATTACATCCCAATAAAACTTGTTTAAACAAAAACAAATATCCTTACCTTCTGCATACGTGCTGGCTAACACCACAGCCAGCAGCAGGGAGTGTTTCCAGCTACCTTTATCCATCCTGAACACCTTCAGCTCCAGATGTCTGCTACCTTTCTGTCCTCTCCCTCCTTTATATGAGTGTGTGTTATGTAACAGTGTAGACACACACCATACGCCTGCGTCCACTGAGTAATGTGGGAAACTGGCACCTGCCCTGTCACTGGAGTCCTGACAGAGAGATGAAGGAAGTACACAGATTAGTGCAAAAGTAGTACCACGGTGTAGAAATACTCGTAAGGAAATGTCCTGCTGTCTTTTTTCTACATATGTACTGATGCAAGAAGATGTGCGTGTGTTACGTCTAAATTAGAAGCAAATGCATAAAATAAATTAGCACTGTAATTCCTCCAACATCCTTTATTCTAGTGTTTTGTTTTTTCTGAGAGCATTTTTCTATACTTTTCTAACTTTTTTTCTTGTTATGTTTGTCTTTGAAGATTAACAATAAAATGTAAATGATAAAAAAAGTTCAAGTAGTTCAAGCACGAATACAGAACTAAAGTAACAAAAATCTAGATACACGTTAAGCAAGTTTTTTCGAAATAATATGCATGAGTGGATAATTTTTCTGAATAAAATGCATTATATCACTAAATTAGAAAATAATTGTAAATTGTAATTTTGTAGGTTGTAAAAGTTGAGCTAACTTCCTATTTAAAAACTAAATTCATTAGTTGATCATTATTTTTATGTTATAGATATGAACCTGCAAAAGTAAATAACATGACATTACATGTCACTTGTTAGACGCTTTTATGCAAAGTGACTTACATACTCAATACTGTGGGCAATCCCCATATAGGAGCAATTTGGGGTGAAGTGTCTCAGGGACACAACGACATGCTGACTGCAGTGGGGTTTGAACCTGTGACCCCTGATCCGAACACCAACGCACAACCCACTGCGCAACAGCCTCCCGGTAAAGTTGTCAGATAAGTAAAAAATAACAATATTGACCTTCAAGTTCTGAAAAACAAGTGTAAAGTGGCATAACATACTGAAGTAAAGTACCCTAATATTGTACATAAGTTCAGTAGCCTACTCGAATAATTTACTTTGTTCCAACACTGCTTCTCACCGTTTTCCCACACAGGGGCGGACATTTTCGAGAAATTCCTAACTTCTGTAAAAAGTATTCTTGTCGTTAATGTGGCCGGTGCTTGTGAAACAAACCGGGTAATTAAAGCAATCAGAGGAAAGCTCTTAAATACTTTGCAAATCATCAGCAGTCCTCTCTGAGGCAATGTTCTCTTCAATGTTACCGAAAACACAAAGTCAGAATGCAAAACTGAGGAAACCCCAGAACCTGGCATGAATCATGTTGATTGCTGGGAATTCGTTACAGAAATATGTCTGATCGTACATTTATTCATCAGTGATAGCTGTGAAAAGGTGCAAAAAGCAGCAGTCATGTGATGAAGAGAACAGGAAGTGCCTGCACTCGGTGGGTGAACTGGAATATATACATTGCAGAAGCTCTGGGATGCGAACAATATAGGTCAAAGATATACATCAGTTATTATGGTAATCTGTAATAATAATGACCTTTAGGGGGAGGAACAAGAACGATAAACTGATTTCCATGAGCTAAAGTGACTCGTCAAACACACATTAATAACTGCAGCATGCTGGAACTGAGCCATCATAAATATTACAAGTGTAATTGATTTGTTCTTAAGTAAATATATAATCTGAATACTTCTTCCACCACTGCTATATACATACAGTTTAAATATTGTAAATATGTGTTTTTTTTTATACATTGATACTCCGGTGTGCAATTGAAATACTGGTTGCAATTTGCTATGTGTAGTGTAACACTGTGGAGGATATAGAACACATTATAAATGCATTGCGTTACATATAATACATTAGGAAGTATAGTACAAAAGGCAGGACACAATAGGAGTTTACAATCAATATTGAGAACAGGGGATACAATCAGGAGGGGAATAGTATGGAATGTAGAGCCGATGAATGGGAGTCGGAGTGAGGGTCCGACCGTGGTGCAACACACAATATATACAACGGTGAATTATGTCCCATAATGTTCCACCACAGGAAGAAGATTAGGGCCACATGTGTAACACTTTTTGAAAAGTGATTTTCTTTGTTTCTTTATGAGTTTAAAGGTCAGAAATGTTCGCAGAATTCGAACTTTCATAAAAAAACACATTTATTATTTTCAGGAAAACACATTTATTTTGATAATATTCATTATAAATGTGTTGATGTTTTTTTCTCAAAATTCGGACTTTTCACTTTTAGTCACATCCCCAAAAAATTTCTTATGTGGAAAATAGGGTATATTTTTTGTTTTGTTACTGAGATAATACAAAGCCATGACACCACACACCCCGATACAGGAGGGGGCGGTAATGCACCTATAATGGTGGTTTCTAGTCTGCCATCAAAACCAACGAAGAAGAAATCAGTAAACCAACAGAAGAAGAAGAAAACCTGCACAGTCGCTCGTCTTTTCTCCAACAAAGGTCTGTTTATCAACACTTAAAATAGGTATAGTTGCTCACAGAGTATGAACTACACGTTTGTGTTTCTAAAACGTTTGTGTTTCTACTGCTGGAAGTGGAAGACTGTTGTTTAGATATGTAAACCGGAAGTGTCAGTTAGCTTGTTATGCTAGTTATGCTAACAGCTATCAGCTGTTTGTTGTGTTTGAATCAAACTGATCGTTAGAAAGAGAACAGTGCAGACACATGCTTTTGTAAAAGCTAATATAATGTGTGTTTTGTGAAAATAAAACAGGTTAATTTGATCAAGGGAGAACTCTAGAAAAGGAAATAGCCTCATATGTTCCTCTAAATCCAGGCTAATTGGATAAATGCCTCCATAGGTGTCAATGTGTGATGATTGTAATGCTATTTTCTGTTAAATTATTTAGCGGATTGATGAGTTTACCAACCGAATTGACAATAACTTTGACAAGAGATAAGTAGCTTGAATCTTTTCCTCATCATTTTGCCAAATAAGGTCTCAGGTCCTGAAGTGTTGGCTGCTTTTATCTTCGTGATTCTTTCTGATTCTGCCTGTTTGGTTTCAGTGTTTTTCTATATTTAAGACTCAACCTCCAACAACTTATATTTAGGTTTAGCCTGCAAAGATGTTAGTATTTTTTGGGGGGCAGTTTTTTTTAATTCAATTTATTCCTTTTTTATATATACGTAAAAAAGATGCCTTTGGATTTCCGGCACATGATATGCATGTTTTGTGTTATCTATACTGTATGTAAACAATGTTTGTATTTTGAACAAAACACAGGAATGAATAAGATAAATAGAAAAACAACAACAACACCGCTGATGAATCCAACGCTTAATCTATTAGTGTTAGAATTTGTATAATCCCCTGTAATGTTATTATTTTTTCTTTCAATGTGGACAAATAATAAAGACAATATGATACGATACGATAATACTTGAATGGTCAGATCAAGTCTGAAATGTGACTTGCATCACAGCAGCTCCATGTGTGACATCAACAGACAAATATCAAGACACAATACATGAACAACAAACATTTAACATAACAGCATAATCAGTGAGAGAAAACATGCTCAAAGAGCCTTCAGCGTGCATTTGATCTGGATTCAGCTCTGTAACCATGGTAACAACAAGAACAACAACATGTGTGTGTCAGTAAAATCTGTTCTCCAACAGAAGATGGACACACGCTTCACTCGGGGGAAGTCAAACATCCTGGAGCGCCCTCTGACGCGCCCGAAGACGGAGGTGAGCGTGAGCGCCTTCGCGCTGCTGTTCTCAGAGATGGTGCAGTACTGCCAGAGCCGCGTGTACTCGGTGACGGAGCTGCAGACCCGGCTGGCCGACATGGGGCAGAGCGTCGGGGCCAGCATGCTGGATGTGCTGGTGCTGAGGGAGAAGAACGGGAAGAGGGAGACCAAAGTGCTCAACATGCTGCTCTTCATCAAGGTCAGTAATAATATGAGATGGTGTCATAATGCTTTGTCTGGGACTCAAAGACGGCAGTGCATGTCGAATACAGCTGATGAATCAAACTCTGAATCTGTTGTGTCCGTGTTTTTATTTTATTTTAAAGAATCCCCTTTAATATTATTATTATTATTTATATATGCATTTTTTGTCATTTTCTTCCCTTAAAAAAATAATATTATTATTTCTTGGTCTTAAAAATAAATATATAAATAAAATGGTATTTATATAATTGATATGATTTTTTTAAATGTATTTTCAAATAGATTAAATACTTTATGAGATGCGTATTTATTTGTTTAATTTAATTATAATTAATTTAATGTTTTACTTTTAATTTACTGACTTGGTTTGTCCAGACATACTTGTGTGAGTAAAGACTAATTATTTTTCCTAATTAAACAGAATTATCATATGCTTTAAATCCAAAAGCAGGAAAAGAATGAAGAATATTTACATTTTTTACAAATATATAAAAAAATGAATCTTGTTGTGTTTTGTCTTATTTATACAAAGCACATGTTTCAAGGTTCTTTATTGTCAAACTAGCTACAGAGTAATTATGTCGTTGAAAATCTTAGGTCACAGGCTTCTCCAACAATGCAACACAATAATACAGATAAGCAGACAATATTAAAACAATATTAAAGTATATTATATTAAAAGTAATAACAAACAAAGAAAGTGGAATAGTGCAATACGAGTCTATATACAAGTTATTGGAATGATATATTAGATAAATAATTATTAAGTAGCAGAGGAATGTTATGAAATTGATTCAGCAGTTCAGTTGTTTAACAGTCTTGGACATTAAAGCCATGAAAATAATACCTCTGATGGTTTTAGAGCTGATTAACTTTCATCTCTTCCCTTCCTTCAGGTGAACGTCTGGAAGTCTCTGTTTGGGAAGGAGGCGGACAAACTGGAGCAGGCCAACGACGACGACAAGACGTACTACATCATCGAGAAGGAGCCTCTCATCAACGCCTACATCTCCGTGCCCAAAGAGAACAGCAGCTTGAACTGCGCCGCCTTCACCGCCGGCATCGTGGAGGCCGTGCTCACACACAGCGGATTCCCCGCCAAGGTCACGGCTCACTGGCACAAGGGCACCACGCTCATGATCAAGTTCAACGACTCGGTCATCACCAGGGACAAGGCTCTGGACGGCAGATAGAGGACTGGGGAGGGTCTAGTGTTTGTTGTGGTAACTTATGAGATGATGGCAGCATACTGAGCCACGTGGTCTAGAGCAGAGAACATGCAGCGCCGCGCTTCAACCCTCCGTGTGTTTGTGGATCATCTCACTCCTGTTACTCCTTATTAAGTGACACAGAATAGTTTTTTCTGAAAAGCATTTTATTTGCAGTTTCTCGTCACATTTGTTCGTCCCAGATCATTCATAAAAACATGAATACTTTGGACACTTTTATCCAGGCCGGGGCGATATGAAGGAAGTCAATCATCACAATGTTTCTGATCAAATACCTTTATTGATATTGACACGATGTAAGGGTTGAGTCTTACTCAAGAATGTTTACAAAATACGATGACTAAGTGTGTAAAGACAAAATATGGAAAACATAATAACAAATATACTAGCTTCATACTTTTGCAATCGATATCCAAATTGAAGACACAATCTAGTCTCATTAGACATTAATATATTATCGACATATTGACCAGCCCTACTTTCACCACATCAGTTTGTTGTTTTCTTTAGTTATTCTCAATGTTTTAAGCCCAACATGTCAACTTATTTGAATTGAAAAATGTCACCTTGGGCTCCGGGGAATAGTTTTGGCCCTTTGAAACAATGTGTACACTTTTTATAGACAATGAATCATACAAAGGATCAACAGATTATTTGATAAGGAAAGTGCTTTGCCTCAAAGTGAGACTGAACAAGAACGTCCCCCTGAATGTCAAACTAATCAAAGCAACCCTGGTTTGTGTTTTGTTAATAAATGTGACTATCTTTATTGCTGCGAAGTATTTTGTGGAACAGACAAAGGTCCAGACTCCAGATATTTCTTTCAGTCTCATTCCAGTTTGACTCCAGCTGCATGTTTCATCTCTGTCAAATAGATTAATAATCAGCGCCGTAGCTATAAGTGACACTGAGGTCTTATATGCACCATCTTTGTTTTATCATTATTTCGTGTGTGTGTGTGTGTGTGTGTGTGTTACTTTGGAGGTAATAGTAACAGAGTAAACAATGTAAACACAATGTACATCTTCTGCATTTTGACAACTTGTATTGCTTTAAAGCAAATTAAATAAGTAACGTACAGAAGGTTCAGCATTTCTCCCCCCTTTATTTTATTCCTGGCAGCATTAAACATAATTACCACTGTTTTGACCTACATGTTGAGTTATTCACAGAGGACAGAATTGAATACAAATTGAAAAATCCAAGTGATTATTATAAAAAATACACCCGTTTTTGGTTAATAATGTTAACTACTGACCAAGTGTTAAATAAATATTAAAATGTAAATGCAATGTGTCCAGTGTCTCTTTACTGTTTACACTGCAGTCGCTTTTCTCATTACTGGTTTTAGAAAGAAACACAAGAGTAACAAAGGGACACAGACTGACTTATTTCAAAGGTTGGAAGAAAAAAATATATACTTTTTCTGTAGATTTTATTTATGGGAGAATTCCACATCCATAAAAGAAGATGGACGGATTTCCAAACCAAGTTTCGGACATTTTTACCAAGAACGACGTATGGCACCACTGTAATAAACATAAATATGAAGGCAACAAAAAAACAGTACTTCACAAATATTTTATGCAAAATAACCGTTTTAGACTTGTCTTTACTTCTTTCTGAACCGTTGTTAAAGAGGAAAACTGGGCAAACAAACCAACTCGATATATTTCAAAGGTAGGAATAGAAAAAGGTACTGTTTTTATTGTATTTAAATGTATATATGGGAACATTTTACCGTCTTTTACGTTCATTATTTTCTTTTCTTTGTCTAATATTTGTTGTGATGTTTTCCGGTGTTTCCCTAGCAACACGCACTAGTCACGTGATAGTGGAGTCACGTGGTAACCAGGAAGCTCCTCTGTTTTCCAATCCAACGGAGAGCATCCTTTCTGTGTGCAGAAACTAGACTGTTAAACACAATGGATCCTCTCTCTTCTCCATACTGAGCTCAGGATGTCCTCCTTCATCACAGCCTGATCACCATGGCGACCTCCAGCTCCACGTGCACCCAGGACAGCTCCACAGGTCGGTCTGTGTTCATGTTTCTAACATATGGAGATAATTCATGTGTGTTTTCTGTCACTTTAATGCATGGATTCTGTAAATACTGCAAAATGCATCATGTTAAATTAAATTAGGCTGCACGGATGATGCTAAGATGTGATGCATAAGGTCTTATGAAGGAAATACTTGTTAGATAAATGTTCTGCATCCCAGTTGACTTGCAGATTAACAAGATTTATATTCTAGTCACTTACTAAAGTGCAATGTGCATGCAGTTACATAGGATGGGAAACTGCCCTTATGTATGCAGTGGTGGAAGAAAGTACAAGTATACTAATAGCACACTGTACAAATACTAATATTGAATAAGTACTGCATTGGAAATGTTAGCTGGGTATAAGTAAGTTTGAATTATCATGAAAATATATTGAATATATCCAACGTTAAAGCAAAAATTAGCAGAAAAAAATAAACAAAAAATATTCAAATGCAATTAAATGAGAAAATGATTATTATTATTTCCTTTTAAAGATGCCATTTAATCATCATTCTATTCTATTGTATGATTGGATAATGCATCAAGCTTGCCTCGTACAGACTGTTGACTAGTTTAACTATAAAATATAATATTTTATAGCTTTCTGTGTTTTTTATGCAAACTTCTGTATAATCTGCAAAGTCACTAGTTACTAAGGCTGTCAAATAAATGTAGTGTAGTAAAAAATACAATATGTGTTTGTGTAGTAGAGTAGAAGTATAAAGTAGCATAAAATGAAAATACTCAGGTAAAGTACAAGTACCTCAAAATAGTACTGAAGCATTGAATAAATGTACTTTATAATATTGCATTAGCGCTATTTACATTTGCATACTACATAAACATTTCCTTTCACTGTACAGCATTTCATTTTACATTCTGTTATTGTTTATCCTATTATATTTATATGTATATTGTTCACTTACAACATACATACAATCTATATATGTAACATTCTCTGAAACATTTAGCTTTTTGTATTTATTTTTGACATGTATATAGTTTACTTCTCCTGCATTACTTGCACATTGGTCTTGCAACATAATCTTGCACTATTCTTTATTTTTTTTATTGTTTTATGTCTAATATATAGTTGTGTTGCATTGTTGGAGGAGCCTGGGACTTCAGATTGTCACATTCATATCAACACGGTAGCTGCTGTCCATGTGACAACAAAGAATCTTTTAATCTAATGCTGATCACATTTCAAGTTAATCACCGTGGATTTCTTTGTATTTCCCAGAGAAGGAGCGGCTCCTCTCCCAGTTTGCGGGCTATGGGTCCCGGGACCTCCTGGCCCCTCGTCCCTCCTCTCTGCTGGGGGCCCCTCGTCCCTCTCTGCTGGGCTCAGAGGCCCCTCAGAGGAAGGAGGAAGATGAGGAAGAGGAGGAGGTGCTGAGGAGGAAACTGAAATACTTCTTCATGAGCCCGTGTGACAAATATCACGCCAAGGGACGCAAGCCGTTCAAACTGGGCCTTCAGCTGCTGAAGATCATCATCGTCACCGTGCAGGTCAACACAGACTTAGAACTGATTATTAGTGTTATTATAGGACATGTATGTATTATTATTTCACCCCCTGAGACTTTTTGATCATAGTTTGATCAAAAACTACACTTTCATTCAAATCTCATATCAGTAATATCACTCGGTCTGCCTATTTCCATCTACGCAACATCAACCGCCTCCGCTCGTCCCTTAACCCTAAGAGCACCGCCATTCTTGTTCACACCCTGGTCACTTCCCGCATTGCCTACTGCAACTCCCTTCTCTTTGGTCTCCCTCTCAAATCCATCCACAGACTTCAACTGGTTCAGAACTCTGCCGCCCGCATCATCACCAGAACCCCCTCCATTAACCACATCATTCCTGTTCTTCAGCAGCTTCACTGGCTCCCCGTCAAATCCTGTATCGTTTTAAAGATTCTGCTCCTCACCTTTAAGGCCATCCATAACCTCACTCCTCTGTACCTCTCCGACCTCCTGCACATCAACACACCCATCCGCACTCTCAGGTCTTCTGCTTCCCTCCACCTCACTGCACCCCCCTTCCGTTTAACCACCATGGGGTCTAGAGCCTTCAGCCGCTCTGCACCCCGCCTCTGGAACTCCCTCCCACCTGAAATCCACAACACTGACTCTCTCCCCATTTTCAAAACATATCTCTTCACACTCGCATGACATTGCATTTAGCTGACACTTTTATCCAAAGCGACTTACAATAAGTGCGTTCGACCAACAAAATACAAACTTGAAGAAAACAGAATCATAAGTACATCAGGTTTCATAGAGCTAAAACATTTCAAGTGCTACTCAACTGGCTTTAGATAAGCCAGCCCTTTGTTAGTATATAAGTGCTTTGTTAGTAATTATATCGCTCGAAGTGGAGTCGAAAGAGATGAGTTTTCAGTCTGCGCCGGAAGATGTGTCAAGCTATCTGCTGTCCTGATGTCAATGGGGAGCTCATTCCACCATTTTGGAGCCAGGATAGCAAACCCATGTGGCTAATGACTGATCAGAGTGAGTTTGTGTACAGAGAGAAGAGGAGGGGACCAAGAACAGAGCCCTGAGGGACCCCTGCAGTTAATTGACAAGGGTCAGACTCGGACCCTCTCCAAGTTACCCTGTAGGTGCGGTCTTCGAGGTATGAGGTGAGGAGGGAAAGTGCAGAGCCTGAAACTCCAAGTTCTCGGAGAGTGCGAAGGAGGATCTGATGATTCACCTAGTTTATAACATCGGACGGGTTGAGAGTGGGTTTCTTTAGGAGAGGGTTTACTCTTGCCTCCTTGAGACTGTTTTGGAAAGTGACCAGAAGTTAGAGGGCATATCCACCCTGATCATTATCCATCACACATCCTCTGTTTTATTTATTTCATTTTTGATATACTGCATTGTCTTGTTTATGTTTCTTATGCTGGTTTTATGTATTGTGTATCTTGTTTTTTGTGTGTTTGTATGGCGACCTTGAGAGGCGCCTATATAAAATAAATGTATTAGTTTGTAGTGTTTTCTACATACGTTTTTACCAGAAACGGTGTGATTGGATAACAACAACAAATCTTGTACCTGAACCGTATATTAGGGCCGGGACTCGATTACAAAAATTAATCTAATTAATTAGAGGCTTTGTAATTAATTAATCGAAATTAATCGCATTTTTAATCACATATAAATATTTGACCTGAGAACAGTGAGAAGCAATTTTTTTCACATGGATTTTAGTATACCATTAGGCGCATTCACACCGCAGTACTTTTCCCACAAAGGTTCATGAGAACTTAGTTCATGAGAACTCTTTGAACCTGGGGGAGGATTAGGCAAATGAAGCCGCTGACGTCACTTCTTCTTCTTCTTCTGCTTTGGGTTTACTGGCAGGCCGCAAACCACTTCACGGCGTATACTGCCGCCCAAAGTCCCCGGCCGGAAGTCCCCGGAGTTGGGGACTGGCTTCAGTAGAAGCTGCTGGGAGTCCCAGCAGCTTCAACTGAAGCCTTCCGAGTAAATCGCCAGAACGCCGACACCTCCTCATCTCCACCGCTCCCATGTTTTATTTTGTGTTGCCATAAGTTAGTCTCTCTGCGTTTCTGCGCTGGGCTAATGCTAATAATGCTAATGCTAATAATGCTAATGCGAGGATAATAAAATGGCGGCTTCACAAAACTTTTTGGGAGTTTTACGGGGCGTGGTTTGCAATCCGCCCAGCCAATCAGAAATATAGCTCTTTTCTCACAAGAGAGCCGTACGAAAGTCCCTGCTCTCTAGCAGCTCTCTGCTCTCTAGCAGGGACTTTCGTGGGGGTAAAAAGGTTCTCATGAACTAATTTTAGTACCGGCTCTTTTTGGTGTGAACGCGATAAAAGAGGCTAGCTTCCACGCTAGCTTCCACGCTAGCTGGTATATGTTTTGCATTGAGGTGATACTTGAGGCTTGATGTGCTGCGGTGATATGCGAATTCCTTTTTGCATAATTTGCACACAACCGTGCTCTTATCGACGCTTCCATCCGTCCGTTTTTTAAAACAACATTTCCCACTGTTGTTCACTGTGGTTTGTTGTTGTCTGAAGTCATGAACATTAGTTGGTGCTCCAGTATAATCGGTACGCCTGAAACTCATCCAGTGAGAAACGTTCCGCGGTGCAAAAATAAGTGCGATTAAAATGCGTTAATTTTTTTAACGCGTTAATTTTTGTGTAATTAATTAATCTTAATTAACGCGTTAAAGTCCCGGCCCTACCGTATATATTTACATGGAATAGAAAAATAAAAGGTTTCATCTGTAATTCTGTAGTTGCCTGTTGTTAAAGCTCCTTTTCTTCTCAGCTGGTGCTGTTTGGGCTCAGTAACCAGATGGTGGTGACATTTAAGGAAGAGAACACGGCGGCGTTCAAACACCTTTTCCTGCAGGGATTTCAGGACGGAGCTGCTCAGAGCGTGCACACACAGAAGGAGCTCTACAGCCGCATTCACTACGCTGTCCAGCAGGTACACTCATGATTACACAAATACCAATTTATTACACTGTCATTATGTATCAGTCAGTGGTGGAATGTAATGAAACGCCTCCATTGGATTCCTTTGTTTACTTCCGGAAGATAGTGACATCACAAGGTAACACAAGCGCAGCTATTGGCTAGTTCTCCATCACATTGTACGTGATATACGGGGACATCTCTAAGCGGTTAACCAATCACAACAGAGCTAACCAGCTAACCAATCAGAGCAGACTGGGCTTGTTAGGATATAAAGGAACTACAGCACGGTCACATGACTTCACATCACCACCGCTAAGCTAAAGGCGGCTAATGTTGGGCGTGATGACGTTTAGTCGTCTCATTTAGACACTTGTTAGCAACCGCTGTTTTTAAATTCACCAGTGGGGTTTTTACTGACATATTTTATGTCGTAGAACAAAACGTTAATATCTCTTCAACTTGCACAGACCTTTTTATCAGGCAGCTAACACATTCAAAACACATTTAAAAATACATTGACTTAAAGATAAGAGAACAGGACGTGCTGAAATGCCAACTCATTTCCAGGTTTTAGTTCCTGCAGCACTGCCTCATGTTGACTTGTACTCCTCTCTCTCCCCCTGCAGTATATGGCTCTCCCTCAGATCTCTCTTGGTCAGTACGCCTATGTTCTGGGTGCCGGTGAAAATGGAAGTGCGCTGTCCCTCTGCCAGAGGTTCTACAGGAAGGGAACCATCGACCCCTCCAACGACACCTTCGACATCGATCCGCATGTGGACACCGGTAGGAGGAACTTGGTCCTTCTCTCCTTAATGTTCATTGTATCCACTGAGTGGTGCAGGAATGAGTCATACATTCTGAAAGTGGTTCAGCGTTTAGCTTTTCCTTGTTCCCTTGTGTAGTGTTCAATGTTTTTTTGAATGTCTTTTTGTTTGTTACCCACAGACCTTATTTCAGGCTAACATAAGCCAAAGAAATGTTTGTTCTACGACATAAAATATGTCAGTAAATACCCCACTCGTGAATTTAGAAAAGGTGGTTGCTAACAAGTGTCTAAATGAGATGATTAAAAGTCATCACGCCCAACATTAGCCACCTTTAGCTTAGCGATGGTGATGTGAAGTCATGTGACCGTGCTGTAGTTCCTTTATAGCCCAACATTGGCCACCTTTAGCTTAGCAGTGGTGACGTGAAGTCATGTGACCGTGCTGTAGTTCCTTTATAGCCCAACATTAGCCACCTTTAGCTTAGCGGTGGTAACGTGAAGTCATGTGACCGTGCTATAGTTCCTTTATAGCCCAACATTAGCCTCCTTTAGCTTAGCAGTGGTGACGTGAAGTCATGTGACCGTGCTGTAGTTCCTTTATAGCCCAACATTAGCCACCTTTAGCTTAGCAGTGGTGACGTGAAGTCATGTGACCGTGCTGTAGTTCCTTTATAGCCCAACATTAGCCACCTTTAGCTTAGCAGTGGTGACGTGAAGTCATGTGACCGTGTTGTAGTTCCTTTATAGCCCAACATTAGCCTCCTTTAGCTTAGCAGTGGTGACGTGAAGTCATGTGACCGTGCTGTAGTTCCTTTATAGCCCAACATTAGCCACCTTTAGCTTAGCAGTGGTGACGTGAAGTCATGTGACCGTGCTGTAGTTCCTTTATAGTCCAACATTAGCCTCCTTTAGCTTAGCAGTGGTGATGTGAAGTCATGTGACCGTGCTGTAGTTCCTTTATAGCCCAACATTAGCCTCCTTTAGCTTAGCAGTGGTGACGTGAAGTCATGTGACCGTGCTGTAGTTCCTTTATAGTCCAACATTAGCCTCCTTTAGCTTAGCAGTGGTGATGTGAAGTCATGTGACCGTGCTGTAGTTCCTTTATAGCCCAACATTAGCCTCCTTTAGCTTAGCAGTGGTGATGTGAAGTCATGTGACCGTGCTGTAGTTCCTTTATAGCCCAACATTAGCCTCCTTTAGCTTAGCAGTGGTGACGTGAAGTCATGTGACCGTGCTGTAGTTCCTTTATAGTCCAACATTAGCCTCCTTTAGCTTAGCAGTGGTGATGTGAAGTCATGTGACCGTGCTGTAGTTCCTTTATAGCCCAACATTAGCCACCTTTAGCTTAGCAGTGGTGACGTGAAGTCTTGTGACCGTGCTCTAGTTCCTTTACAGTTTAACATGAGCTTTTACTTCAAATATCCTGAAGTGTTAATATGTGGAGATTATCCTGCTGAACAAAACATGTAAGTATCATAAACGTTTGTTTGCCACAGAGATTATTTTCTGCTATATTCCAAAATCCAATGAAAAAAACCCATTGGCTTTTAATGGAGGGAAGCAGGCACATGCTAACTTCAGGGTCAGACGTAAAAATGCGTCATCCCAGCACCACTGTATAAAACAAGTTATTTTTTACTCCAACCAGTATTTTCTCGCCCCTTAAGCACATGATGTCAGTGAGTCATTGTGGTGCTGCTCCATATGTGTCAAGAGTTGCCCTCCTTTCAGAGGCATTAAATAATTCCTACCAAACAATTGCAACACAACATATTTTCTTTCCATTGACTCTACCTCCCAGTTTCCATGCCATGGGAGTGGAGTTATTTGCAAACACCTGCTGATTTGGCACAGATGACTTTTGGCAATGCATGATAGATCTTGTGGGAAAAAAAAGATAAATTAGATAATGATGTCCAATGGGTCAGTTCTGCGTTTGAATGCTGTGAGGAAGTGTAGAAAAGTGGTTTGTGCTTCACGTGATGAGGACAAATTCCCCTTTAACTTCCTCTGATGCTATTTTCTGATCATTTTTTCCCCCAGAATGCATTGGACTGAATCCACCGACCTACAGTGCTGCTCCAGGAAACAGTGACTACAAGAATTTCACTCTCAAGTTTTACAAGTGAGATAATATTCTGCTTCTTTTTTTTACATTAAAATCAAAGAAAGCTGTGTTTTCACGTTAACTGTTGTCATGTTTGTCTCTCTTCAGGCTGATCAATGTCACGATCGATTTCCAGCTGAAGGCCATCAACATTCAGACCATAATAAACAATGAAATCCCCGACTGCTACACCTTTGCTATCATGGTAAACTACCTATCTTTCTGTATTTAAATAAACGATTAAAACATCTTAAGCAAAAGTCTTGAGTTCCAACTGTTACTTAATTAAAAGTAAAAAAGTGTCATCAGCAAACTTTAAAAAGTACATATTTGGCAGAATGGCCCTTTTTAAAATAGTTGTTTTACTATAACATGTTATAATATTCAGTTTTTAATTTCTAAATAATATAAGAGGTTTCTTTATGTTGTAATTTGCATACTTTGTGTACAATTGAGTAGATTAGTAGTACATATACTGTATCATACAAACAGATGTTATATATGTGAATAGTAACTACAAGTGTATATCATTTTATGTAGTGGAGTAAACAGTACAATATTTCTTTCTGAGATGTATCGGTCTAGAGTTATAATTACTAGTGAAAGATGTTTATACTCAACTAAAGTACAAGTACCTCAAATGATACGAAAGTACATGATAGTAGTTGAGTAAATGTACTTAGTTACTGTCCGCCCATCCTGCAGCTCAGATAGAAATCAGGTCTAATGTGTGAATTTGCACGTTGTTTGTTTAAATTAGCAGACCATTGAAACAGGAGTTGAACTGATGAAACGTGTTGTTAAACTCTCATCAGATCGTCATGGACAACAAGGCTCACAGCGGCAAAGTGAAGATCCATCTGCAGAACCAGGCGTCCATCCAGGAGTGCAGAGACCCCAACGTGTCCGGGCACGGTGAGAGAACTGACACATGACTCTCTCAGACACACACTTATCTGGTTCTTAATTTAAGATAAGATAAGATAGAGCTTTATTGTCTCCCTTAGGAGAAATTTGTCTTGGGCATCGAGATAATACACATAAAACATTCAGGTCGATCAGTCATAGATACAGAACAGAGATCACATATCACATGGCAAAGAAATGTAACCGTTTTCTTTATTGTGCGTCTGATTATTTGCCTACAGCGGAGAGTTATGCTCTGGAGTTTTTCGACGTGTGTGTGGCGTTTGTGTGTCTGATGTCTCTGCTGCTGTGCGGACGCTCCGTCCTCAGAGGCGTCCTGCTGCAACACGTAAGACACCAGAACGATTTATGTGTTTATCTTCAGAAGATTCTGCTTTAAACAAACCCATTCTTACTTTAACTTCTAATGTTTGTATACATTTTTGTTGGTGTTTTTGATTGAACATGTTAGCTTATCTTTTATATTTTTTTATCCCAAAATAGAGAAACTGTCACAAACACGCTTTCCCCCAGGACCACACATGTACTCTGATTCAGATTGATATGATCCTCTTTCTCACTTCAGTCAGACTGTGCTCGATATAATAGGTTGATTGAACTCATCCTCCTTCCTCCTCTTCCTCCCCAGGAGTACGTGCAGTTCTTCAAACACAGACTGATCCGCAGGGTGAGCCTTGGAGACCGGATGGAGTTCATCAACGGCTGGTACCTCCTCCTCATCATCAGCGACACCTTCACCATCATCGGCAGCTTCATCAAGATCAGCATCGAGTCCAAGGTAACGTCCTCTCAGAGACATTATCTCTAATCGTTCAGCTCTGCAGTACAGGGCTCAGTTTCTAATGCTGTCCCTGTTTCTGCAGAACTCATCCTCGTACGACATGTGTGGGATCCTGCTGGGAACCTCCACCCTGCTGGTGTGGGTCGGAGTCATCCGCTACTTCAGCTTCTTCCAGAAATACAACGTATGTTAAAGACTTGCTTCAATGCTTTAGATGGTCCTAAAACCATGAAGTGAGTCAGCATTTTAGCACTTTTCTGTTCCCTCATCTCGAAAGTCAGTTTTTAAATGTGTTTTTGGTAGGTTGCATGATATAAGGTCTTTAACGACATCAATTAGGTCAATAAATACCCCCCTGGAGAATGTCTGAAGCTTATATGTTTCTTAAAAACAGAGGTTCCTAACAAGTGTCTAAATGAGACGACTAAACTGCATCATAATGATACAGTAATACATGTTATTTATATAGCGCTTATCCTGGTGCTCAAAGCGCTTTACAAGCAGGTAAAGAAAAAATAACAACAAAAGTTAAAAAGTGCTAAACTAGGTGGAATACGGGCGAGGGGTTAGAGGATTAGGAGTTGAAGGCAAGTGTGAAAAGGTGAGTTTTGAGTGATTGTTTGAATGACCTGCTGAACATTAGCCGCCTTTAGCTTAGCAGTGGTGAGGTGAAGGCATGTGTAGTTCAGTGTAACTTTTTACTTAACTAAGATCATAAAAGTGGTGTTAATGTGTGGAGATTATCCTGCTGGACAAAGCGTGTAAGTATCATTAATGTGTGTTTGCCACGGATCTTATTTTCTACAATATTCCAAAATCCAATGGAAAAATCCCATTGATTTTTCTCAAGGGAACCAGGGAGATGCTGCCTTCCAGGTCAGCCTACAGTACAAATAAAATGTCATCCCTGCTCGACTCTGGCTAAATATATTTTATTCTTTCTTTGTTTGTCACAGATCCTGATTGTGACTCTCAGAGCTGCGTTTCCTAACGTCATCCGCTTCTGTTGCTGCGTAGCGGCCATTTATATGGGCTACTGCTTCTGTGGGTGGGTTGTGCTGGGGCCCTATCATGCCAAGGTACACACACACACACACACACACAAAGAATGAGCAAGCATGAGTCATTCAGACAGTCAGGAAGTCACCATGGCTTAATTCCCATAAACTGCCTCCAGCATGTCATTGTTATAGCTCTGTAAGATTAGTGAGCCAAGGAAAGTGACATGTATTCAGTCAGAGTCATAATAACATGCGATGGATTTAGCTTTTTCTGGTAGAAAGGGAGCAATCCAGCAACAAGTAGAAAGAATAACACTTGCAATAATTGAAACAATACACATAAACAGTTCTTTTTAAATACAAAAGCCATCTTAACACTGCATTTAATAACGTGTGTTCCTGTGTGTGTAGTTCCGCTCCCTGTCCATGGTGTCACAGTGCCTCTTCTCTCTGATCAACGGAGACGACATGTTCGTGACGTTCGCTGCGATGGAGCAGAGCGGCCCTCTGGTGTGGATCTTCAGCCAGGTGTACCTCTACACCTTCATCTCGCTCTTCATCTACATGGTGCTGTCGCTCTTCATCGCCCTCATCACCGGAGCCTACGACACCATCATGGTACGATTTCTGTCAGTCATTCAATCGTTTTCATGCAGTTTTGACCAGGCCCGTGGGAAATTAATTAATTAGTTAGTGCGTTCGCCCCCCACTCAATTTCTTTTTCCAACGTCTCGTGAGTAATGTGCAGTACCGGAGTCCAACAGAGAGGCAGCAGCTGCGCGGCTCCGGCGACTTGACAGTATGAGCGTGCTCCACCAGCACATTGACAATAAAGTTTGTCGAGATACAATTTAGGGAATAAAGTGAAAATGTTGAGAAGAAAATGTACTTGAACAATAAAGTTGAAATACAATTTTTTGAATAAAAATGTCACGTTGAGAATAAAATCAGAATTACCAGAATAAATCAAAAAGTCAAAAATATTGTGGATGAAGTTCAAATATTAAGAATAAAGTAAAAACAAAATGCAAAAAGAATAAAATAACAATAGATTAAGAATAACATGTCTAGAATAAAGTCAAAATATCTAGAATAAACAAAAAATTATGAGAATACAGCAGAAATGTTGGTGAATAAAGTCAAACCGATATGAAAATAGTCATAATGTTGAAAATAAACGTTGCTAACTTTTGAGAATAAGTCTCCTGTAACTAGCATTAGCGTACATAGCTGGACTTGAAATACAAAATAAACCAAAACACATCATCCTCCTCATGTATTTCCTCCTTATGCCTGTCCCTCTTTCTCCTCCTTAGGCTCAAACGAAGGAGCAGGTCCGAGTCAGCGCTCTGCACCAGTTCATCTCCGAGTGCAACGACACACCGAGCTCCGGGAAGTTCAGAGGACCAGAAGGATCCTCGTGTTCCTTCCTCTGCTGCTGCTGCTGTGAGTGAGGAGGAGGAGGAGGAGGAGGAGAGGAGGAGGAGGAGGAGGAGGAGGAGGAGGAGGAGGAGAGGAGGAGGAGAGGAGGAGGAGAGGAGGAGGAGAGGAGGAGGAGGAGGAGGAGGAGGAGGAGGAGGAGGAGGAGGAGGAGGAGGAGGAGGAGGAGGAGGAGGAGGAGGAGGAGGAGGAGGAGGAGGAGGAGGAGGAGGAGGAGGAGGAGGAGGAGGAGGAGGAGGAGGAGGAGGAGGAGGAGGAGGAGGAGGAGGAGGAGGAGGAGGAGGAGGAGGAGGAGGAGGAGGAGGAGGAGGAGGAGGGTCTGTGGCCTAGCATTACTATACTTGTGGGGACCTAAATCTGTTTGCACAGCCACGTGTGGGGACTCGCCTCCCTTATGGGGACAAATTGGAGGTCCCCATGAGGGGAATCATTAATTTTAGGGTGAAGACTTGGTTAGGGTAAGGGTTAGGGTTAGGCATGTGTTAAGGTTAGGATAAGTCTCCAGGAAATGCATGTAAGTCAATGTAATGTCCCCTGAAGTGATGTATACATGGTTTGTGTGTTAAAAGCACTATATTTCCTGTGACAGCTTCAAACACCCAGCAGGGACTCTGAATGCGTCGATAGAGAGAAGCGACTGACCTTGAACACTCTATCCTTTGCTGTCTGAAATTGTTGCATTTCGATTTGTCCGGGAACGCCTGAACGCACCGCACACAGGCCCAATTACCTGCTCGGGCTTTTGTACTATATGAATAATTTATGGTCTCTTTGTGAAATGTCAGTTTGTCAGAGCTTTGATGACTACAAGAATAATGCCAGTAAACATATTCATCGCTGTAGAGTGGACGCACATTTCCACCGGAACACACACAGCGGTTTATCATCATTTCAGTGTCCACACGCCTTTACAATATGTAAATATGTGTCTGAATCTTCATAGGGATTATTAACCGCTGTGACTTTAGCTTCTCCAACCATTTCACTTTCAAGGTTGTTGTTCCTCCTCTTTTTTCTTATTCTTCGCTCTGTTCTCATCCTCCTCTGGCTGGAGGAGGAAGATGATGGTTTCACCAGGAAGGACCAGTCATCATCAATATGTATGAAGTGTTATTGCTGTTAAGAGCCAGGTGACTAATGCACTGAGAGACTCTGCAGTGCTCTGTGCAAGGCAGCTGTCTTGTCAATTTTAACCAATGAGCTAGAAGTTTAAAGGGAAACTTAATTCGCAAAAATACCTTTTTCTATATCAATAACTCGCAGTGAAAACTTTATCACATGGCTCCACAATGAGCAAAGAATCCAAAATACAGAGACGTTTCTTAGTTTAATGAAGAAAATGCGTTTCAAACAGAAAAATGATATCAAAACATCCATTTAAAACTCTCACACAATTTGTGGAGTTTAATCCCAGTCCGATGTATCTATTCGTATGCTCATTACTTACCAAATATATACGTCTTGTCTAAAATATTACTATTTAAAACACTTTTTAATGAGCAGTGTCACACTTGCTAAGTCGCGCTATGCTTCCCTCTAAAGGTTTTAGTCTAAATGAATGTGTTTGTGAAGTAGTCAGCATACAACGTCGACTGTTTTGATAGTTTTGCTGTTAAATCTGCATCCGTTTAGATCAATTCATTAAGAGTTTTGGGGATCCTTTGTTCATCTTGGAGGAATTTGAGAAAAAGCTAAATATGTTCTTAGGTTTCAAGGTAACACTAGGTAATTCAATGATGAACAATGATCATTTTGTAGGTGAAATATTCCCTTAAGTGAATTTTAACCAAGTATGTACAGTATGTGTTTAGGCTTTGTAGCGTAATACGTTGACATGTTAGGGAGTTATATTATATATAATATCCAATCAATCCAATCCACTTTATTTATATAGCACAGTTTAAAAACGGAGGGTTTGCCAACGTGCTTCACAAGGAACATAACATTATAATAAAATATAATATTACACGAATAGATAAAAGGCACACATAAGAAAAGATAAAAAGCACACATAAGAATACATACAAGGCACATAGAGGCTATGGACAGACAGTAAAAGCATACAAATAGGTAAGACATAGCTCAGACTGACTGGTAAGCGAGGGAAAAGAGGTGGGTCTTTAGGCGGGACTTCAAAGCTTCAAGAGTGGGCGACAATTTTACATGAGGGGGCAGGTCGTTCCAGAGCCCGGGGGCTACCGATGAGAACGCTCGGTCTCCCCTGGTCTTTTTCTTTGTTTTTGGGACTATCAGCCGCAGCTGATCAGCCGACCTCAAAGCCCTTGAAGCCTGTTTGAAAGCTTAATAGCTCTTTTATATTATCTGTAAATGAAAAAGGGTATTTCTGCAAACAAGCAATTCTTCATTTCACCTTTTTTTCCTTCAGGCTCATAAAGGGCGCTGTTTAATGGAAAAGAGACGTTCACTGCACAAAATGTTTCAGGACTAAAAGGTGTATTAAATTATTGTTATGCTAACTTATATGAATGACTTTTGTTTACAATCACAACACGTGTTTACGCTTTATGAATGTTTATTTACACTTCATTAAGACTGATTCACTTGATTTCAATGTGTCACTTTGGTTTTATGTTAATAGTGTTTTTATTTAAAGCTGCTTTCTTATATTTGTTATGCTGTCTTAATTATTTTTTATTGTTATTATTTGAGTATTAGTTTCTGTATAGGAGTACAAGTTTTAATGATAATTTTTATGAATTATGTTCTGTAAAGCTGCTGCCATCTGAATGAAAACATTTCAAGTCAAATAAACTGGAAAGACTTCAAAATGGTGTCTAAAGGCCGGTGTTTTGATATTTATTTATTCTTTATCACAGCAGACACATTGTATTCCGGTTTTAAAAGTCAGATGCTCACTAAAATGTCATGTCAGTGGTATATAGAGATAACGCGCTGCATTCAAGTGCTCTTCAGATTGTCCTCTTTTCTGAATTGAGAAGTCGATCCTGATACTTCTGTGTGTTTGTGAGTAATATGGGAACAACCACAGACTTTATAGGAAAAAAACAACACGCTTTTTTTTGCTTCAACAGTTTAAACACATGTTGATAGCTGCTTCCAGTATTTTGGTTGACTTGATACAAGTCTGCTAAAACAGAAAGAAGGTTCTTATCCGAGATGTTGTCCCAGATGTGTTGCTTTCTCACAAAGGCCTGTCTACGTGGACTACTACTACCTGTTCTGTATCTGATAGCATATTAAAAATGACATGAGCAAAAAATGTACATTCAATACAGGAATAATTAAAATGTCCTTACCATCAACCCAACATCAACTTGCGTAGTTAATCTATAAACTACAGTTTAACATGATTCCATGTCACTTCCGCTAAGCTAAAGTTTGCTAATGTTGGGCCTGATGACGTTTAGTCGTCTCATTTAAACTTGTTGGCAACCTTTGTTTTTAAATTCACCAGTGGGGTATTTACTGACGTATTTTATATCGTAGAACAAAATCGTAATCTCTTAAACCAAAAACATATTAAATAAATCCTTGCCTTCAAGCAAGAGAACATAAAGCGCTAAAATGATGGTACGGTACGTCCACATGGCAGCATTGCGTACTTCAACGGAGACGCTTCCCATTCGTCACGCTTTGCCGAACTGCATTGTGGTTCCGTCGCGTCGCTTTGCCTCCGTTGCTCGTTGCTTCGACGGAAGCACCAGCCAATCAAATCATATGCCAGTACAATCTCTAGCCAATCAAACCGCGTGCTTGTGTGTCCGGGGCGGGAGATTCATGTGATTGGTTGTTGGTTGCGCTTTGCTCCCACAATGCAGTTCGGTGAAGCGTGACGTCACCCCATTCAAAGTGAATGGGCAGAAACGTTGAAGCTTCAACGCACGCCGCCGTGTGTAGGGGCCGTAGAGCATGAGCCCTTAGTGTGTTGTGTTAGTCTGTCACCACTAGAGGGAGAAAGCAGCCTCTGTCTGCGGACACCAACCAGCCAATCACAGGAAATCAATACAACCTTGAGCCAAGACTAATATAAGGAAATGCTGCTGTGAAGCTAAAACCTAATGGGGAGGAGAGGAGTGGCGAGACAATAAGAGAGGGAGCGGTTTGCTGCCTTCATTAAAGATGAATAACGCTGACTAAGTTAAGTGCTTAACCTTCTGGTCTACCATTACCAGAAACTGCTTCTCAAGGTTAACGAGTCAGACGGAGAAAAATATGCAAATGGTGAAAATTAGAGGAAATTAGAGGGGAGGATGAAGGCAGATGTGCACACTCACTCCTCTCAGTGTGGAGGAGTAGCACGGCTGTCCAATATCCTCTGTACCTGCATGAATTATTTACTCCAGGATGCTGCCAGGGGCGAAGCACTCAGACTGACAGGAAGTGGGTAGCCTTCAGGGTAAAGCTGATTAAAAAGTCCCTTAGAGAAAACCTCCAGTCAGGCAGTTTCCTAGTTAACTGCAGTCCCATGCAACTCATCATATATGAAGTAGTATAGAGCAGTATTACCACCCGCACAATTAATTGAAGGCATCTGTAATTATTCTTTAGTAATGTGATCATATACAGTAGGCCTTTACGTTTCTAAAATTGGTCATTCTGCATAATCTGTCTGTTATGTTTACTTTTGATACTTTAAGTGTATTTGAATGCTCATAATGTATGGTGGCCGACAAGTGCAAACGTGCTACAACGACCCAAAACATTTCCATTAGGAAAACGATGCAAATGAAGAAACAATGGTTAAAAATGTGACATGAAATTCTTAGGGGAAATAAAAGTGTTACAGTACATGGACTTCCTGTTTGTTTAAAAAAAGAGGCGGACCCAACTGTTTTTTTTTTGTTGCTTATGTTTTGATGAGCTCCTTTTCCTCCTCAGCCTCAGGCACTAAGAATAATGTTACCACGAAACAAGCTGCGTTCAATAACTGTCTCCACACCATTTGGGTACATAACCAGAAAAAATATACAGCAGGTGTTTTATCTGCATTTTCATTCAGATCATCATATTCCCTGCAGAACAAACATGCATGAGATACCGACAATGGTTCTTTATTTATGAGATTCACTCGTGCTCTTGTATGTTAAACCGTTCTTCTTCACGTGTTTCCTGCTGGGACTACTGCAGCTTTCTGCATGTTAACGAAGTGCTATGCTGGCATGTTCTGCTCTTCAGGGAGTCCATGCTGTGCAGAAGCATCACTGCACCCAAGCCTGTATCCTCTTCCTTTTTCCATTTACTCACATACCCTATTTATGAATTAATTGATGTATAATAGTTGTGGTTTTAGAGTGTTTAAAGTGTTATGCAAAGTCAAATCTTACATGCATGTTGAGGCTAATTGTGGTTACAGGGTTTCTATAAAGAGGTGCACCCAGAATTTAGCATAAAGCTAATGGTATTTTTCCATTGGATTTCAGAATATTGCAGAAAAGGAGATTTGTGGCAAACACACGTTTATAATGCTAACACGTTTTGTTCAGCAGGATAATCTCCACCACTTTTATTGGTAAAGCAACATATTCCAAGAAGTAAAAGCTAACATTTGGCTATAAAGGAACTACAGCATGGTCACATGACTTCACTTCACCGCCACTAAGCTAATGGCGGCTAATGTTGGGCTATAAAGGAACTACAGCACGGTCACATGACTTCACCACCGCTAAGCTAAAGGTGGCTAATGTTGGGCTATAAAGGAACTAAAGCACGGTCACATGACTTCACAACACCACCGCTAAGCTAAAGGTGGCTAATGTTGGGCTATAAAGGAACTAAAGCACGGTCACATGACTTCACAACACCACCGCTAAGCTAAAGGTGGCTAATGTTGGGCTATAACATTACATTACATTGCATTTAGCTGACGCTTTTATCCAAAGCGACTTACAATAAGTACATTCGACCAGGAAGACACAACCTTGATGAAAACAGAATCATATAAGTACATCAGGTTTCATAGAGCCAAAACATTTCAAGTGCTACTCAACTGGCTTTAGATAAGCCAGTCCTTTATCAGTATATAAGGGCTTTGTTAAAAGTTCTATCGCTCGAAGTGGAGTCGAAAGAGATGAGTTTTCAGTCTGCGCCGGAAGATGTGCGAGCTATCTGCTGTCCTGATGTCAATGGGGAGCTCATTCCACCATCTTGGAGCCAGGATAGCAAACCCACGTGTTTTTGCCAATGGGAACTTGGGTCCCCCTCGCAGCGAGGGCGCAGCGAGTCGTTTGGCTGATGCAGAGCGTAGTGCACGCGCTGGGGTGTACGGTTTAACCATGTCCTGGATGTACGAAGGGCCAGATCCAGCATGGTAAGCAAGTACCAGTGTCTTGAAGTGGATTCTAGCAGTTACCGGAAGCCAGTGAAGGGAGCGGAGGAGCGGAGTGGTGTGGGAAAATTTAGGTCGGTTGAAGACCAGACGAGCCGCTGCATTCTGGATGAGCTGCAGAGGTCGGATGGCACATGCAGGTAGACCAGCCAGGAGGGAGTTGCAGTAGTCTAGGCGTGAGATGACGAGAGCCTGGACCAGAACCTGCGTCACTTTCTGTGTCAGCTGGGGACGTATCTTCCTGATGTTGTAAAGCGTGTATCGGCAGCAGCGGGTTGTAGCAGCAATGTTTGCAGTGAAGGACAGTTTGTTATCTAGGATCACACCCAGATTCCTTGCAGTCTGAGTCGGGGAAACAACTGAGGTGCCGATGTTGATTGTTAGGTCAAGAGTGGGACAATCTTTTCCCGGAAGGAAGAGCAGCTCAGTCTTGTCAAGGTTGAGCTTGAGGTGATGAGCAGACATTCACTGAGAGATGTCAGCTAGACAAGCAGAGATGCGTGCGACGACCTGGGTCTCTGAGCGGGGAAAGGACAGAATTAATTGGGTGTCGTCAGCGTAGCAGTGGTATGAAAAACCATGCGGGCTAATGACTGATCCGAGCGAGTTTGTGTACAGGGAGAAGAGGAGGGGACCAAGAACAGAGCCCCGAGGGACCCCTGTAGTTAATTGACAAGGGTCGGACTCAGACCCTCTCCAAGTCACCCTGTAGGTACGGTCTTTCAGATATGAGGTGAGGAGGGAAAGTGCAGAGCCTGAAACTCCAAGTTTTTGGAGAGTGCGAAGGAGGATCTGATGATTCACCGTGTCGAATGCAGCAGACAGGTCCAACAGGATGATGACAGAGGAGAGGGATACAGTTTTGGCAGTGTGCAGTTCTTCCGTGACAGCAATGAGAGCAGTTTCTGTGGAGTGGCCTGCCTTGAAACCAGACTGGTGCGGATCCAGAAGGTTATTCTGATGGAGATAACAGGAGAGTTGTTTAAAGACAGCGCGTTCAAGTGATTTAGACAGGAACGGGAGGAGAGAGACAGGCCTGTAGTTTATAACATCAGACGGGTTGAGAGTAGGTTTCTTTAGGAGAGGGTTTACTCTTGCCTCCTTGAGACTGTTTGGAAAGTGACCAGAAGTTAGAGAAGTGTTGATGAAATGGGTGAGAAACGGTAGAATATCAGGAGCGATAGTCTGAAGGAGGTTTGAAGGGATAGGGTCCAGAGGACAGGTGGTAGGGCGGGCAGAGGTAATGAGGGTAAGAACCTCACTTGGAGAGAGAGGGGAAAAGGAGGTTAGTGTGTTGGTGGAAGGAGGGTCTGGTGACCCAGCGGTGAGTAAAGGTGAGTCAGAAAAAGAAGAGCGAATATCATCAACCTTTTTTTCAAAGTGGGTAACAAAGTCGCTTGGCAGAAGTGAGGAGGGGGGAGGGGCTTTTGGAGGGTCCAAGAGGGTGGAGAAGATGGAAAATAGTTTTTTCGGATTGGAATAGGAA